TGACTTCCCTGATCCAAACCTGTACTGACAGGAGCCGAGGAAGATAGAGTGTTGGAAGTGGTTAAGCCTGGCCATCCACCACTTGGATATCCGGCTGAATTAACGCCCACACTACCCGCCGTGCTACCCATAAAGCTATCGTGGACACTCGGAGCTCCAGAATTGAAACTAGTGCTGTAGAATGCTGGGCTCTGAAAGCCAGAGCTATTGACACCAACATTGCTGAGGTTTGACGTGCTGGTCAAAAGTTTATGCATAGGCGGCTGGGACAGTCCAGGGGCAGCAAATGGCGGCTGCATGTCTAAATCATCTAACTGAATATTTTGGACTTCAGGGGGATCACAAAGGCCGTTGTCTCGCTTGAGAATAGATAACCATATCGGATTGTCGGCGCAGGTCTGATTCCACGGGTCGTCACTCCCATATACGATTTGTCGCGCTTCGCTTAAGATGTCCTGATCTGTCGGAATGACGTCCTGGCTAACATTGCGCTTGATATATGCGGAGAGTTCAATCTCCAGACGCCGGAAGCAATTTGCATCTCCGGGGACGGGAATGTCAGATGATTCCCCAGTGGAACCTAAATTCGAATCTTTTCTCAGAACATCATAACTGGATTTCTTCGCGGGCGGCTTAGCAACCCACGGGTCCAGTGTGTTCCGCTCTTCCCCGATTAGATATGGAGGCATTCCATTTTCAACAAGCCGCTGAACGACGGGCTCAAAACCCCAGTCTCCTTTCCACTGCGACATATCCGTTCCAGCTTTAAAATGAGCCGTAAGATGATCGACCCGTTCTTTCCAGGTATTGAATATGGCGGAGCAGAAACCACACCGGGACCGGATTTCTGTAGTAGCACTTCTCCAGCTTTCCATCCAGGAGCCAAACTTTACAGAATGCATCAGACGGAGATGTTGACTGAGGTGGTCTTTCCGGTAGAAGGTCCGTTCTTGAAGGGATTTCTCTTGACAAGCATTGAAATTATGAGACTCAAGATGGTCGTCGTCTGGGTTGGGACTTTTGCAGAAGGCACAAACAACCGCACCATTGATAGTGACCACACCCCCCTGAGGTGTACATGTCCATTTTTCCAAGGCAAGATGCAATGACTTTTCATGGCGTTGCCAATCATGCTTAGTAGTGAAAGAGTCAGTGCAGAAAGTGCATTGAAAAATTCGAGCTGCGCGGGCTTTTTGAAATAAGTTTTGCCCGATTGCAGATTTATGGCGACGTCTACGGCGGTGGTCTTTACCATCCATGGAGTTGAACGAGGAGCGGGATGAACGATGAGAGAAGGCAGATGCAAAAGACATATCGGAAATACTGGATTTTGTTGTGTCCAAACTGTAACTACTCACAGATCGGGCAGGGATTACATTTGAGAGACCAGAACCGTCGGTGCTTGAACCCGTTTTGCGAGAATGTGGGGGGAAACGTCCGGCACTAGAAGGATTCCTTTCCCCACCACTGGCGAGGTTCCGCTCTGGAGCGTAAGGGGCATTTTCCATGGCTCGAATAATATCTGTGGCTGATGCAGGTTCGTGTTCAGGGGGGGAATGCTTCCAACGCTCAAGCGGAGTCAATTCGGAAATATCCACTCCCGGAGCTAGTTGTTTGCGTGGAATATCCAGAGCTCCAGTAGGTGGAGGAGAGATATCGCGAAGCAATGGCCGGACCTTTCCTCGACGACGAGCATTTGCAAGCCAATTGCAGATCTGGCTACGCTTCAGCCCTGTTTTCAACTTCAATTCGTCCTTTTCCTTGTCTGAAGGATAGGGATGGTTGGCGTGATTCGTCAGCCACGTCTTTAGTACTCGAATAGCTTCCCTCGGGAATCTGGCGCCACTTTTTCGACCGTTAGGGTCGGTTTCTTCAAACGTAGTGCTAGAGGTACCACCATGAAAGGATCTTAGAAGCTTCTTTCCCGTGAAGCTACCAATTGGCACGTAGCTATCTTCGGAGACGACATGTAATGTATCCAAGCCTTTTTCATGCGGCTTAGTGCGAGTAAAACTGCATTCACGGTACAAAGAGATACAGCATGTGCAACCGTTATTCTGCATCACACCCCTTTTTGCCATGACACAGTTAAGGCCTCGGGAACGACATAGATCGCAGGGCTCCTCAGGTTGAGTTACAGGATATAGATTTGAGGACGGGTCCTCTTTTTGGGGAATATCTGGTTCTGTGTGGGGTGGTTCGGCTGGGAGGAGGGAGACGTCTTTAACAATGAGAGAATCATGTTTCCCTGCAACCTCTGACTCACCAATCACTGGGCAATTGGAAGCAACATCATTGTCCTGAGCTGCTTGTTCAAAATCGAAATATTCCATGATATCTTGGACGTTTGAAGGCAAACCGAACCGGATTGCCTCCTAGCGGCAATTTGGGTCGAAGCCCGGGAAACGGAACGATGAAAATTGAGAAGAGGCCGAAAGTTCGTGGGCGTAATGTCAGTTGTATATGGAAAGAAAGGAGGATATGGAAGTGATCAGAAGTCGGAAGAAGTGGGCGGAAAAAGCAAGGTCAAGGCAAAAAGGAAGCAAAGATAAGAAGATGGAGGAATTGAGTCACAGACTCGGGGAACCTCGTGTTTGTTAAGCTCTGGCTGGGCCCGCCTTGCATCGGTGCAGAGATTCCGGACTCCAGCAATGGGACATTTTTATCTTAAGGAGTGGAGATAGCGGGGAGCAATAGTTCAATGCAGCAACCTTGTTAGACACAATATTCAGTAGCTTAGTTCAAGGTGAAGCCGGGGTTAAAGTCCTTGGCTGTGTATTACTCCACCGGCCGTAACATGTCAATGTAGCTTTATCACTCGACCGATAGTGCTGCTCCTGGGAATGTGAGGTGCCTCATATCCCGTTTATCTGATGTGGATGGCGCTGAAGAACTTGAAGGTTTACGGTCTCCTGATCTGAGAGTAGTAACAACTTTGGAATCGTGCGAGGGGCGGCAAGGGCCCAAAGTCAAGAAGACAAATATGTACCCTCAGCTAACTCAATTCTCCGCCGGACCAAGCTGTTGTCCGAGAGTTGATTTGCAAGCCGGGAGCAAGATACGGCTGGTGTCGATGGGCTAAAGTCAGCCTGGCGATAGATTACATCAGCCAGCATCTGATCCCTGCGCCTCACGCCCTTTCGTTGACATCAAACACCAGCGCTAAACCCGCATGAGCTAGCCGAGCAGTGCAGGATACAAGCCTTCTTTCCAGAAGCTCTAATTTCTAAACGCCAACCGGCGTGCTAAGACTTATCATTGAGTGTTGTTCTTGATATTGGCCTGGAGATTTGGACCAACCACAGGAGGTTCATCCAAAGATAAGCTTGACGGTCAAATGGGGGCCGGGTTAACACGAATGCGCCAACCATCCGGTATCTGCGGTGACTGACCAGCAAATGCTGCTTCTAACCTTGGATCTCACTTCTTGAACCATATTCAACCGCGCCGGTTTCGGAGTCGCGTTGCTCGCCAGCGATGCGGGTTGGTTTGCTTTTTCTTCTGCAGGCTTCCCATCATCCATCCCACCCATTCATCGCATGATGTTTATTATTCTCGACGGAACACATGTGACTGAATTGCGTGCTTACCGCGACTCCCGAGCCGACTCGAGATACCTGGGCACCAATAATGGATCGGTGTCTGGCTGCGGATACCGAAATCGAACATACGAACCAGACACCGAATTGATGCGGTTTGTTTTATTTCTTTTGTTCTATTGATTGAGCAATAATGATGGCACATGGACAATTTTATGAATCAGTTCGCTATTCAGCGTGCTAATGCCTGTGCACACGACATGCCGTCTTTCTGGGTTCCCTCTAGACGTTGGCTCATCTAGTCCTAATTGGATGCTAACAAATTCCTGCTCTCAAGAATCGGTATAATCCAGCAGCATGCACAATGGTTCCTAATGGAAATGTTGACTTCAGTGTCAATGGCAACTCCCCACTTACTTGTTTATGGCAATGAATATATGTTGCACGGTACATGTCCACCTCCAGGCACTCAGGCAGGGACATTCCAGGTACAATTAGTGCGGTGAAGTCACCTTTTCACTATGCCGTTCAATTTAGAGGCCAAGTTACGACTACGTGTACAGTGGCTCTTCAAGCCATCGAGCAAGGACCCTTCGGGGCGGGGAATTGCCGGTTGGGCTTGTTCTGGCCTCCAACCTTACACATTTGGCTGGCTGTTCATCATGTAACCAACAGAGTTAAGGGGACGAGCGGCAACGTAAGCCGACTGAAGACAGCATCGGAGGAAATTCAGAGTTCCGCCGTGTGTGTCCGTTTATCCCGCTCACTTATCTCTCTTTCTTTCTGATATTACTGTTTTGTTGGTCGAGTGGCAGCTCCTCAGATGACCTGGCAGCTTCCGCTTTTAACCGCCTGGTGATATCAATTGGCCCGGTCCAGGAAGCCATGAAGTTTGCACAGATGCACTGGCGCAAAGCTGAAGTCCACTACACTCTTGACTGTTTTTTCTTTTCTTTGATAGATCTCCATGTATTACCGCAACCGCACTTGAACGGGAAATTGCAATGCTATGAATGATTGGGGAGATGGATACTTAAAGTACTTCCAACTCTGTGAGTGAGTGTTGGTGGCTTATTGAATACATGCACTCGTTTCTAACCTTGTCTAAAGTTTGTATACATTATCGTTGTTCGGCTATTCCGATTTCCCCGCCAAGTTTGTAAGAGTTGGCTTTCCAAACCCACAATGGATGTGCATTTTTGATAGTCTAAAAATTCAATGCGAAGATTAGAGAGATATAGATTCTGTGACGTAAAAACGAATTGTATTCTTAGCAACAACATAATGATTGCTGATGCAAAACATATTATGAAATGATTGATATCGGGCCATCCTTGCATCCGGCACAGACCTCGGCATTGGAGTCCCCTGAACGCCAAGAACCTAATCCCACTCCGAAACCTTCCCCAGGAGTGGAACACACGGTGCATTCTCGAAGGAACGTCACGACCGAAACCCGAAATGTCGTCCTACCGGCTTCCCAATATCCCATCACTGCGAAGACAGCAGCTTCGGCTTGAATTGTAGGTTTTGAGCATGAATTCCTTTCCCATGTTTATAAAGACAAAGCTGCTGTTTGAATTATTGAGCGCTCATTGTCCTGTTATAGCACGAGTCTGAAAACAGCTCCTCCCCCCGGCGTCTATGTGAATATCTCACCGACAGATCCCACCTTCTGGTCTGGTGTTATTTTTGTGCAGAAGGGTAATATATAATATCCGTGGATGCACCCTACTACACGTGATTTTCCGAAGCCGCTGAACAACGATGAGTTTGAAACCATGAATGCTAATCAACGGATAACTAGGCCCCTACGCATCTGCGATTCTGCGATTTCAGTTCCGCTTTCCATCGACTTATCCGGATTTACCGCCATTAGTTACTTTCACGACAGATATATTCCACCCCCTCATCGTGCCGCTCACAACCTACACATTTAGCACCAACTCTCCCGATACAGATACTGTAAGCGCAACGGATGAAGAACGTCTACCACCCGGCGGCTTTAGCCTGAGGCATGGATTCCCACATTGGTTTGGAAGAGCGCAGAGGAGTGCGTCGAATTCAGCAGCATCATCACGGAATGTGAGTGGTAGCGAACAGAAGTGCACGAAAACAGCACCCCTGGAACAGCCGAGTGAAGGGACAACGCCAACTCCAGATAACAACGCGGGGGCTGGGACTTCGTCTGCGGAAGAGCAAGATGTCTCATCTGCGGGGCGAGTTTCGTCACATGATACCCATGTGCGTATATCTCCGTTACCAGCCGGCTCACCGTCTACTGCCAGTGTTCAGGTGGATGTCCCAGTTTTGACGATTCTTAACTACATCCGGTCGACGTTTGATGATGAAGCAGTATTGGACTCCATACCGCTGGAGGCCGCTGGGAACCCTGGAGCCTGGCATGCCTGGCGATCTCATCGGGGGCTGGGAAACAGGGAAGGAGAAGATGGCCCAGATGGACCGGTGAAAAAGAGCAGTCTGCACGCACGCCGACCTGGAGAATGGAACTGGGAAGGTGTTTGGGAGACGAGGGTGCAAGCTGGAATTGAGACTAGTTACTTGGAATCAGTCCTTTTTGGCAATAGTACGAGGGGTGGTGCGGGCGATGATCTGGTGAGCTGTCACGATCACATCAACTTTTTCTTATACGTATATTGTATCTCTGAAAGAATCTAATTCATATTTTACATCCCAGATTCGATTTGTCAAGCTTGACAGTGATACGCTTTCCAAGACGAAGGAAGAGATTATCTCCACCCAAAAGGGTAGCGAGATAGAGACACCATGATTTGGTGGTGCTCAGCCTCGTCAAACACAGCGGGCAGATGTTGGGGATAAGGGGCGCCACAATGGTGTTTTATTCCTTGCTGCCTGCGTGCGCTCTTACCTCATAATACTGTATTGCCATGATTATATACAAAACTTTCATATTACTCTATCCCAAACTCTTATTATTTATTCCGTGTATGCTTGGCTGCTGACTTGGTCCTTTGCTTGACTTTGTCATGGTGCAGCATCGTTCCTTCTGCATGACGCTGATGTTTCTTTTGCTGTGTTTGTCCCTCTGCGTAAACACGGCTTTACTTCTCTCCGTTTAGCCAGATTATATCAACATCTCGTCTTATCTTATATTCCCATCGCTGGCCATTCCATGCTGTTTGTATTTGGCAATCACGCTCGAATTCTATATATCATCCGTTCAAGTTGTCCTCTCGCAATCAGGGGTAGATAGGTGTATATCGAAAAGTAGGTTCGACATGTTCAAGGTAACACGGAGCGAAGCAAATAGGAATTTAATCTTACTTGCATTGGTGCTTGTCCCCATTGTTCTCCTGTTCGCTATATTTGCAACAGCTCTGGCGTGCTCAGAGTACTGGAGCCTATATCGGGAACGGCGACGTCTCCGGCGTGCTGGAAATAACGGCTATTCAAAAAGAATTCATTCAAACGCACCCTGGTTATCGTCATCATCAGAGTCGTCAAACACGTCGAGAAAGACATCCGAGTCCAGCGACGGTGACGCAGATATGTACATGAAGCCGGTCCTGTTGAGGGAACACGTCTAACCGTCATTCACTGGCACCCATTACCACGCGTTGGTTATATCAGCTCACCTCCCAGGCCCAACACGGACATCCAGCTATGCCTCGAGGAAGAGAGCACAATCATTCTTTCAAACAACGTTTGCAAACTCTTTCAGAGGCTCCTATCGCTTCTTCTCCCAAGAGCTGCGCTACCTCTTGCCCAATCCTCAGGCAGCAATCGTCTTATGCCATCCACCTACCACATCATTTCTCGAGAGCGTCTAAGTATTCCACACTGCAAGCCAGGAGACGTAGTCAGTGGTTATCGATCTGGCAATATTGGAAAGCATTCTTTCCAATACATCACCTCTGGCGTTTCGGACTCTTGATAACAACGGGGGTAGCATGGAGGAGGTACGCATTTCATCCACATCCATCACCCGTGGACATTATCAATGAAAATTCCTAATACCCATCTTTTAGGTAACAAAAGAAAATCCACTCTCGAGAGTTAATAATGTTGTGCGGAAGCTTCCGTCTAAAGGGGGCATTTTCTCTCGAGTCGCTCAAGTTCTTGATTTCAGTAAACATCATTCGCGCCTAGGACCCAGTCCTGGCGAATACCCCAGACTAGACCGTCCAACGCGTGTTTTTACTGAGCCAAATTCACCAAATACCAATCCTTATCCTACAAGTCACAAAATTTGGGAACGAGTATCAACACCGCCCATAACTACACCAGAAATATCCGGCCAAAGGACTCCACGCTTTTTCCCTACCCATATTTGTGGCCCGATGCACCGCAACAATGTCTTTACTCGCTTTTCATGTCCCCTCCCAATCACAAGCGCAAGAATAGATATAACGATGGATGCTATAAACATTTCTAGCGCGTGAGGATCTCTTCACATGGGCTGCAGTGGAAATATCCGCAAACGTTAATATAAGTGGCGAGCTTGACACCCAGATTGGATGCGAGGTTCCGCTAGATATTATGATTTTTGTTGATAATTCGTGGGTCTTCCTTGCCCAGATCTCGTTAATAATAGCTGACTGGCCTACTAGAGCAAGCATGTCACCTGCTCTACTAAAGGGGGTATGCCGGACGGTACTCCATTTGGCTTCGTCAATAGATATCCTCGTCGACCGACTGGCTATCGGCTGTATATCTGCTGATCCTGAGCAAAATATGCAGCTGCTTCTACCTTTATCTACTTGCAATCTCGACGCTATCCGGGGATTGCTTCAATCGGTACAAATATTCGAATTGCATGGCAATGAACCATGTCAAATGCGCACCTCAAAAGCTCTCCATGAGGCGTCAAATTTGCTTCTGAGGTATTCGAGCAGGGGAGCGCTACGTCATTTGTTTGTGGTCACTGCAAATTCAAGCATATCTCTATCTGAAATATCCCCTAACATAAGCAGTCGAGTGCGATTTCACACCGTATCACCAGAGCCGGCGTTGGGAATATGGGCTTCCGAGCCAAAGGATGGTTGGCATCTATCTGTTAGTTTCAATGACGAGGAAGATAAAGAGGCTGTTCATTCTCTGAAGGAGAATTTGAAGCAAATTATGCGCCATCTTCGCTATGGACTTGACCCCGGTGTTCTGTCAAACTTGTCAATAGAGCTAAATGGACAAAATGGTTATGAGATCGAAGCCATTCTTGGTGATACTAAATGCACAGCTTTGCGGCCAGGGGAGAAGTGGACACTTCTTGTTAAAATAAGAGCTGTCTCTGAAGCAATGGAAGTGTCCTGTGGTCATGGCGTCCTCACCAAAGGCGACTTGGAGCGGGGAGATTCTTGGGCTAAAAATCAAGCCGACAACTGCATTCACCAAACGATCGATCAATTTCACGGACTCCTTGGTCCCCCTGATAGGGCTGCCGCTGAAAACAATTTCAGCGTCAGGCTAGAACATAGTCATTCAGCACTATCCAGCTCTGCGGTAATTAAATTGGAAAACAAATGTGAAGTTGCCCGCATCTCCCGCAACGATGCAATGTTCGGTCAAAAGATCAGACAGACTCTTCCCAAAGATGTCCGGAAGTTATATATCGAGGGAATCACCGTGCAAGGGAGAGCCAAACCAATTCATTCAATGCATTTGAGCTGCCATCTTGACAACGACAATCATGGGGAACCAGAGCAGGGAGAAAATAGTAGTGAACTTCCTTTCGCCCATTCCCCATTAGAAATCTTACCGGATCTGGAGTTGCATAATAGTCCCTTGGTAGAGCTGGGTAGTTTAAACCCGTTTCGAAATTTGGTGAGAGGGTGTGATGATAGATGCTTTCACAACTTATCTCCGGATGGGAAAATCTCGGGAGAGCAGGCGTTCATTTCACCAATTACCTAGGTGCTGATGGCAATTCTACCTTCAACTAGGATATAAAATGGTATATTGGGATTGAGATTGGCTATGCTTTGACTTGTCTTTCAGGCTGCTTCCTCTCTCCCTTATCCAAAAACGATTTGTAAAATGGCTTGACTGACGGAGTTTTTATATGTAAAATGCTTGCGCGAGGTTAATCTCAGTGGCTATAGGCTACAAAGTAAAATGTGTTAATTATTATTTGTCTACGGACGTATTGATGTTATGGTTCGGTGTTTTTAGGAAAAGGCGCTGTAATTGACCGGGCAGCTAGTTTCATCTTAGTTACGACAAATAATACCAAGTAACACAGAAACTATACATTCACTTCGTAAATAATAACATAAATCCATCATCCATCATTTCTCAGCTCTACTTATTACATGGCTTTACTCGAGTCATTCCCTGGCCTTCCGTTTGACGCTCCACGCTTTTTTCCTTATCCAGCCAAATGGGTTCCCCCTCATCATCAAACTCCGCCCACTGGAAAAACGAACACGACGCCTTCCCAACCGCATACCCAGAATAGCACATCCACATATATCTTCCCCGCGTCTCCCTTTTCCTCTGCACACAGCGCAACACACACGGCATTCCGCAATGGCACCTGGGAGTATGTCGCGGGTGCAGAGACTCACGGTACCAGCGGTATGTGATATTTATGCGTTTGTTACCCGCAATTGGATGGGGAGTTATAGTCTGTGTGGGGCTGATGCTGTGTTTGTATTCTTCTTGGGTTTCGGCATGCATTACCAGGAGGGAGTTATGGGGGAGGTGGATGGAGATTTGGCCTTGGATGTCCGCTCTACTTACTGGCGTTGTAGACGTAGATGTCGATGCCGTAGGCCTCTCTTCTTTGCTATTATCACTATTGCTGTTAGTGTTATCATTGAGATCCTCGGGATCATCAGGTGGCACTATCTTCCGCACCCGGAACTCCCTCATCACGCCTAGACTTAGACTACCAATGACGGGTCGAGGCCCCAGATACGTCAGTTCATCCGAGTGGTAGCCCACGCTCTCGGAGGGCCCATCATAACAGTTCACAAACGCCGCATTGGGGACCCATGTACGTGTCGATTGGTATTTTAGTTTCTTTCCGCCAGGGTAGTGTGATTTGATACGCTTACGGATCTCGTCATTCACGGCTTGTTGGACTTTTGTAGAAACACGACGGAGTTCCGGGGTTAATACCCGGACGTCTGTTCGATAGCTGCCATTGTAGGAGTATTCGTGTTTCTGTTGATGTAGTTCTTCAGCGCTGGCGACATAGAAGCCTGCGGAGTGGGGACTCTGGACCGTGTTTTCGAAGAGTTGGAAAGTTTGTCTGGGGAATGTTTTGGCTTCTTCGAGAAGTTCGCGCAGAAGATCATTGGCTTCATTGGTGGGGAGGAAGTTGTGGATTATGGTGCAAGGAGTGTACTTAGATATGTCCTCAGGGGAGAAGAGGTGCAAGGTCCGCCCTCTTTTCGTGAGAGGTTTCGATCCTGGTTTGGGCGTTGATAAACTTGCCGCTGTTACGCCGAATGATGAGAGTGAGCGTTGTATGCCTAGGCCTCTAGAAATTGTGCGCTTCTTATTACTGTGCGGAGGCGTCTGGGATGATAGGGTAGAGCATGCCGTCGTGACCGATCCTTCACTGGCAATCAACGAATCAAGAAGGATTTCTTGCTCGAAATCTGGGAAGAGCGATGCCAAAATGGCCAGCTTTATATCTGTTGATTCATCCTCTCTAGCTATTCCACAGTCCCCTTCTTTGGTTGAAAGAAGTGTTGTGGTGTCTTGAGGCCTCTGCGAGTTGGAGTCTCTTGGACGTTTCCGGGAGAGAAACCGATCCATTTCCTTTCAAAATTTTCTATTTACTTCGGACAGTTCATATGTATTCAGATGATAGCAATCCCCTGCTTGGAGCCATTTATTGCCTAGTATGCGTCACGTTGCGGGGATGAGTCGAGTACGAGATCTGGACAGACGCGAGATCATGTGACACTAATTGACTTCCAAGGTTCCAAGGCTGTTGAAGACAGCGCCGAGAGCAATGATGAGGACTCGAAGTTGAATGGTTAATAATTTAACGTGCCCCTAGGATTCCAATTAAAGAATCCAGTGGCAGCGGCAGTCGAAACTCTGAGAGCACCCTGAAATCGAAATACTTCTACATAGGGGTAGCTAAGTATCGGTTTCCAGCGTCACAGAGCCGTGATGCATTCCTTTCAAGCTAAATTCGCTCCGCTGATGGATAGGAGCTCACCAGTTGAGTATGGTAGAGAGAATGGCAGGGTATCTCGCAGGTTGGAATATGCCTGGTCTCTTGTAATCGAGAATTGTGGATTTTGATACCATGGACATGTGTCTCATGTATTCAAAATAGTGGGGAAAATCGCAGCGGTTCCTGTTCAGTTGCAATTGAACACAAGATATCCCTTTATCCGAATCTAGGATTACACTCGGGTGACAATGAAAGACACTCTCTCTAATATCAGAAGGTTGATGAAGGTTGTCGGAAGTGCGGCGGACCGAAGGCCCACGTGATGATGACATCAGGAACAAGATCTGGACCTCGGTGGTTCAACGTCAAGTCTAAAACGGTGCTGGATTGAAGTTCAATTTGCTTCGGAACATTTTCTCCCTCACGACACACGGGCTATCCTGGAACAACATCTGAGGATGCGGATCCCCATATACATCTCCGAAGGGACATACTCAAATTGACCCCATGAGAATAGCTGGTCGCCCATAAAGCCGCGCCAACTTGTTTTGGGATCACCAATTGGAAGCATTTCCCATTCCTTTTTTCCCAGCTCGGCAACATGCTTGAGTTCCGCACGGAGGGTTTCAATGGATATGCAGTGAAATACTCCCCTTTCTTCGACTCCCGCCTTGCGGTTGCTGCGTCTGCGAATTTTGGCCTTGTTGGAAATGGCAGGCTTTACATTTTCGACTTGACACCCAACGGCATCGTCCCTTTGAAATAGTAAGCCACGAAAAGACATATCAAAACCTCTAAATATAAATTTTCATAGCCCTTCCCCCCCCTCTGCAAGATTTTGCTTAACCATTTTTCTTTTTTTTGAAAATACCTCGTGCGATTTACGTATTACTAACAGCTCTATTCTAATACCAGCTTCACAACGCAAGATTCTCTCTACGATATTGCTTGGTCCGAAATCCATGAAAACCAAGCCCTCGTGGGTTCCGGGGATGGAAGCATTAAGCTCTTCGATGCTACAGTGGATGAGTTTCCTGTCCAAGGATGGAAAGAACATTCTCGAGAAGTTTTCTCAGTACATTGGAATTTAGTAGCCAAGGACCGATTTTCTTCCAGTAGTTGGGACGGAACCGTTAAAATTTGGTCCCCCTCTAGACCGCAATCACTCTTAACTCTCCCGACACATAGCTGTACGTATTCTGCCGCGTTTTCACCGCACTCTCCCGATATTTTATCGTGTGTTTCCTCAGACTCGCACCTCCGCGTCTTCGATTTGCGCACACCTGCGTCCGCAAACAATCACCTTACAGTACAAATCCCGATTCACAAAGGATCATCGGTACCTACGAAGCCAGGATTTCAACCTGCACCCGCTTCATGCCCTCCATCAGAGGCTCTGACGCATGACTGGAACAAATATCGACCCTCAGTTCTTGCCACGGCCGGTGTCGACCGTACAATCCGTACCTTTGATATCCGTGCTCCGCATCAAGGTCCTCTCTCAGTCATGATTGGACATGAATATGCCGTCAGAAAAGTTACCTGGTCACCGCATCTTTCGCACGTTCTGCTTAGCGCTAGCTATGACATGACTTGCCGTGTTTGGAGCGACTGCTCCGATACCGGAACGCCTGGTGATGATGCGGGCTTCATGCATGGCGGACCGAGCGCTGAATCAGCAATGGGCAGGGAGCTGGGGCGCATGGGGCGCCATACGGAGTTTGCCACAGGTGTAGATTGGTGTCTCTTTGGGAGTGAAGGGTGGTGCGCAAGTTGTGGGTGGGACGAAAGGCTCTGTGTTTGGGATGTGAGAGCGGTGATGGCCTGATACCAAAATTTTTACTGATATGGTCTATCTGACCGCATCTCAATGTCATCTACCCTCGAAACCATGATGTGATATGGATGGCCTACGTTTCGATCTCTATCACACGACCTTTTTTACACGTTTCGACTAGACCGCAATTAAATAACGACCGAAACTTGCAGCAGCGAGGAAAACATTTGTAGTGTTACAACTGTCTGGAAATATTATGCTTTCAAATACCCTTGGAGTACCACTTACCTCTTCCATGGCCACCTCATCGGGGACCCATCGGGGACCCATCGGCTAATATCCGCTCAACGCTAGACGGTTCAACGATACGAAACCCCCCCTCGCAAGCTCAGTGAGCACTAGAGGACCCCTTGTTGGCACATTATCTGCATTTGTCGCCGTAGACTCATATCAGCTGTGAACGAACCCATACTTCCACTGTCAATTCCTACGTCTTTAGATGTCAAAGTAACTCGTCCGCAGATTTGACTAACGCAGCCCAAGCAATGGTTTTGGCCCGGATATATTGAATTAGAAGGATTGCATAGCTTCTCATCACTGTTATGATAGCGAAATTGGCCTCTAAATGTAGTTTCCGCCATTGGGATATAGTTGCCCTCTGGGGAATAGCCTGACTCAAGACATTTGGAAAGGATCTTAAATGGGGTGCGTGATATTGAGAGTCAGGCTAGTCCAATATGAAATAAATCATAAAACCGTTCATGAGAAGAAGAAAATATCCAGCCCTCTGACTCATGGCCAGGCTTGTCAGTCCGCCTGGTCCTTTCGGCCCGGTCTGGGTCCAAGAGGGGCAACAGCAGCCAAGAGACAACTAATGCCGTTTTTGATGAAGAAGACAACCGGCTGCTGAGAGGTCTGACCGCCACCTTGTCCTTGCAAGTGCATGGATAATTTTATCATACTATTCTCTGTGACGGTTCCCTGTCATCGGCAATCCGTTCGGCAAGAAAAAAAACAGCGGAGGCCAGGTTTTCTGCTATACACAGAAAAGAGCCTTTTTGACAGGCGATGATTGATTAATAATGTCCGCTCCTCTCCTGTACACAGTGTATGCAAGCAGCCGCGTGGCTTGGTAGGGCTGGTGCTGGCGCTCTATTTGCCACGAGTTCAACACTGAAGAAACATAATAGGCATAACGGTCCGTCATTATCATTATTCCTCCGATGCATACAAATTTAAAAGGATGGGATATCGACCTATGTCGAACATCCTCTCGCCCATCGAGCGAGGCTAAAAGAGTTATGGATGGTGCGCTTCATCGATCGCTGTACGTAAAAAGTATAAGGTTCTGGACTTGGAGTCCATCTGAGTGCAATGGGAAAATGGCCACACTTTTGCTTGGCTGACAAAATTGCGGATACATCCATGAATATCAATGGCAAGCCGATCCTCTCTCCCTTTCCCGTATAGCTGGGGTCCGGCTACTTGGAACAAAAAGCCTTTAGTTTGTCGCGAAGGGCGCACTAGAACCGCACGAACCGCTTAACAGGTTCGGAGATGCGTTAGCCAGGAAAACGATACCAGAGCAAGCCGGGTTAACCGAACGACTTTTTTAGTGCCAGCAAGGGCAGCCTGAGCTTGTAATGGCAATTTTTGCGGTTTGCCGCTGCGAGTTTGGGATGCGGATGCTCCTCAGAGACCCACCGAGTTTCGGGGATGACTACCATGAAATGCTATAAAATCATGGAAGCCGACCCAGGCCTTTTGATAGCTCGAAACCGCGATATTATCGTAACTACATGAGTTATGTTTTTGGGCTGGGAGGCATTTACATATTTTGTGCTGGTTTTGGAAGCTATATTTCTCAATGACAGCTGATGTAGATAGGACTGATAGAATGGGGGACATATATATGCCGTCAGGTATGTGTATTCTCTGGAGTGTTAAAATCCGGTAAAATATTTCAATACTGACCCTACTGCAGATGCAAACATTATACCGCAGAATCTGTCGAATGACTCACTTTCGCAAAGTGAGGATGGTTCCCCTGTACTCGATCAATCGCTGGATTATGCACTCTCCGCATACAGATTCCGTCGAGTTGCGTCGAAAACGATTGTGTCATTCCATTCCAAAGATCCCGAAAATCCAGTCAATTGGAGTAAAGTATGTATATATATATATAAATATGCACTGTATGCGAACTTCCTGGTATTTACCGGCGTTTATATCTGTTTGGGATATGCAGCGTGGAATAGTAGCTAACACCACCATTACAGAATAAAAAGCGATTCATCTTTACCGCAGGGATCGTAACTGTCCTGAATAGTACTCTCTGTGCCTCCTTACCCAGCGGTGCGATGCCATTTATTGCCAAAGAGTTCAACATAACAAGCAAGGAGCAGTTGGTCCTCCCTATATCCTTGTTTCTTGTTGGCTATGTTTTTGGCCCGATCTTCTGTGGCCCTATGTCGGAATCATATGGGAGGAAAGCCATGATGATAATCCCATTCTTTATTTTCATGGTCTTCACAATGGGCTGTGCACTCTGCCGAAATTGGGAATCTCTGTTAGTCTTCAGATTGATTCTGGGTGTCGCGGCAGCTGCTCCAATTGCTATTGTAGGCGGCCTATTTGCCGATATCCACAGCGATCCAAGGGAGCGAGGTCAAGTCATGGCATACTTTATGGCTGTGGGTACATGTCACTTTCCTAGGAGACACATGGTAACTAATATTGCACTTAGGTGACTACCGTTGGTCCACTTATCAGCCCCTGGCTGTCGGGTTTTACCGCACCAATAAGTTGGAGATGGCCATTTTGGATATCACTTATGTTTGCAGCCCTTTCCGCTCCACTGTGCTTTTTCATGCCTGAGACGTACGCCCCTGTTCTCTTGCAGCGGAGAGCTCGAGCTTTACGCAAGAGCACAGGCAACGGCAATATTGTCGCCCCCTTTGATATCCAAAAGCGAGGGCTAAGAGTGGTACTCACTGTCACCCTAACGCGTCCGCTTCGTATGTTCTTTCAAGAGTCAATCGTGCTTTTTACTTGCTTATATTTGGCAATTGTCTATGCTATATTTTTCATCTACTTTCAAGCGTATCCAATTATTTTTCAAGGTATGACCAAGTTCCGCCACGTCCTGGAACCTTGCATATTGTTTTTTCTAACCAACGGATTGAAGGTATATATGGCATGAATACTGGTTTCAGCGGCCTAATGTATCTACCCAGTAAGTTGTATAACTTTTCCAAACGCATTCGAGTCTTCGCTAACATATTTCTCCCTCAGTCGCCATTGGTGCATTTTTCTCTTGTGCGGTATTTAACTGGTGGGATTCCTATCTCCACAAGGCCAAGGCCAGGGGTGCAACTTGGGCCGATATTGAAGAATATAGACGCCTCCCGCTTGCTTGTATCGGAGGGCCACTATATGTTATTGCGCTATTCTGGCTAGGCTGGACTTCCTCGCCAAACATTCACTGGGCAGTTCCCATGCTATCCGGTATACCATTTGGGTCAGGCTACTTGCTTATTTTCATGGCAATGCTTAACTACCTATCCGATGCGTATGAGACATTCTCATCTAGCGCCCAGTCTGCAGCTAGCTGCTGCCGGAGCACTTTTGCCGTTCTCCTCCCCATTTCCACCACCCCGATGTTTAGTCGCCTGGGGGTAAGTTGGTCATGCAGCATGCTGGGATTCTTCAGTCTGGCCATGTCGCTTATCCCGTTCGCATTCATCCGGTATGGTGAGCATATTAGACGGAATAGCAAATTCTGCCAATACCTCCGCGAGCAGAAGGAGGCGGATCGGATAGCCGAGGAGGAGGAGGACAGGATGCATCATCTGAGGGCTGAAACCGGAAGGGATGTTGAAAAAGGCCGGGTCACCAGTGCTCCCATACCATGAGATAGGAATTTCACCTGAGGACATGCTCTCTTAACAACCGTTTGTCGTCTGAAGTAAGGTTTTTTGGGAAATAGTTAAGTGGCCACGACTCGCATTACCAATGATGAACACACCAAGGAGATTTAAGTTTATAGTCGATTTACGACACGGAAACTTTATAACTATTTCCTACAGTCTGTCATCGAATCTTCTCCCGGTTTATACACTTTTGTGGGCGCTTTGGTGATAGAGCCAAAGAGCAGGATAGGGTTCTGTGTGCATTTTCTTTTCTTTTTGGTTTCCCCCCTCGAGTTTCATTCACGCGATGCATGCATGGGATTGCCAGAATAAACGGCGTTTGTTTCTACCGAGAATACGAAAACCGGAGTGAGTGTTCTATGATGGCAGGGTTTAAAATGATTTTCCTTTGCTCTCGTTTCCCCTGAACCCGTAAAACAGGCTATAAAAATGTTAGGATACATGCTTTAGAAATAATGTGAATGGTGTTAGGCCTGCCTACGATGAATGGGCGGAAAATGTAAATGTTAGGTTTTAATTATAAACTAGGGTGTTTAATTAGGGCTCGTAGGTCACATGAATGTCCCTAAACTCCTCTCCCGTCCTCACCAGAACAACTGCTGCTCTTACAGTATGGTTTTGGTGTGGGTTGCCAAATTTTATCGCATGGCACTGCATCTTACACAGGACCATATACTCTAGTGTATTCAAATTTCAAACGGTTAGTTCGTTACCTGCCCTGGGAAACTCACTGTTAGACTCTCACAATATGGAGGAGTCAGAGCGCATGGCACAAAGGTTTTCCCAAGGTAAATGATCCAACACGAACCCGGCCCAAATAAATGGTAGAGTCAGTCCTCCAAGTCGAATTTATTGTGAGGGGGCCAAATATGGCACACTTTTGCCCATATCCTATGCATGCAAGCCTGTCACATAGAAGGACACAATCGATCAATACTACGCTGAAGCGTCAGTGGTAAATGAGGTGGAGCGAAAGTTGAGCGTACCCAAACGAGACTTCTCTTCGCGCGACTGTTGAATATAACAAGAGCCCTCGTGATTTTGAAGTCTGAGAACTTTTGCGAGGTCTATGAAGATCGCTTACGGCGGGGAGGGTTCATGCCAGCCTCTGAGCTGATGGTTGGCCATCATTGGTGTCCAAAATGACGAGAACTGCAAGCAGATTGGCTGAGCAGGAGCTGCGGGGACGGAGGTGGAGTGTGTTGATCAATAAAGCCGAATTTGATACAACGCCCGAGTTTGAAATAACATGCCGTTGTAGATGGATAATCATCAACATGGACAAAGAACTTAAACGTCATATGATATAACGAAAATACGTTGCGCAATCACAAGCCGTTTTCCGATTCAGATATCTAAGTTCCACTGGTATCTTTTTCGGATTTGTAACTCCAGATGTGCTGGGCAAAACTAATAACCAATTTGAGTCATTGAGTAAATATTCACTGTGGTGAAGGTTCAGACCAAAATGGCAAAGAATAAGAATATCCAGTGCTTCAGTGCTTGTTGGCAACTGCCTGCCTGCATCTAGCCCTGCTTGTTTGAATGAGGGTTGCCGGGTGTCTACCATATTCTGAACAGGAGTGAGTCAATATTCAAAAGGACAAGACGAAGCAGGATACCAATCATACCTGCCCATCATTTGTCGCCAGATATTGTTTGTATAAATGATAGCTTGCATCCACTAGCCAGAACCGGAGGTTATTGGCGGGGTAAGAGGGGTTACTACCCAGCTTCGTTGAAAACCAGTAAGGCCAATTACGATGATTAATTACTATTAGCCGTCGAAATATCATGTCCATGGATGGCGGCGCTGCGGGAGCAGCAATTGATGCTGTGTGCGGAAGATTCATTCCAACTCCCATCCTCAGGAATCAAGCACAGAGAATGATTTGATATCTGGTCCAGATATGGGCAAAGTGGACTTCCGAAGCGGGCCGTAACCCAAACTTTTACCCCACAGTAATTCGACTTGGTGGCCTGGAAACTGATAAAGTTATATCTTCATCTTTCTGTTTCGACTGAGAGAGGTCAATCACAAAGCCAATGGTTCAGAATTCGGCTAAATTCATACCTTGTATGTGTTTGTACACCTTACAGTTACATTCCTCCAGCTCCTCGTCTCCCTCCTCCTCCTCCACCACCACCGCCGCCGCCGCCGCCGCCAGTCTTTCTTTGTTCCTTCAATGTATGATCGAGGAATCTTGGGTCCATACATATGTGGTACGTGGATGGACCCAAAAATCTATCAAATTTCCGGCAACTCCCCGAGGAGCTACCACGTATTTCCCCTACTTCCCCGCCTTGGTTCAAGGATCATCGCTGGAATAATAGGTCTCCGCAACCTCTCCGGTCAACCTTCAAGTTCATGTCCCCTTTGACCCCCTCCAGCTCCAAAGAAAATCCTCAACCAGGTGCCCCAACAGGTTTCCCGTGGAAGGGGAAGGGTCCTTGATTTATGCAAGCTTGCGGATATTCGGACCTGTTCTGGAAGAATAACTAGCCAAATCTGCCATGGTGGAAGGGGAGCATTGCATAGGAACGTAGGCTGAGATAGGATTTTAGCGACATGGCGATTGGCCACATATTACATACGCATGCTGCGTAGTTAACTAGCTACATGCAGAAATGAATATCATGGACATAGTAAGGTTTTTGGCCTTTAGTTTTGGTGTTTTTATTTTTTGGTGGGGGGAAAAGGGGGAGTTGAATCCCAAGCTTCGGAATTGGCTTTCCATAAACGTATGTTTTTTTTTTCATTCTGCACTAGAAGGCCAACAAGGTTCGAGACCTGCAAGGCTGAGGGGCATCTAAGGTAGGAATCCTCGCGTTGGCGAATGGAGGGGATGTTGCTGACGAAAACGGCGATTTGTTTCCGAAAAGGATCTGGTTGGACGGTTTCGATGTCAGTAGTATTCGTAACGAAAATGAGCAGTTGAATCAATGGTCGCCATATGGATGTATGTAATTGACCCCAAGCTATTGGGAAACCAGCCGTATGCTCTGCACATGTGCATGCATGGACAGTACCTGAACTTTGCGGGCGTAGCTGTATTCTTCCTATCTTACGAAGTGAAGTTCAACTTTTGACAGATGATTTTTAGATTCGTCTCAGCCGCGTGGCACCCGGCGCTATTTTATCCGTCCCAAGCCCTGTGCCTCAGCTTTCATCCGATGTGATGATGATGCGGGGATAGATAATATAAGGCCACTAGGGCAAAAGAGCTCAATCACCACCAGCACCGTGGTGGTATAGAGGGTGCGAATCACCCAATCCAATCCCTCCAACAGATAATTACACACGGCCAAGGGTCGCTAAATTTTTATAGGTTTAGTGAAAATATTGCATTACATACAAAATAATCATGTCATCTGCAGATACTATGCCAAGAGATACTACTTGGAGCAAAAGAGCCTGCAGCTGGTAGTAGAGGGGACGAACCAATCCAAACCCCTAACACTACTATCATATCATCAATAGATTCTATGACAATCATATCATCGATAGATTAGAGCATGAAGATTCAAATGATACTGATATCGCTGTATCTTGTTATCAAAGACACAACAAAGAGCAGTATTTTTATTTTCATATAATTTTTTCTCTATACCGGGTACCGTGTGTAATCATCCATCCCCATGTAATACAGATGTGTGATAGACAAGGATGCCAGCCAAAGCAACGGCTAGCGAGAGACGAACAATTGTGGTATTCAAGCTGTCTTGCACTTCTGCCCACTGCGTAATTCTACAGATCAATTTTCCCTTCCCCCTTTCCCGCTCATCCGGGATTTTAAATCCCGAGTCTCCGCCCCTGTCAATGGCAATGTTGTGGAAGGTGAAATGAGCTGAGCACAAGTCTGTGCAGACTACTACGTCGATGGTGTTGATGAGTGAAGGCCAGGTTCCGAAATAATGAAGTCCTCAAAAAATTCCAAATGGTAGCATTGCTGTTGTGCATCGCTTGATCGCTCTTTGCAGAGCGGCGATAATACCAACTGCCGATCCGATCACTCAGTAGTACAAGCTTGGTCGACTATGCCCTATGACTGTATTCGATTTTCCTTGTCAAAATCTCTGCGATGTTCGGAGCGGAACGCTCGCGGAGTAGTTACCATCTTTGTCCCGGAATCATAGGGAGGGAAAAAAGAAAAAGAAAAAAAAAAAAAGACATAGCAGGCCCAATTGGACGATAATCAGAGTGGGAAGAAAGGACATTGGCCGGAAATGTGAAACGTAAGACCCCGGAGGGAGAAATCCGCGGGCGAGAGTTTTCTTTTCTTTTTATTGTGTTTGATGTAGGCTGCAAGGGGCAAATGTGTGAGTGTAACTATTTCCCGAGTTTTTGGGCCATCTCCTTCACGGAAAAGTTGCATGCATAACCACACCTATGGAGAAGGGTCCAAGGAGACATGGATGTCCACACAGATCGCGACTGTCATAAGCTGTTATAAGGAATTCCTTCCACCCCCCACCCCTTGCAATAGGTCAAGGCGGGGCCGGGGGAGGAGGCACAGGAACTGTATGGGGAGAAAAGGAATATTGGTTTTGTAGAACAATGTTCATCCGTCCATCAATTGACTTCTAGAAAGCGAGTGGCACGTTACTATCGTTTCCAATTTCTGGGGGGGACTACCAACAAGGGTCAAGAAGCACAGACTGCAATCGAAACTGGCCGGAGAAGCGTGAAATTTCATCAGGTTCAAGAGTGAGATGCGAAAAACCTTGTTTTGCTTTCTAGGTTCCTTGTTCGCTTGCCCATAAAATGAGATAGAGAGTGTGAGCATAATATAGTGCCTCCGAGCAACAATGAAAATAGACGACCGGTTAGAGAACTGTTGCTCATTATTTTATTTTATTTATTTAATTAATTATTTTTTTTTTTTCTTCTGACGCAGGAGGCTCCAATTTTTCTGGAAAAAAAAAAGTTTTAACATTTGGTTTCTTGGCTGGAGTTTCAGTCAGTGTCGGAGAGTTTGTTTAGCTGACATCAGCCATAGCCCTAGCAGCCCAATGAGTGCCGTCTCGGTTAACCCGTTATGAAAAGCTGTATGCAGTTAAAATGACACTGCACAGCCGCTTTCCAGGTTGGTTGGAACTCGTGGCATATACATAATAAGTTCGACGTCTCCAACGCCAATTTCGAACACATGCAGCCAAGGATAGGGTTTGCAATGTGAGTTGTCGCAGAACAGACGAACAGACGCAAAGAGAAACATCAAGAAGCGGGTAAGAAAGTGCGTCTACGCCTTGGGGTTGTCCACCCTTACATGCGGACGTTGGGGCGTAGTAAATTAGTAATTGAATGGTTATATCGGGCCACATGCGAAGGTGGATCGACACAGCCCTAAGGTGCATGACCGAGATAAGCACCACAGTTAGGGCCAGGCGGCACTTTTCGAGGGGGTTGGCTGGCGAAGCCAGTTCTCGTAGGTATTGGACTAACCGTTATCAGCAAGGTGAAGTTTTGAAGCTCAGTCGAGACACTGTGCCACAGCGTTTACAGGATCGGAGGGATCGTGACGTGGGTGAGGAGGCCCGGACGCGGAATCGATATTGAGAAACAAATGGAAGCGAAGGCGTGAACTCATAGTTCGTCAGTTGCGCATGAATTGCCACTAAGTAGTAATTGATTGACTCTGACGATTTGCGTGAGGGCGATGAGAAGGAATGAAGGGATTAAAATAATGACTGACGAGCTGCCAAGACCCAACTTCCGGTTGAAAAGCCCCGAGAATTAGGCTAGTGGATCGGCGCGCGTGGGTAAGGCTCATCCTAAATTTAGTTAAAGAATCGCCTCGATCAGCCCGGAGAAGACCAACCAGAGTTGGGGCAGCGTCCAGTTAAAACGGGATCGGGCTGTGGAGAGCCAGGGACCTGGTGGCGCATAAGGGCAGTGTGCAGCACCACTGCACCAGGAAGGCGGATGGAAGGGCAAGACTGAAGACTTGTGGATATTGCTCCATCTGCAGGAATTCGTTCATCCTTGGATTCTCGCCAGTTCATTGTTGATTGGGAGGGGAAGACAGAAAGAAGAGGTAAAAATAAAACCGAGCAACCGCGATAAAGCTCGAGTCCTCCAACCCTCCTTGGTTCACCCGATTTGCCTGCTGAAGTGGAACAACAGAATAAATTGGGAATGCCGTCCAAGATCCATGGTGTGCAGACGGATAATCGTTAATCTCTTTGTCATGTTTCTTTTCTTTTTCCTTCGTTAAGCTGAACTTTGTCGCCAACTATTCCTCTCGATCCGACACTCGCTCGCCCACACACACACTCTCTCTCTTTCTCTCTCTTTCTCTCTCTCTCACGCTCTCTCCACCTCTGTTCCTCTGCTCTGTGGAAGGATCTCCATCCTCTATCGGGAACCAACATTCTCTTCTTGCATACCAAAGGATTATATCCTTCTTTCACACTCATTCCACAGCCTGATCGACCCCCGGCCCTCGTTTCCAGCCCCTCTTGGCCCCGCCTCTTCAACAGTTTCAGACAAACAGCCAAATGCGCTAGAGCGGTCGGAAAAGCGAATCCAGTGCTCTCCTCCGCCACCAACCAACCAGCTCGCCCGTCCTGTTGGAGTGTTCGATTGAGAGTTTGGCTGAACGAGCCATCTGGCTTGCCCAGAGCCTTAACCTGTTCTGTGATCTTTTTTTATCCTCGTCGCCTTAAATTTATCACTCTTGTTGCTCTTTGCCCTCGTATCCCCATTTCCAACCACAAACTCTCTGCGATTTTCTCCGCTGCCCTTCACTCCTTAACATCAGCCCATGTTATTCAACAAGTGAGCTGGCGCTAAAACACCTTCGTTGTCTTATTTTCCAAGTGAGGTCATCCTTTGATTTGGACGTTCTAGTTTGCGCTGGCATCAATCTGACCTGCCCATGTCAGCCTAGAACCCAGAGCCAGCAATTGGAATACCTCCAGCTAAATTGTCATTCCGTTTTTGACTTCATATCATTAATATTTCCTCCTTTACCCTTGTATAAGTCTCGTACTCTTTCCCTCCCTCTTCTCGATGCGGTGACCCTTTGCGACCATGGGTTCGCCTCGTTATTCGGAATTAGGACTGTCCCTGGGAATACTCGAGGAAGATTTACGTTGGTATTGGAAGTTATTAGCAAGCATCTCAGCTTGGCTTCTTCTGGCTGGGTATGTCGAAGTTAACAGCCTTGTCGCCCACAGAATTTCAAAAGACGGAACTAATCGATATATTGGTGTGTTTCTCTAGGTTTGTTGTTTTCCCACTTGCAATCGATAACCATGCGAACAACATGCGCGGCGGCCGGTTTGGTTTGACCGCTGCCGCTACGGCTCTTATCGGTGTTGGCTACCTGGTTTGCGTTGGTTTCTGTTTGCGGTGGAAGAAGAAGCATTATCTGGTTGACTTCATTTTCATGTACGCAAAATATACGCTGCCTACCATTTTAAGAGCTTGCGCGAAAATTGGAACCTTTTATCACAAAACCATGGTACTGACAATGATTCCCGCACCTCACACAGACCATGCTTCGGATCAAGCCTAATAGGCGTCTTTAACGTCGCCTTGAATATTCTAGTCAGGCGATTAACTCCCCTCACCGCCCTCTCTATTTCAGTTATCACCATTTCCACCGTTTCCACCGCCGTATTTGGAGTTGCAGCAATCTATAACTCCCATAATGTCGTTTTCGTCCCACGACGTTCTGCCGTCCGGCGGGGGCGGAACGGAGAGGTTTCAGTCGACGATGCAGAACTGCAACGAAGACAGCTTTTACGGCTTTATTTACAGCAAGGCGCGGACCAGGCGCCGAGTCCTGAAGTATCTCACAGCACCTTCCGCATCGATCTCCCCGATGCGGGCTTAGACGCAGATGAAGAATTGACAGTCAAACCTCAAAGGCCATACGAACGTCCCCTACCACCTTCTCCACCACCAGGTTACAAGCCTGGAAGGCCAAGTAACCGATCACCACCGCGTGACGGAAATAATTCTCCTGCCAAAATACGTCCTCATCGACATGAACCAAGAGAGATGAGACGATCCATCGTCGAATTAGGCGATCTATAGCCAATTTCATGCATATTTATTCCATATCTCGATCTACACATGTCTAAATCCCATATCCACGGAAAACTGGATGCCTTTGGAATGCATTCAAAATGGGCATCTTTTTCATTTAGGGGCTGTGACAATAATTTTTTCCTTTTGTTCCTATACTTTGATATCTCTCGGGGTGTCTTTTTTATTTTCTTCGTTTTATAAAGCGTTATTAGCGATATCCCGGCAGGCGCAGGTTTCCAGTTTCTTATTTCCTTTATAAATTTTATATTTTTGATTCCTCTGTCGACTTATTACTCTCTTTCTGTTTGACTGGATTTATAACCCACAGCAGGATGTCGAGCGTCTTCGGCACAATTTCGCGTCGTCGAAACTCTGAACCATCTATCCATATCCGACCATCCTCCGTTATCCCAATATGCCACACAATGGCCCCTCGCCAAACTCTAGCCATGTGCTGCTTAAATGCTTTCTCTTTACCCTATTTGACAGAAGCGAAAATTGAGAGGGGCAAATTTTTACGAACTCAAAATACGAACACGAAACAACAATCAAAATGATAATGTCAATAAAACGTCATTAGCGAAACAGAATCTCAACATATCATAAAAATATATAGTCGATGAGACCCATCTCATCACCAGATATCATCGATAGATTATCAGGAAATGACTGTCATTTTCATTCATACTCTTTCCCCAACCAAGGCGAGGGAATGGGTGGAAAAGTAACAAAAATAACCACGAATACAAGAATGAACAAACGTGAACACAACCAGAGCCACAAATCACTGGGTATATCACTTCTCTACTTCAAGAACGATCCATTCGTCCTCGCAAGCTGCTCATCATAATAACCCTGGAACGCCTACCACCCCTTATCTGGGCCCCAACCTGCTTCGCAGTTACCTCTGCTTCTTCCTCATCGATCATAATCTTCTTATGACCGGTTCCAGCTGATGCTGCATCAGCCAACAGCTGTGCATGACACGTCTTATCCAGGTTAATGAACCAAAATGCCGCCTCATCGACACTACTCTCCTCCACCGTCAACAGCCCGTGATTCTGCAAAATCACTGCCTTGCCATCCCCAAGCGCCCGCTTCGTGATTCAGCACAACACCGCGGAATTCGCTGTAAACGGCGTGGGATTTGTAGAAGCGCAGCGCGTCCTGGGTCATCATGTCGAGTTCGGTCAAAGATGGAGAAGGCTTTACCAGAAACACTGTGTGCATGGCAGGCAAGGCTAACGTTGGGGCGAGCCTTGTGAATTTCGGAGTGGATGGCAAAGGCAGTTGAATTTACGGGCTCCGTGCCGATGACGACGTCGCCGTTTTCATTGATTAGGATCAAGTCTGAGACGGAGATTTGGGAGAAGTGCTGGGAGAGTGGGTTTAGCCCTGTTTCCATCCTTGAAGTAAGCATTGGTTTGTGAATGGTGTGATGTGGATGTTTATATGGTCATCAGCAGGTGGAGGGAGCCCGATTTGGTATATATATGTCTATGCCCCATTTCCTAGAGGACATCCTTACGCCCTGTCCCCGTGCTCCTTGCCCAAAATTACAGATTCCAGATAACGACAGATATGAAAAATCGGGCCGGCAAAACGAATGCGTAGAAATCACTGGAAACATACAAAAATGATCCGCCAAAAATTGGATTTTTCTCTGATATGTGACCTGCCACACCCTCATCGAAATCGCGATCGGCAAAAACCCGAAACGCCAGCTGCTAGGTGCTGTTTACGGTAGAGCCTCTCTTCCTCAAGACAGTTGAATCTTGGATATTGCTTAATGTTCAACTTCTGGCCGGTCACGGTGCGGTTTTGTATCCGGACTTTGTTCAATGACCCCTGCTGACTTTTTCCCTTGCTGGGACCGGTCTTTTTTGCTCATGAGAGCAATCGGCTCTTCTTTGACGATGGAAGGCGCCATGGCTGTTTTGTTTTTATTTCCTTTTTCCTCTTGTTTTTGCCTTTCCTTTCTTTTTACCGCTTACCTTTTATCGTGTTTCACGCGCAAATTTGGCTTTTTTGTATAGCTATTTTTTATCGTATTTTCCAATAACGTGCGTAATGGATGAATGCGTTTATCGAAAATATCAACAACCAGTGCAATAAGCGTACTCCGTCCCTCTCTCCCAACCCTACCTGTAAATCTTTACCTGATTCAATCCCCACCCATCAAGGCCATCCCCCTCCACGCCACTCGGAATGGGAAGGGGAGGGGAAACGAAAGAACGGGATTACACCGAAAGATCGGATCTTCTGCGTGGTCTTCTCAGTTGGGGAGGGATGGGGAGTTCCGTTCAAAGAGGCGCAACCTGACTTTTGGATAGAAAAAGCCCCGTCTGTATATTTTGCCATGATGATAGTTAATTTCGATTCCATTGCACCCAACTGAGTGAATAACTTGAAGTAACGCATGCGCGTTTTACAATATCCTTTAGATAGTTGACCAGAAAATAATGATGTTCAAGTGATATCTTGTAGAGGAGGCTGCACTGATCTGTATATCTATACAGAAAGTCTCTGTAAATACTCTGTTCTGTAATGTTCACTCGGTTGTTCATTTTATTCTTCTATGACTATTCTGTTGCAGCTCTATTTCTCTTCTGTAATTCATCTCAAGCATGTTTCAGAGCATAATATTGAGTTCCGCGAAGGGTCTGAGAGAGGGGGGGGGGAAAATGGACCCGTTCTGCGAAATGACTTTTCAATTATCAATGCTCATATCTATCAAGCTGATGAACATGTAATATGATCAATGAATGTGATATTCAGTTAGCAATTGATGAACTGAATAGAGAATTGATTTTTAATTACACTGCTACTGTATAAAAAAAAATAGAGAACCAATCAAATTGCACCGATATAGTGATTCAAAAGCTAGCAGCTCTCAAGATCAGAAGCTATCTCAATATTCTGTTGAACTCTTATAGATTCTGAAGAATAATATCTTCTCGTTAGATATTAGCTACCTAGGCTATTTTATCCATGCTGGACCTCGGTATATCCACTCAACCCAAAAGCTTCAACCCGGCAGGTCATATAAAGTTCAAACAACCATTCATTCTAATTTCTCCCGCATAAATTTTTTGATTAATTCTAGAATTCTTGGGAGTTGGATTTTTTGGTCTCTGCCACAGTATATGCTTCCTCAAGCAATCCTTTATCTTCCAACCTCCATATCCGCCACCTCCGTTCGTTTCCCCATCATACGACCGCTATGAAGGTAACCCTTTTCGAACCTCCGCCGAAGGATCCGTCCAAGTCTCATATAGAGAATATCCTCGAGCTGACGCCCGTATCTGACTTTGGGCCGGTAAGAATCCCATCAATATAGCTCGTCAGAACAAAATCCGGCCGGTCATATTTATCAGGATGCTAACCAAGTCTCTATACAGGACGTGTTCACGAACACCCGTCCACTGTGGCATCCGCCGGGTGCCCGTGGAATCTATGGTGGTGCTGCTATCGCTCAATGTCTTGCTGCTGCCCAATTAACCGTTGGCCCTGAATTTTCACCGCACAGCATGCATTGCTATTTCGTGCTGGCCGGTGACTCTGAAATTCCCATCATATACCATGTCGAACGGGTCCGGGAAGGACGGTCCTTTGCGACTCGAACCGTGCAAGCACGCCAAAGGGGCCAACCCATTTTCACCACGACGATAAGTTTCGACCGTGAGGGAGGCGGTGGCAAGAAAAAAGTCGAGCATAGCACGAAGAAACCGGATGTAGCACTGCCACCTTCGAACGGGAATACTGTCGACAGAGGCCCTTTTGAGACGAGAAGGGCTGGTATTCTTAATAGTATGTAGATAAAATGAGAAAAAATGAGAATCCTTTGACGTTTTCCCCTGGACTTAAATCGGAAAGCCAAACTAACTCCCCCCAGGAACCTCCCCCAACGCGGAGCAAAAAGCAATCCACCAATTCATCCGCGCGCGAGGCACCATCACTGGCGGCCGGAAAGCCCACCTTTCTGCGTTAGCATACATGTCCGATAGCTACTTCATCGGCACCGTTGCGCGGGTCCAAAACATTCCCCGTTTCGCATCCCCCAGTGCCCTAAAAGCAGCCATCTGCAAGCTGAAAAACCCTTCCGATCTGGACAGCGAGGAAATCGAGAGATCCACCATGGAGCTTGCGCGGCAAGAAGCTGCCGAATTTTCGGCTGGGTATGCGCAACAACACAGTGGGGATGCTTCGCATGAACCACCGCGGAAGATGGGCATGATGGTCAGTTTGGATCATACAATCTACTTCCACAGTCGTGGAGGGTTTAGGGCCGACGAATGGTTGTTCACCGAAATGACAAGTCCATGGGCAGGCGACGAGAGGGGACTGGTTATGCAGAGGATCTGGGCGCAAGATGGGACGTTGGTGGCTACATGTGTGCAGGAGGTGAGAACTGTGGAATCCTTTCCTTCAACCTCACCAACTCTCGTCCCCGCTGTGAGTATATTTTTTTCATCCATATCCTTTGCTGACACATGATGATTTTCACAATTACTAGGGCGTTGTGCGCTTGAAACAAGACAGTCCCAACAAGGCAACAAAACTGTAAGCAGCAATCAATCGCACGTTATGCCTGAATGCTTGGAATTTTCTCCTTTTTTCTTTTTTTCTATGTTTCCATTTGCGATGCCATATTGCCGTCTTCTGAACACTGCTTTTTTCCTTGCTCTTGGGTTCGTAGAGGTTCGTGGATAGACAACTCTTTGTGTACATAGTTTTTTTATCTATTTTCTTGTGCGGTTTGTGATATATCACAAGACTTGGTTGGCATCGATTGCTATCCCCTTTTTTTCATTTTTCTTGTTCTGTATTACTTCTCATTGTGGCTATTACATGCACAAGGTTGGAATGTTTGATTTTCTTATTTTCCAATTTTTCATTCTCTTCTTTATTTGGGGGTGTGTTGGATGACATTTTCCCAATCTCTGGCCCTATCCATCCAAGCTTATATGCACTATTATTTCTCGCATTTTTCACCACAATATTGCTACTTATGACCACATAAACGACATGATATTTGCACTGCCTCTGGCAGGAGGAAAATTCCCTAAAGATAAGCCAGCGAGCTCGCAGGCAGTACTATTCTCAGGTCTGCTGCTTTCCGATCTCTTTAACAGCGCACATTCGAACGTTTGACATGCCGTCGACGTTTCATACTCCCGGCCGGATTCTCAATAAACCACCATTGCCACGCATATTTCGCGGGAGATCATGACGCGGGAGCGTCCTGGTGTGGGAAAGGGACTCTGTGGAGTTCTTTGTCACTATCTTTATCATCACTTCTACAACTGGCTACTGAGATCCCCCCACCATCCGCACTGATAGACTATCTTCCACATGGCGAACTCGAGTGACTGCGGTTGTAGGTGTGATACTCTCTACACTGCAATGTGCGCTTTCGGACTCGAGGTCTTCACAGCCGGTGATTTTTCTGCGGCAACCTTGAAAAATGACCCTTGAAAACGACACAGATAATGCAACCCCACGCTTCAAAGATTGAGGCGTATCCTACGGACGATTTTCTTACCGAGATAGGGAATGAAAAAGGAAGAAACAGATATACGCTGAGCATCTGTCTTCAGCAAGCCTTCATCCGCAATGTCGGTGGCACTCCGAAAATTCCATTTGCCAAAAAATTCCTATTCACCGTAGCTGCGGGTTGTATGTGACAAGATCTTGAAGAAAACCTTATCATAGTTTTCACATAAACCCTTCCTCACTATTGCGGGAAGTATTGTTCGTGAATCGTGAAGACTAGGTTGGAATTTAATCGAGGAAGGTTCCTGCAGCCGCAATGCATGCAGAAACGAAAATATCGGGATGAAGATAGTCTATGAACTTGTGCGCTCTTATCCAGTCCACTGTTATCTCATAGCCCTTCATCCGTCACACAAGGAAGCGTTAATGAAGTTTCTTAAACAGGAATATACGGGAGAGGGGCCTTGCGGGTATTACTGCTTCATAATTAATGTTTTTGAGGCGGCAACATTGGAAGGACTCATGGTTTTCCCACGACTTGCCAACGAGATACAAAACTTCTGCGATGAGCCCAGCCATTCCATATTCGAATGCGGTGAATCGGGACTGGATATTGGACGACGTGTTCCTCATATCTTCATTTTGAGGGAAAAGTTCGATTTGATAGCAATTTGACCCCGTTCCATCTACCGCAGGAGCCATAAATGGAATAAAACATATAAAATATGGACAAATAGTGGGTGACAGTTCAACGTGTACGGGGCTCAAATTTGAAGCCATGTTCACCTCTTGTCAGTGATTTCAACCCATCTAAAACACACCCACAGGCAGCATCATTAATACACCCCACATCACCTTAATCGCCCCAAGGGACTGTAGAATTAGGGGCTTATATTGGAGATTAGGGGTAGATTAAGGGGTTAGGCTTTGGGAATCTCGGAAAAACAATCTGCACCCAAGGATGACTAATCATCATGTGTATGCTGTTTTAGTGGGTTTGACCCTATTCAAGTGTATCTTCTGACAACTCGGCTTAGAAGAGCATTCACAAGGGTCCACAACAGGGTTCATTCTCCGATCCAGGGATTAATTTCCCGAAGACAATCTGGGGATATTTCCTCGCGGCGTGGGTTCGGCCATTCATCGATTTCCTGGGGGAAATCACCGACAATACGGCGCAATTGGGGGGACTCTGCATCTACCCCATGGGGTTTTGATCGGTTCGCGTTGGCTACTATCTATGGATGCTTGTTATTATTATATCGCAATGCGTCGGTGATTATTTTGTCAGGGTGACGGCACTCACTCTTGGAATTAGAGCCAGCAGCGCGGCACAAGCGCCCCTGCCTTTAAACCTCACACTGGTGTGCGAGTTGGGTCTGAGATACCGACTCTTACCGACGTATATAAGGGAACTATCCAGATGCACACCATATGATCTAGGAAGCTGTGGATCACCCCGGCATAAAACCTACCAGAACATCGTTGCATTGCCCTTGTCAGCAATGCAATGTCAGCAACGCAATGTCAGCAACTCCAGCTTCTTGAGGTCATCGACTTGCAAGTTGCGAAATCCATTCAACTGGGAAGTCAACCAGATCAAGATGTTGCGGACATTGGGACACATGGGGCTTAATCCCCTCCTGTTCCTCTGTATCTTCGGCTCTATCTTCGGCGCCTCTACAACCAGGGAAATCAAGCCATCTTTATAATTTACCCAATTTACCTACCCTTCCTGATTGAATCGTTGAAAATGGTACAGCTATGGACAACGGAGAGCAGTTACAAGGAGTGCAACCAAAGTGACAGCGATGAAAGTGAAGAAAACCCCCCAAAATCGGTATCGCATTTCTTTTGGGCAGCTATTTTCATCGGATTGATAGCGTTCGGCGCCCTCCTTATAGTCCTCGCCCCGAAAAATTGGCTTCGGGGAAACTCATGCGTGTTCGCGTCAGGTTCGAAAGAAGTGTCATCGTCACCGCAACAACAAAACGATGAGGATCTTATTATGGATTGTGGAAAGACACGCGCAGAGGCAGTTGCTCGCGGTTGTGTTTTAGATGTTTTGGGGGCGGCATGGATTCCCCCGCTGTGCTATGACAAGGAGCTTGCTGAAGAATCTGTATTGTCAGATACAGAGCTAGCGAAGGTTGGAGGTTCCGGAATATTCCAGTGGTGGACAGATTACAATCATACCGTTGAAATCTCCCAAGATCGGCTTCAATATCTCGATGATCTGGTGGGATATACCTGGGAGAAATTCCATGTGGCACATTGCTTGTACGATTGGCGAGTACTGGTCAAAGCGGCGAAACGGATTCGAAAAGGTGAACGGAATGTGTATGTGCATATCTCACTGCTGAATTATCAACATGCACACCATTGCAGTGAGGTCATTGCCAACCAAGATCACCGAGTTGGTGCGAGGGCAAAGGTCGATTTAGCACTAGGGAAATGCGTACGACTAGACATGTATTAGGCTCAATTCAAGTTGGAGTATTTTAGAGATGGGGACAACCAGTTTAGAATGCCCACAAATCAACCCCTGAATTCTTCTTAAGGAGTCAACAAATTCTATACGAAATACTATTCTTCATTCTATATAAAAGTTGATATTCGTTCAGAGAATTAATGTTACAGGAAAGGGAAAAGGAGAAGATGAAAATTCTATTCATGGTATATCGGGAAGGACTATGTCTCCAGGCCTCCTCTCAGCTTTGTCATTTTCACGGGAGCTCTGATGTTTCTCTGTCCACTTTCTGATTGCCTCAAAGTTTCGACATTTGTGGACAGTATTGAAATCAGCAAATGGTCCAACATGTTTCACCCACCATTGTGGCAACAGCCCTACATCTGCCGTACACATAACATACTGACGAAGCATGTCGATACAATGTCCTGTTGATTTTTATTATTTACCAGTTAATGAGCATGTCCTTTCTGGGGATCATTGGGTATGACGCACCGATATGTGTTTTAAGCCTCTCCTCTGGATCCAAAAAGGGCCCTCCCCCTAACTTCGAATAATATTCGAAATTGAAATGTGAGGTTTGACGGAGCAAATTCTTTGGCAACCAATCAGCATACATTATATATATATGCTTGGAGAAATGGAGAAGTTGCGTCTGCCCACTCACCACACAATGGAGATGATGAAAAACCCCAATATGCGCGAAAAAGCCTCCACCTTGTTCTTTCATTCGTTTCACCTGCCCTTGTTTAATTCCGTATTTTTCTGCTTCATCCTCCGGAACAAGCACTGACGCGACTAGGAACCGGTTTTGATATATGTTAACCCAAGTCCTCTACGATTCGATTCAACATAAACATCATGGAGACGGGTGACATACAACGCGTGCCGAGAGCGAGCCATGCTTCATCGACCAGTGGCCCTGGTGGTTGTCGGTAAATCGTTGCTTTCGTGAAAGAGCCATTGAAGAGGACAGGTTCATACGTTATATCAACATCCTTCAAAACAGGCGAAGCTGGGTGCCCATCATCAGACAAAATAAATATGCTTAGTTCCACACTTCAGGACCAGTTACAACAGTAAATTATCAATTCCCTTGCTTGGACTACTTACAATATTGAGTGGTGTGTCTGCTGCATATTTTATCCAGATTTCGGGGTTTGAACTGTTCTGCAAGAAGTATGAAATTGCAAAACACAGAGATACCCAACACAATTGAGACAACAAAATGATTCAAACTCCGGAAAAGTTGTCGGTTAGGAATTTTGTGTTCAGTTTCTTTCAAAAGAGAGAGATTCTCTTCTTCATCCAAACGTGAACCCATGTCTGAAGTGCTCAGACTCACCATTCTGTGTAGCCTCTGGTCTTTGGATACAATGGCTATCACAGAATGTCTTCGCAAAGTCGTCCTCCTCCGACTCCAAGTGGGAATTCGACTCCTGAGGCAGGGAGACAACAACCCCGCTCAAGATATCCGCGGCTTTCGTTATCTAGCTGCAGCTTCCCACAGATTGCGTCTGAGAGTTGTCATAACGCCATAAATACTAAGGAAAGGCGTTTCGTTTTTAAATGTAACCCAATATCTGGGGAAAGAATCGGTTTTCTGAGCATAAATCCGGGTTCCACGATAAAGAAACTTGCTGACTTCGAAACGGCATCAGCAGGCTGACGTCGATTCGGCATCACAGTGGAACATGTCAGCAAAACCAGCGATGCCGATGGAAAAATTGACAGTGCCGAGCATCAGGATTCTCTCGGCATTCCATCACGACAGCAATTGACCAGTTGATGCCAGATGGGAGAATTCATTGAAAGAATACTTAATGGCACAGATTTGTGCTATTTCAGCATCTGTTTAGAACAAACTTGCACTCACATTCCATTAGAAAATCCAAGCATCAACGTCAAGAATCCTTTCTTCATCAAGAAAAACTCCAAAACAACAATTCTACCAACCTCAAAATGAAGGCCTTCTATTCTTTCGCTCTCCTCATCGCGGCTGCTCTCGTCTCTGCCGCACCCGCTGACGTAAGTACAGTGGCTTGGATTTTGATGTTGTCGAACAACTGCTGATAGCTATTGCAGAAGCCTGCTGGCAAACTCGTTCCCAAGGGTGAAGTTACTGGCGGCCGCGAGTACCTCTACTACGTTGTTCCCTCTGCCGAAGATGATAAGGCCTATTAAGTGAATACTCTGGCAACTCAAATTGAAGAGACAATGGTGGGTTCGGTCATTTAGGCGGGGAAGAACATCGTTCTCTAGTTGGGTCACTGGGGGTGCGGGATGGCGGACCGACCAGGGGGCGGAACGGGGATAATGTATCTAGTGCATAGCTTCTATCTATGTGTGGAGGGATTCCAAGATTGACATGTCAGCATATCCCGAAACAGATCTTCCAAGGAAATAAGGAGTAGATAGAAACTTAAATCCAAGTGGGTTGCAAATTCTACATTCAAAGGGGAACCTACTTCGCATTGTAGCTCCTCTGATTTCAGCCAACACCTGATAACGTAGAGCAAAACCTGTAATTAGCGTTACCAAACGGCTCTTTGCGGGGGCACTGTGGAACTGAGCCAAGAACCGATGTGATTACTTTGATAGTTATAGCAGTGGCTACGAGCAAAATAAGCCTAATCAATGTGACCAGACATGTAGGAGTCAAATCCTCTCGCCAGCTAACCCATCATGCCCCCCCTCCTAAGCTTGCTCCTAATTGATTTCCTTTCAGAAATGCCGTTTCACACATGTATATCTAAAGCGCAGTCTATACCCTTCATATTTGAGCTCTAACAATCATCTTTTTGAATAATCCATTTGCGCTGAATATACCACGCGCCCAGGTCATTTAAGATGTTTAAAACCGACCCTTTCCCCACGAAGCCGAAGAAGAGATATTTCCCTCATGGCCTTTCAGGATGTGCTCTCTTTTCGGTCATTCTCTGTGCTATAATTTCACTTTGGGGAGCATACCTGATCGGATCGAGCCGCTACCATCTGGACAACGGCAACCGGGGGAAATCCCCTATTCCAACTTGTAGGTATCACCCTCTCCCACGCCCTTTGGAGTGGCATGTTTAGAGACTTTATGCTTTTCGTGAGAGTTGCCTTACTGAGAGAAAAATTTTCTGTCTCTCTTTTTTCTTTTTTCTTTTTTGCAGTACCGTTTCTGAAAGAGCCTGTTGTTTTCAACCCGGATCCCCGCTGGTCTGGCTCGGACGCCCTAACCCACAAACATTGGGAAAAGGAGCATCTTAATGGTTTCACACATTCATTTGTCCTAGACAATCCGCGGGATTACGGACTCGAGGAGGGGATTCCCTCTAGAAAAGGTTTTGAGCGGTTTGGTATCAGCATGTACCATCAGCTCCATTGCTTGGTATGTTTTAGCTCAATCCCATGAAAATATATGAAGAAAAAATAATGGTGATGATGATGACGATGGTGATGATAATGATAATGACAATAATAATCTTTGAGTTACTGATCTCCAGCTCATAGGCAAGCATTCGGATGGCCTATTTCAATCAAACAGACAACTATCAACATCGACGGGATGAGGTGGACATGAAGATGCTGGGCCACCTTCACGTTGATCATTGCTTTGATTATCTGAGACAGGCAATCCGATGCTCTGCCGACCCCACACTTGAGTGGGGTCGAGCGGAAAGGAACGGAAAGCCAGTGGAAATTGATGGATGGGGTGTTCCTCACCGCATTTGCAAGGATGTGAGTGTTTTCGAAGAGTTTATTGCGCAGCACCAATAAGATTCTTCTTTTTCCTCCTCGATATCGCGGCCAGCAAGAGGGAGGGAAGGGGGAAGGGGGAAAGGAGTGGGGTTTGGGGAGAACGTTTTGAAGTTAATCATGGAGTGGACGAGAGAAACTATGTAACAAGCCGTACAAGTCACAAGATCTTCCTTGTTTCCATAGAAGGATCATAATCATCAGGGATGTCTAGACAAATGCCTACTAAAGGCCTTCCTTCGCCGATTTTGCCTGGACCCCTACGCAGCCTATCCCGGAAGAAAATTTGTTCTCCATCCCAATGGGGGAGAGACGGATTCGAGTTGAACGTGGGTAGAAATAGAAAATCAAAATTTCTAACCATGCCATAGAGTTTAGCTCCTTTTTTATCCTCTTCGAGATCCTGCAATCCTATAACATTGGGATTCTATTTTTCTTCTAGAGATGGAAACATATACGAATCATTGTCAGTTAATTAGAGGAATGGTTGGTGGACCCTGCTGACGGGTCCTCCTGAGTGGAGATACTGATTTAGCTGACGGGCACTGTTGCTTGAACATGGGTGATTCGAGCTACGATGAGAGCTATTTTCCTCGCCACGTCAACGGGGTACCTGATCCTGTTGCCCTTCCAAAATTTTCGGGATGTGCTGTATGACGACAACAGAATTTGAAATTAGAAATCGGAAATAACAAAGAGCGGAAGACGGAATCAACCTACAATGAGTAAGAACGGGTTCAGAGCCGAGCTTCCTCATTTGGGCTTATGAATGCGGGATGTATTGGTTGCAGCGCTAAGGACGGCGGTGTTCGGACCCAGGAAAAATACCCACAAGCACGACACAAGCACGACACAAGCACGACACAAGCATAAGCCAAGCATCCCGCTACTGGAGGTGGATTCTCCACGGCAACGTAACTGAACGCGGAGACGTCGGCGGGATGTCGCAACAGAGCGAAGAGCGAAGAGCGAAGAGAGATGACGGCTGATCCATGCCTGATGAAAGTATGTATGTATTGTACATCCAGACGGATTGGAAATCATAAACAATAAAAATAAAAATAAAAATAAAATAATAAAATACTAATAATTAGGTAAATAGGTCACGAAGTATTCCCCACACTGAAGGCTCAACAATAATGCGAGTATGTGTAGCGTAACTTGCATACTACCGAACCAGTTGAGCTGGGCCAGACTGAACTAAGTAGAGTCCCATTGTTTGTTTGATAGATGGCTCACGTTGAAAGCCTTGTCCAGCACGTATTTTTCCTTTCACCATCTCATGGTCCTCCATTCATCCCATCGCTGCAGCTAGAGTCAGAATGATTTTGCATCATCTCTCCTTAGGTTTACGATGACACCGAAACTCTGACTCGCATTGCCAGCCAATTGGTCTCACGTTGTGATCTTCAAGGACCCATGTGAGATTTCAGTTCAAGTCTCCCGGAATCGTTTTCGGGTGCAACCTTTTACCCCATACTGCTCAGTGCTCGGGGGAAGAGAGATCCCACCCCGCAATCACAGCAGGAGATCTCAAAACCATATTCTCCGACTCTACCCAAACCAGGTATGTACCCCTCGTTTCAGAGCGATTGATGAAAAATTAAGCAATGCGTCCAAGAATGACCCTTACGATACCAAGATATCATATGTGGAAAAGCTTGTCGATCGATTGCTATGAAGTGACTAGCGGATCAACTGCTTTGTGGGTTTTGGATCCAAGTCAGAAATATGCAAGGTTCCCGCTACTTCCCGCTAAAATAAAGCCAGTTTATTCGGCAAGTGAGTTTATCGTGCTTAGTTGACTAAAACGTGAGCAGCTAATTTCCCATGGTTAGCCATGTGAGCATGCATATGCAATATACCACAAAATATTATTAATAACGACCCAGATTAGCCAATTCTGTTGGGATGGGACCTTGCATCCTGCAGATATACATGTGAATATTAACACTCTTCCTTGACCAATGTTGTCATTGACGTTTTCTGACGGTTATTTCATTAAAGAACATAAGTCCACACAAAGTTGATCTTGCCGATGTGGCAATCGTCAGAAGAGAACAAAACCGAGGAGAAAACTCCTCGAGAGCAGCTCGCGGCGAAAGAACGCCGTCGTCTTCAGAATCGGATTGCTCAAAGGAATCACCGTACGCTGTCCATCCCTTATCCAGAGGAGAATCGGCGACCAAAGCTAAGTGACACGAATAGGTAAAAAGAAGGCCCAGCTGAACGGAAATGAGGAGCAAAAATTACGAGAGGGTCCCAATGCACATGCCGATGTGCAGGTACAGCCGAGCAATAATATCAAATATAACGAACACGCTTCGGACGAGGATCCCGCGAATGTGCATGGATCACTTGCCCTTTCGCATGCCCCGCCGTTCGGTAAGGCCTGTCGCTCGTCAAACATTCACGACCACTATCGGCATATCCCCGCTGTATGGCAATCCGACAATCAAATCATAAACCACTCCTCTCGCTCCTCTCAACAGCGCCGGCGCGCCAACGAGATTTGCAGCACGAGCACCACCCTGGGGAATTTGTGGAGGGACCAGGATATCCCCCAAAATCCCAGTGGAGTCACAAGGCCCCAATTCTCAGAAGATGTAGGGAATCTAAGTTGCCTGGTGACCAACAGTCCTGACCTTAGCGCGGCGTTCGATGGGACGGATTCTGATATCGGCAGCCCTGCCGCACAATCTTATTCTGCGGCGCTTGCTACAATTGAACCTTGTCCACCTTTATCATCCGCACAAACATCTGTCTCCGAGGATGATCTCGGCTTGATCGGCGTTCCCCCAGGATGGCCAGGGAATATATTCGGCCCACCCAAAAGACTGCGCTCCTATAGCGAGAACACAGGAAGGATCGCTCAGAGCTCTCCTTTTCTCATGCATTTAGAGAGCCATTCAGAGCCCGAAAAATGTCATGATGACTCCGAGGGTAAAATGGCGCTTCACCTATCCGCAGAGAATGGCCACGCCAATATTGTGCGATGCCTCTTAGAATTCGGGTCCGATATCAACAAGCGCGATGGGTCTGGGGCTTCTGCGTTGCATTACGCAGCTGGAACAGGGAATGTGGAGGTTATTTCAATCTTGCTCGAGAAAGGCGCTGATGGGAATACCGTAGACCTTCAAGGACGCACTCCTCTGCACATAGCGGCCGAAAGGGGCCACGAAGCTGCTGTTAGGATTTTAATTCAGTCAGGAGCCAGGGTAGATATTCAAATCCAAAGGAATCACGTTTCCAACAGATATAACACTTAAATATAAACCCATAGCCAGTGCTCATTTTGAACGCATGTCTCTAGAGCATCATCGCACTGAGGGCCACGTGCAACATGGACGTTGAAAATCATGTCAGCTTTTCTCAACATTGTCATTTATACAATATAGACATTTGTTCAGTAGATGCCGTAAGGCTGCGTAGTTATATATATGCCAATGTAACTTAGTTATACCTTCTCTAATTAGTAAGCCAGTGCGCAAGGGATAATATCTACCTGGAGGAATATTGGCCAGTATCTTTAAAAACTGACATTCCGAGATGGATTTGAACTTTTCAGCCTCGCATGAAGCTGCTGAGCATATTTGCAATTCGCAATTCTCGCTTCTCTGAAAAGCGAGTCATTAGATAGTATCGCTGCAGTCAGAGCCCATAATGTCGATTATGAGGTAATGCTTGGCCAAAATATCCATATACATCTCCAGCCTAGCGCTTAAAGCGCTCCTCAACATCGTTACGCCACCTGGTATTCGACAAGAATAGCACGTGTGAGAGATAGCTGGAATAAACGAAGTATGGTCCAACAGAGATCCATGAAGGGGGATCGGGAGGGAGGCAAAGGCTATGTATAAAATACAGTCACAGTTGCCCTAATTCAAAGGCGGATCAATCAGGGCTAAACTTTATTGCAACCTCTCCTAAACTTCCCGTCTGCGCCCCCGTGGGGAAACAAAGACGAAAAAGAAAACACAACGGGCCAATGTAAAGGAAAGTTTCCTTAGAATGGTGAAGGACGGTGAAATTTGAACCGCCTTCTGGGTTGCTTACTAAGCTGCATTCTCCTTTCCAACGTCATGTCTCTCAAGTTAAAAATTTTGCTGATCCCTTCATAGCCAGATATATCTCGTTGAGCCTGTTAACGCTAGACAATTTGTTTATAACACTCACATGGTTCTGTGCGTAGCCTTTCGATCTCTGCTGTGTTATATTACCCCTATCTACATTGATTTGGCTCCTCCCTGAGTTTCAGCCACCCAAATACTGCAGACCCCCAATGGTCTCTCCCCTTATATTTCCCCACTGCATCGGGCCAACTTTTTATTTCCGTCACAAGATTCCTTAGCTCTTCTAACGGGAGTGCCTGGAGACGCGTTAGGGAAGTTTTTACTCCAAACACTATCGCTCTGGATTTCGGTAATCTGCGAAACGTCTGTCTTTCGCGACGAAGAAGAATATCCTCTGGCCGAGGTTCAACATCTCTGTGGCCCAATCCAACCGGCTGAAAAAGAATCGAACTCAGCGATTCATCAGGCTTCGTTACCTGAATAAAATAACTCGACCGTTCCATTGGCGAGTCTACTGTTAGCCGCGATAGAAACCTACAGTTCAATTAGTCGAATTGCACTTTTCTTTGGTCGATGCTGGGATATGACCAACTTATTGACAGAGAACTCAATCTCCTTATGCCATAGAGGAACAGGCCCGTGCATCTGAGCAATGGTATATCCAATTCTCTCCATGGCGCACCATCCCACGGGGAATAGACTGGCTGTCGCCGCTCTACCTTGTTTTCAGCAAGTGGTCCCTCGGCCGGTTATAAGTTGATAGGACTTACAGGTAACTCTGACCAGCTTCATTCTCCAATACGATACTGAGATCTTCCATCGCAAGTCGAGCTGCTACCTCGAGTGGCTCAAACCTATTGGTGGGATCTCCGAGACGGTATACCTCGCCTGTCGTTGTGATACTAACCTCATTTTTATCCATCACAAATACATCAGGGTATCGACCGCATAGATATGTGGCAACTTCATGCAGCAATTCCTCGCAAGCATGTCGGGCTTCGGGGAGGCATTGGAATACTTTGATTCTTTGAGTCCGAAAAAGGGAGTCGCGCAACTCGTGCTGCTCCATATAATTTTTATCGATCGTCAACCAGTTGCGCTGATCGAGCCTTCTGAGCCCCATGTTGGTGCGGTACTTGGCCCTGCCCTTGATTTGTTCGACTGGGTAGGGAGACAGGTTTTCCAAATCAAAGCCTGCTTTCCCCTTTCCCACTTTGGATTTCAAGAACGACCAAATAATTTCACCGAGGAGGATAAGGAGAAGTAGAAAAAAAAGCAAATGCCAGAAGACTTCCATATTGACCTGCGAGGCGTTTGGGTGGCAGTCACCCACAGAATTCGACACAATTTGTTTTGACGGATGCGGGTTAACTCAAAAGATCATGAAGTAAGGGGCGAGTTGGCGGCCTTAAGGTCATGTATGAAATCAACTGGAAACATTCATTTGAATAATACTAAACTTCTTTGCTCCATTTTTGTTCTTGCTGTCCCAGATTTTCCTCAATAGAAAATCTAGGAGGAGGTATTGCCGACGTCCCAGCCCATCCGAAAATTAAAATCCTCCCTACTGGTAGGATTGATATGGAATTTCGGCGGCCTCTGCGGGTCTAATTCTTTCCAAGACTGATGTGCATAACTCCGGCATCTGAGTTTAAAATCGAATAGCAACACTTATTCCGCAAGAAATCCGTACGCTAGAGGCCCTGCATTACTTATGTGGACCCTATGCAGAGCCACCAATCCTGCTTGGAAGTATTATATTGTCGTGTTTTTGTCACATTAGTTTGGCTTCTCTGTGCCAAAGAACGATGACGCTCAAGACAAGGATATGTGCATATGATACAACTTCTACGAAAGCTCCATGGGCTTTTGGGGGAAAGAATTTCGACAACAAAAATTAAATGCCGTCGACCGACTGCTAGGATTGATCCTCAGGATTGCCATTGCTCCTGCATCGTTTTGCTCGCATGTGTTTTTTTTTTTTTTTTTTTTTCTCACCGTTCTTTCTATATCGCCGCTTTCTTCTCAAAAGCCGCGGTTACCGCCAACCCATGTTTGGGCCATTTCTTCAGATCATCCGAATTATGAATTGGAAAAAGTATAATTGAAAATTTGATAAATTACCCTGCGCAAGCCGTTTGCCTTCTTTCCCGGCCGGTTATCTAAAGATATCCACTTGTCAATATGGTTCGTTAGCTTCCCTCCGCTCATCTGGCATTTGTTAATTGAGCATCCAATTGTTACAGATCAGAATTTTGGGGCCGATGGCTGTCTGGACCCTGGCAGCCACGGACTATTGGCCCTTTTTCACGTTGCCCATTGTAGCGCGCTAATTAGTGCAACATCAAAACCTTAAGTTTCCGCCATATCCCAGCGGCTCCTTGCCAAGTACCAATGCTTTGGACAAACCTCCTCAAGTCCTAGTCGAACATGATCCGCGATCGTCACAACAAGCCTGAATAAACGGGGAGTCAACTGATTTGCCAAAAGAAATTTCCAAAGGTAATACTATAGAGTTTTTTTCCCCAGGGTCTCGAATCCGGACCCTGAAGACGCCATATTCCACCACAAACTTCTTTTCCTACTGACCCTCACTAGATCGAGTAGCACTCTGCAGGCACGGAAAAAAAAATGATAAGAAACCACAATGTTACGACTGACAAAGCAAGTGGTAAAATGTAGTGCCCCCCGCACAGAAATTCTGGTGGAAAAAGTTCATCGATGCTAACTCCACTTACAATGACGAGACAGTAAAACCCTGTCTATCAATTGCTTTGTTGTCTTCTTGTATTTTTGTCGCTCCGGGCGGGTAATGACACAAATCATTTTCGTCCTTAGAAGGTCGGAAACAATGACTATGTATAGACGACTGGAATTTGGAAACCCCGAATTGCGATGTAGCCCTCCCCATCAGAAATCCTAAACAACTTTGGGATCGGTAAACGTTTCGTGAAAGCCACGTTTGACGGCCTAATGCTCTAGTTAATTAACTTTTCTTTGTCCCCAATAGCTTCCCCGCAAATCTATCAAACCCTCCCCTTCTCCAATGGATGTTTACCGCTTGTTGAATAATCATCATCACCATCATCACAGAAAGGAGCAAAACAGCATAGACCGCCCTTCCTGCTGTGGCAATCAAATTTATGTCTGCAAACACTTCTAACTGGCATTCTGAAAATCATTCAAGGGCTACCGTCCATACACTGGCTGCTCATGTCGGATTCTAAAGGAAATAATTCCAATGGGATTACATCATTTCCATTGTCGGATACTTACTGCATCGCTAACATTTACAATCGAGCCAGTATCTAGACCCGTGTATACTTTCATGCTGTGGTGAACGTTGACTAGCAATTGTCCCTAGGAACTCTTGCTGCAGCTTCTGAGGTGTTTGAACCTCGCGGCCTTTGACAATGACAGCCGTTCGTTGATTTTTGCTGTGGTTTCTTCTCCTTGGTGGATTCAGAATGGAAGATCAAATCACAAAACGGTGGCGCGCGTCTTAAGCCTTTCAGATATATTGCTTTTTTCCTTCTCTTTGTCTCGACCAATTCCTACCTGCACGCGAGTGGGGAGAGAAACGCGAGAAAGTGGATATTTCTGCCAGCCAACCACGGGGCATGGAATGACAACTTCGAATTACCAGAAATGATATTATCGATGAACCTTTAACTTGGATCTGATTCAGCGGATTCGGTTTCGCGTGCTTCCAGCCGAGGAATTCCCATTTGCCCCGAGGATACGAAAGAGCTGATTGTTTCCCCGGATTCCTTTGTCCACCTCCATTTTTCACATCTCAAATCCCCATCTCGCAGAACATTTGCTCTCCGGAAGTTATCAACATCAAAAGAACCTTGCAGAACTCGAAAGTGCATTCGTGTAAGCGCGCCACGTCACAAAATATCGGATTTCTCGGTCATTCTTTTCCTCCTCACTGCCACTCCTTGACGCTTGTTTTCTTCTAACCTCACTTAATCGATCCCAAGCGTTCGCCGTGGCGATGATTTGTCAACCCTATATAGTCTCATATCAAACTTCGTGAATACAAATAAGTGATCTCCCGATCTTCAAACTCTTAGTCAATATCATACACTACGAAAAGTTGAGGTACAACTGTCTGAATTCTCTATCCATCGCTAAATCACAGAGACGCGTGAGATATGAAGACTCTGTGATATAGTTATGGAAGTAGGTATGTGATATGAAAGGACTTCTAGATGCTTCCCAGCATTGGCATCTACTACTGTTTGATCTTTTTCCATCAAGTGCCTATGTCTTGTTTTTACTACAGACTTCTGACGAGCTGTTCATTCTACACGACTAAGTATTTAAGAAGCTTGCCTGTGTGTAAATAGCCAGGCACCGTGCGTAACGATCAATTCTCATGAATAAGTGATACGTAACATGAATAAAAGGTAGATGATGCCTTTTCACAGTCGCAAATTTTCGAATGGCTATTGAAAGGCAATTGGCTGGCATTTCATCACATTGTTTTCAATCATATAGCACCAATCATACTTTCTTGACTATGTACACCCTAAAATCCATATCAACTAGCAAAATTTGTACATGATTTTGGATGTGTCCTTTTAAAGAGATTTTATGGACTTGCTGCAGTGTGTGCCCACCATTCGATGGGGACATTCGTCTCTCACTTTAGTATATATCGCTATATCATCTCATAAACCTTCCATCTAGGTTTTAAAGGCTTGTCATTGTTATAGAACTAATTTCAACAGCACGAGGGTTAGGAGGAACCTAATTTTTGAGGAGGCGAATAACAGTGGTGATATATTTACTCCGCCTCAATCAGGGCATGAAGCTGAGAAGTGTGAAAAAACAAAAAGAAAAAGAAAAAAAAAGAAAAAAATCACTGTTCCATTTCTCCCGTAAACACAAACTCAAAGACATCTCAAATTCATAGCTCGCTATAGATGACTTACGGCTTAGGCCATAATTTTCCAGCCAGTGCAACAATGCACATTACTCTAGGAGGGCACGATTGTTTGCCACATATCTGGATACCTGTCAGATTCCTGTTCTTTCTTTCTTTTTTCCTAAACTGGATGCTCCAGAGGGTCCGCCACATCCCCCCTTGTTCTCAAGGAGACTTGAATCTTCGTTACTATAGCCGCATAGGAACGGGGAAGTCGACTAGTTAACCATCTATTCATCGGGGCGCATGTTGACATTGCCTCGACGAAAAACAAAACACTCCAAAGTTGAAGCGTAACGACAACTGCTGCTTCACCCCCGAACAACGTTCCCAGTGCGAAGGATAAATAGGTTGGAAAAAAGACAATCCGAATTGAACTTCATGGAATCATTACACCCATTTGATAATGACGAACAAGCCTCTCGGGATAAGATGGCCATAGAACATGACAAGAACAAAAAACAAAAACAAGGAAACTGGCGATGTCGTCTCTTTTCATCGATGGAACCATATGTCCTGATCATCAGTGCGTGTCCTCCTAAGTCACATCATATGAAGGCCGGGCCGGGCGATACGGGGCTGACGAGAGTTGGTATGTACTTGTCTAAATACTCAAATTAAGCCTGGCGGTCAGAGGAGCGATCGTCATGTTATATAGGACGCAATAAGCTGGGCAGAAACCAGGGGAAATAAAAACGACTATCATTACCGCGCGCCTGGGCAATTTCCGGGATACCCGTGTGTATCTTTGGAACGGTGGAGAGACAGCTTCTTTGGATATAAAAGTATCTGAAATATTCTGCTAGAAACAAAGGCCGTGTGAATAAACGAAGTGGAGGTGATAATGAGTAACAGCGCGTCAGCAAGACATCTGGGCCGGAATAAAAACAGCCAAAGGTAGTAAGGGGATGAGTCTAACGCAGGCAGCTCCTGCTGGCGATGTTCCTTTTTTCTATCACCAAAGATGGGATATTTAAATGGTGCATGGAGCAAGTGTTGTAATTGAATCGAGTCTATTTATTATCCCTATGGAAAAGTGAAGTATATAAAAGCATGCCAAACAGAGAAGCAAGTAAAGACAATCCAAAAAAAAAGTAGAGGCAGGGAAAGGGGGGAAAAGGAGTATAAAGCAAAGCCGGAGAAAGAAATGGGAACAACACAAATGGCTGACGTTGTCAAGAAGAAATTATCATCAGAGAATATTGAAAGCATACTAACATGGAAAATTGGCAGAAAAAGATGTTTCTTAACACAATTGCTAGCTCCTCATCGATCAACAAATAAGATCAACTTCAAGAAGGGAGGAGTAAAGGGCTGGATCAAAAATAGCACAAACGGCGAATATAACAAAAAGAGGTATATAATGGTAGCTAGACGAGTTCGCTACCTCGAAAAGGGAAGGGGGGAATATAGAAAGATAGAATATCAAAGGTTAAAATATAGAATGCGATAAGAAATTTTGTAGATCACGAAGGGGAAAATTGTTTCCAAGGGATCAGCTCAATCCTTTGGGGAGACTGGCGGATAAACCAATTAGGTAGTGGCAACCTTTAAAAAAAATCCGAAGTTAGATGGAATGAATGGAATTCATGTCCTCCGCATTTGGGTGTTTAGATGTCAAATGGAGAAAGACTAGCGGAAGGTAGCTAGGAAACCGGATGCCGTTCGAGGACAAGAGTTGAGGGCGTTAAGGAAATATTCATCGTCACTTCGTAAGATGTCTTGGTATTTTGGTATTTGTTTTTGTTACGCACTGGACTCTTTTATTCGGAGGGCGAATTTCCGGGAATCATGTTTCAACCACAGTAATACTAACAATGTGGCATTTATCTGAACCTTGCTGAGCAGCGTCCCATGACCTCACCCTGACAGACAAGTTCGGCGTTGAACTCGCTTCCATCCAGGGTGAGATAAATATCGAAGTAGACACGGTAAAATGTTCCTTGTGGGGTGTCCATCCGCTCAAAATCTTTCTCAAGATTCTTTCTGGAAAGATCGGAAGTAAGAGTAACGACCTCTTTGATTCCTATTTCAGAAAGGGTAATTTTAGTAAATATTAAACATCCCAGAATGGAGACGGGGTTCAGCATGTAAAACTAAGGGGGCTCTGTAGCAGGTGCACATACGTGGATCCTTCGTATATTCCGGACAAACGTCTTCATCACAAGCGTACAGAATATCCTCGTACATCAACGTTGCACCAGGAGCCACCTGCCGGAAGAAGCTAACTTTGACCGGCTCTCCAATTTTGACGCGCTCCCCTTTCTGGACGAAAATTTGCCGAGTGTATTTGCACCGATCTTTGCCATCGAGACTAGGAACACGGTACTGCTCCGGATGGTGGCCTTCTTTGAACGGCTGTAGAGTAGCCATCAGATAGTGACGACGAGCAACACGAGAAGTGACCACGCGCTCAGTGATTCCGGCCGTGACCGCACCCTTGACGATTGCAGAAACTGAATCCATTGGGCGGACCACTTTAGACTGGAACTGAGGGGGGACATGGAGCTTGATCTGTTGGAAAAGATATTCGGAAGCACCGAAGCCGCCGACGACAAGAACGTTCTGTGAAATATATTAGGTGGGCTTGGAACAATACAATTGGGATTGAACTTATAGAAGGCGGATTTTGTATTGGCTTACCTGGAGCGCGCGGTTTTGTGCTTGAATGGCGATAATCTGATTGCGCACGAGCTCGAGAATCCTGTTCACAACGGGTTCAAAACACTGGAGGATTTCTTCATTCGTAAAGGTCATATATCCCTCTTCAATACCAGCCTCTGGGAAATCAGCTTCAATACCAACATCCACCGCCCATTTCTGACCGTTATTTCGGAAATCGGCTTTGATTCGGTTCTCAAAATCCATAATACACTTGGCGTAAACTCTTCCTGCAGTTCTTGAGCCATCAGGAAGTTTCATTTTTCTAATTTTTGCTCGAAGGATATTGCTAAAATTGCGGTTAAGAGCCGTTGACCCGCACGAATCTCCAGAGCCTGCGGTGCACTCAGCCACTGTGAAAGGGGTTTCTTCCTCTACTTCATACGCGATCAAGTCGACTGTCCCGCCTCCACAATCAACGATCAGAATTGCATCATGAATTTTCAGATTCAGTAAGCCAGCTTTGGCGCAAAACATCGCGGCAGCTTCGGGTTCCGTGATCAAGGTTAGACGATTATCATTCTCGTCCCGCAAAAACCCAGCGGCGATTGCGGCAGCGCGGGTAGCAGCCTTGCCAGCATCATTCCAGATAGCAGGGACGGTCAAGAAATATCGAATATTTCGTTCCTCTCGATTAAATACTTCACCCAAGGTCTTTTGTAATTGGTTTCGCATGGCACCGCGCAATTTCATTAGGTAATCTGCTGCAACATCGATTTCTGACTTACCGGGGGGAAGGGGAGGTAGATTAATTGGATCGATATAGGTGTTTCCAGAGAGCATCAGCTGTAATTTGAACCACTCCACTTTCTGAACACCTTGCTTCGGGTAGCCAGTAGGGGCAAGAGCATCAGCAATATCAGGGCCCCATCCAACAACTTTCTGGTACTGATCGTAGTAAAGGACAGTTGGAATCTACACATTTTCCACGAGTGAAAAAGCAGGGGCAATAAGCCATGTCAGTCGCCTCAAGATCGCGAGAGTTATTTATAAGTTTGGGGTATAAAAAATCACCCAAAGCCAAAAGATTTAGTCGCCAAGGGGAGGAACATTGAACGTTACGGGAGGGCATACCTTTTGCTTTGCGTGAGCTCCAGCACCAGGCCACTCCGTGATTATGTCCTCTCGCGCTTCTGTGTTGGTAACAAATGCGAACGCTACGCCCGAAAATGTAGTTCCAAAGTCTATTCCTACAATAAGCTGAGCCTTGCTTCGGCCGGTTGCATCAAGTTCGCCGCCAGCGTGCGTGCGTCCATATGTAGATATTGGCTGCTGCTGCTGTAAGCCATGAGGGGCGTGGGGAGGATAGCCTCCGTAGCCTGGTGGTTGAGGAGGGCCGGCGATCTGGGGAGCACCAGCCTGGGGATAAGCAACTCCAGTGTTGATAGGAGGGGGTAATTGTTGCGCTGGAGGCATAGGGCTTGTAGGCCGCCCAGCACCAGCGTTATAGGTGTAGCTCGGTGGCCGACCTAGTTGATTGGGGTTGTTCATCGGAAGGCTGGCGGAAGAGGAGTTGGCACCTGGTGGAGGGGAGTGGGTTGCGCCGCTCGCAGGAGTAGGATTTGGCGGGGAAGCAGTCTTGCGTTTTGTTCCAAAAGCAAAAGATTTGAATCGGGAGCTCATCACATCCACAACAATAGAGGGCTGGAAATGACAGACAGGCGCTCGCGGAGACTATGAGGAAAGGAGGGAAGGCGGTCCAGCAGAGGAGCGGGGGGGAAAAAGACGAAAAAGAGGTGAGGGAGGACCCGAGATTGAGAGCAGGTGGTGGGTATTCCGTTGTATTGGTGGCAGTGTACCGTACCAGGCCCGGCAGCGGGATGATGGTAATTATGAGTTTGGTAATGATTACAAGGTCGTCGACCTGGACAAGGCTCGACAAACACCGCAGCAATAAAAAGGTTAAAAATGGCAATAAATAACAATAAGCTGAAGGTTCACCGTCGCTGGATCCTGTTCTGCGTGCAGCTTCCTGGTACTCAGGTCTCGACCTTGTTGTGTTTAGAAATACCGTCGCAATCGGATCATTGGACGAGCATGCGAGGGAAGCAAAACTGGTGCGAACAAGCGGATATTTACCATCCAGGTCTTTGCTTCTCCTGCCCTCTGCTTGTCTGGGTTGCGAGCGTGTCTCAATTCCACGAGGATCCTGGTATCAGATACCGTTTCTGCGTGAGTGCTGATGGGACCTGTGTCTCCAGAGGGGTAGTGCAAACAATCGTGGTGGAGTTGGCAACGATGGGAACTGCTGTTTGTAACTGGGCTTGCACAACAAAAGGGAAAATACTTTGACTGAGATGATGATGAACAAAAAAAAGAGCGACGACGCTTCGTTGGACTAGTCCGAATCCTCCAACGTGTCTGTATTATTTATTATGAAAATTACCTGCGAAGCGTGGATTATGTAAAACGAGGGGGGATGGTTAGTTAGGTAACTAGCCAGTTAATTAAGCGCGGCAAAGGGGTTGCTTGGTGTCAGCATTGGACTTGTTTGTAACTCAGTGACTTCTTGTATCCTTGATGCAAGGACCTGCGAGTGTGATTGTTGTAGCCCGGAGAGAAACAGCATGTCTGGGCCACAATGGCTTTCGTCTCTCTGCAGTGTCTGAACATGGACCAGAATTGCTAGCCTCTATTCGTTGTGTTCTGCTCCTACGGTAGTTACATGTACGCTCTTGTTCCCTTTGTGCTGTTACCTGACAATCGCAAGCCATCTTTATCTTCATCCTCCGTCTAAAGCCGGCAGCCGTTGACTACGTGGGAATTGGGACTCTTTGGCTCTCGCCGCTTACATCCTCATTTATCTCGCCCATCCATCATCCAAGGGTTATTCTATCTAGTCCCTGCGCGTCTCGGTGCAAAAATAGAACGGGTTACTATTTTTACCACGGGGCACTGATGTATACGGCTGTACGGTAACAATGGACATTTATTACTGACTCAGATCTTAGATATTACTGTCTGGTTACCGATGCCTCTCCTTAAAGGAGCCAGCATCAATTGCACGCAGGAGAAGACAATCTTGCCTTGTCTTCATGGACATTGCTTCGCCTCGCAGTTCGTAGAGTAGGTAGCCTGAATAATTCCACTTCGACCCGATGGTATGTACTATGTAACTTCTCCGTACCCGTAATGTGCCTTGCCAAGGCGTCAGAATCCCGATAAAATAGTCCTTAATATTTTGAGGCTCAACCTTGGAACAACATCCGGGAATTAGTTAACAAAAGAAAAACCTCTAACAAACAGGAGGTTGGGGAAAACATCTCCCCAATAATATGCTGATCCGCGCCTTACTAACGGCTCCCGATCGAACTTTGTTGGATCCTTTCCTTTGGGTCATTTTGCGCGCCGCCCCGGGAGAAGGAGGTGGTCAAAAACCGACCAGGCCCGACAAATCCTCGATATCCACTCCTGGGGGAGGCTTCGAGCATTGATTGCCCCACCCATTCTCCAGAACCCTTGATACTGGACAGTGACAGCCCATTCAGGCGGCGGCGTGATGTTTGTTTGCCAGGCGCGACTCTCATTCGTCCGTGCCTTCTCTCTGAGGCTGAACAGGATGCAACTTCATGCAGCCCACAACCTGTCATTGCTACCAAACCGATCAATGAGCTTCTGAGGAGCCATCCCGGTGTTGGGTGGGTGTTGAAAATTTTAAACGAGTGCATCTGGGATCTCCCATCCGTCTTGCCTAAATTAGAGCCATGATCCAAAAAATTCCTGTTCATCGTGAAAGATCGCGCTACTTATTACCCTCTCAAGCTGCCCTTGTCAATATCCAATTTCCAATTTCCTCTTTAGATCTTTTACATTTATTAAATTCTTGATTCATTTCGCAGGCGTCGTTTCCTGTGGCAACGATGTCGAACTTGGTTTGCGGGATATACTACTGTGCATGTACGATTGAAACTTTAGGGCCCTGAAACTAACCAACAATAAGCTGCGGCCAGCTGAGGACTCAACATACATACCTTGTTCAAATCACCTTGACAACCATTATCCGATCAAGGGTTCCTCTCCTCTTTGTGTGGTGCTTCCGCTTTCGGATGAAGTCTTTCTTCTCGAACTTTCCAGCCTTCAAAAGGATTTCGGAGGCTGGCCAACATAGTCAACAATGTGACATGCCTCCATTTGATTGAGTATGGTAATTGAACTGAAGACATTCTGAGCAGCCTGACCTTTTCTACTTCCATATTGTGAACCTTGAATTTTAGAGAGTGATGCCGCTGCTTATGTCTGTATGTACTGTATATACGTTACATATCCTGTACAGCACGTATTCCGTGCAATCGATATCGAAGCCTGGCCTCTTGCCCAGCGTTGGTTTCCACCGCCGGGAATAGAGGATTGGAATACTTTCCCCCATTTCTTGTTTGAAATCGCGGAGAAAAACACAAAAGAAGAATGTTTCTTTCTCTTCTTATCCGTGTCTGGGTTGATGGTAATCTCTCGAGATTCGTCGTTTCACTAATCTTCCCAAACCGAAACGGTGAATCTTCGTTTATTCTAAAATCAACAGCTACCCGGTCGTTTGTAATAAGCCCCTTTAAAGTCAAACGAGTCATTTCCGCTGCTAGAATCTCGGATTTTTTTTTTCTCGATTTCTTTCGGATCCATACGTGACCGCATAGGTGACCAGCGTTGTGCGTTTGTGACCCGTTTCATTTTATGCGTGCTCCTTTTTCTATTTTCCATTTCTTCCTGCTTGCATTCATTTGCGGAATCGAGGTTTTGGACCCCGAACAATAGTGTCAATCAGCTGGTTGAGGAGCGTTTCCCTCCCTCTCATCAGCTTTGCTTGGAATTCTTGGAATTTAGCTTGTTGTTTTGTTATTTTTGTTATAGGAAAATGGGCTTGCGAAAGAGACTAAGGTGGACATATTTTGGGTCTGAAGGCATGCGTACTACTGGCGAATTCTTCTTCATGGCGATGAAGAGAAGGGAGGTGTGAGCTCAGCACCGCATTCGGCATGATGCATGCTCTCGCCTACCGAACGTGGATCTCAGAATTCCTCATGCATGGAGTTAAACAGGAGACAAAGGGGATGTATTGGTTGCTGTGAACCAGTCGTATGAAAATCGGCAAGGCAATTTGGTATGAGGAAAAACAAGTAGAATTATATCGCGAAGGCCGCTGGTTTTAATAGACTGCTTTTTTTGCTTCCCAATTCTCACACTCTTGCTAGTGATTTAGACTTTGAAGACGCTTGATAATGACACCACACCGTCTTTCCGCTGAGGTCGCATGGAATATTGATTCTCGCGGTAATTAAGCAGTTATCTAGAATCAATAGCTGCAAGCAAACAATTGGCTACCCACGAAGCTGCGGAAAATGTATAGACACATACTATCAGAGGATGTATTGCAAGAGTGGTGTCCAAACTAGCAGAAACTGGATGGCTTGCCCAAACTCACTTCCATGGGAGGCCGAAGCCCTCGGATAGCAATCCACTCAAAACCTTTCAATAAGGCTAACCGGATTTACATATCCGCTATGCTACGATCCATTTCCTATCTGTGTTCATTTGGGGCACCAACATCCCCAACATAAATCTTCTCATCATAACTTTGCAACCTTCCTTACCACCCAGTGCGCAGGTCTATATAGATTTTGCAACATGCTCTCCGGGTCCTGGATGTAGCCACACCAGGTATTTCCGGAGTCTCTCTTGACCAATTCAAATCCAAATTGTTGGATAAGCTTAATGACTTCCTCCTCCGTTAATTCTACATGCCCAGGTTCCCCAATCCCTTCATGGCGTTTATCCGAGTCCACAGCTCCTGTCGACTGAGTCACTTCTCCTTGAGAAGACTCTTTATTTGAAGACCTATCTTCCCAGTGCCAGAGGAGCGGCCCAATGTTTATCCAGTACCCGCCCGGTTGCAGACAATTGCGGATGGCCTCAATGTACCGTATCAAATTTGGGGCTGTATCGATGAAGAAAACGGTCGCAACGGCGTGAAATACACCCTCTTTTGATTTGCTGTTATACTGAATTACGAAATCTGCTGCAGACATGCTCATCGAGCCCACCCCTCTCCCATCATCAGGCCTATCCATTTGAGCAGCGATGACTGAAGCGGGATGGACATCAGGAATCATGACCTTTTTCAGCTGCTGTTTCCGAGACTTCAAATTCGAGAACTGCAGCGCAAAGGGATACAAAGGGTATTCATTGGCCCGCACCGTATGGTTCAATGCCCAGTTACTGGCCAGGAGTTGGTGGTAAGAAATTTCGTTCCCCTCTGCGTGATACCCAGCAGCGCAAAGGTCGAACACAAGACGTCCAAGCCCAGCACCAGGAACAAGTATCTTAATGTGCGGTTGGGAGCCAAACAGCTCTTCCAGATCAGCCATAACTGGCTTATAACACGTTTCCCGTTCCAGTAACCCCTCGGTACTCCAATCCCGGTAAAATTGCCTGACAGTTGAATGGGCTTTGTTAATGTCAGAGCCCGTAGCGGTATTCTGCCAGTTCCTTTGGCCGTCATTGGTGTCTGGGTTAGCGGGTAGGGAGAAGGCTTTCAGGCCGAAAGATAGAATCGCAGCCGCGATCTCTGCGTTCGCATCAATTGCGTCATCAATTTGGTTGAAAGTGTCCAAAATAGAAAAGGGAGGCTTTGCTAGCATTTGCCAATGGGCCGACGGTAGGGCATAAAATGATTGACGTCGTCGGTGGGTAGTGTGCGAATGTGCGCTCCTTCGATACTGTCTAGGGTGGCTGTCAGCTGGGATTTTTAGTAAAAAATACATAATTTGATACATAAATATATCGTTTTCTACATTATAATTGCATGCAAACATCGTTCTCCAGGCTTTAACTCAACAATTTATGCAGGGTAATTACGATGACAAAAGTTCTACATCATCAATTTTCGTTTCACTAGAGGGATCGAACTGCCTCATTAAGTGGGCGAAAATCGAGCCGAACAAACAAGTTCCACATGGGATATATCTGGAATCAAGAAGCATACCTGAAAGAATCGAGGGCAGCAAAGAGCACTCGCCGTTCCTCCGGATCTGCAAGGGGATCAAAATCCCCTTCCCATTCTTCCGCATTTTCCCCTGTTGCCGCATGTTGATCCATCTCTATACTTTGAAGAAACGTAGGGTAGCTGTGAACAATCTTTCATGTACTTTTACCTCAAAGCATTATCAGAATCGGTTTCTCCATCTGCTCATTTAAGTTTTGTTCGCCTCAGGATATTCATATTTTGGGTTTAGCGCCAAGCTTAAATCAACCTCAACAACACCAACATCAGCTATACAAAGCATCAACTCCAGAATGATACATCAACGCAGAATAACCAGAATCATCGTCCCCATAAACTGGCTTTTGGTATTATCCAAATATCAAGAGGCTTACTTTAAGTAGCCTCGGCAACTGTACGACCGGCATCCTCATACAATATTCTCTGCTGCCGGAGCCATGGATTCCAGTCCCATCCCAAGTGCCCAAGTCAGTCCAGCTATAGCTCCGATACAGCTTTCATTTCTGGCTCCAAAATCCCTGTATACGACTGTACACATCCACTTGACGTTTTTCGCAACATCAGCATTGCTATTCCTCACAACGACCAACATGGGAGAGTCTGGCACGTCATCAAAGCCGATGGGAAGCTTCGTCTACGCGATGCCTGATGTACGTTTGAATTAAAGCATAGTTGCTCTCTTACTTTTGTTTCCTGCCCTTTTCTTTTTCTTTCTTTCTTTCTTTTTTTTCATTCATAAGGAATAATTTCTTCTTTCATCACGCTTTTTGCACTCCTCCCTTCCACCAGCACTTCCACCGGCTGTGTCTCCACGTCTCAACTTTTAGCGTGGACTGTGTTTTTCAGGCAACGCTATCCACTTTTTGAAGTTGTATGATCCTACAAGGTTATTAGGGTTTATAGTACGATTTAATGCATGGTTCTTTTACGACTTCTGGATGAGCCATTTATGCCAGCAATGCTATGATATCCAGGTCTGGATATATTCGGCTTTTCTGGGCAAAACGCTGGGGAATGTTCGTTCTGAAGTTAACACCCGGATCTATTTGGCATTGTGGTTTATTTATCCTTGGAGAGCCCGAAGTATATATCACAATGCATGACGCTGACTTGGGGTTTGCAGCGTACCAACCCGAGAAACACAATCAGCACACCGCTTTATATGTCACAATCCACCGTCGACTACGCCACACGGACGGCACGGGCACTTGCGCACAGAATGAACATGCCTGTTTATGTTGGTTGCAGCGTCGACTTTTCAGGTTCTACCGTCGAAGAAGAAATGGAGGGCTTGAAAAAGATTTTGGAGATAGTCATAGAAAAGTGGCAAGAGAGAAATAAACAGCTAAAGGGTGACGAAGCGGTGCATTGCGCCACAGTCTCATGATATCACATCTTTATACCCCATATACCTATTACTGGAGGGACCAGAGCATTGCAGAGCATGTTGAGAAGCACCATTATATTTCGGCCAACAATTCAGGGCGCACTGGGCATTGAAATGTCGTCAGAATGAAATGGACAGAACTCTTATGTTTCTGCTTGGTTGGAAAGCTGGTGGGCGATGCAAACACTACATTCCTCGTCAAAGGAATTTAACACTTCTCCGAGGTTGCCAGGCGATTCAAAAGATTGATAAAGAAACATGCGTCTTCAACGACCTTTATTCTAGTTTTTAACAGGGTACGAAAGCATCAGTGAAGGGCGTACGGCAACCCCATCATCCTAGGCCCCAGCCGAAAGGAAAACAATAACCGAGATAATTACAACATGTCTTTACAATTATCCCCTTAATTATTTCTCGCCGTGGGTCATTCGATTTCTCAATGCCTCCGGCCTGCATTACTTTGTTTCGAATTTTCCGTTTAGATATTGCCGTGATTAAGAAGCAAGATATCCCTCCAGGACAGCAACTGCTGCTGAAAGTGGCGTGAGTGGAAACTTTTGGGAGTTCTTTGCGACCGCGTAGGCAAATGAAGGAACAGAGGAGGCTCTGGATAACACCCAAAATGAGGTTGAAATTCCTGCGGTCATTACGACAGTCGTTCTTCCCTAGGTGGTTGCCTACTATCCATCCTCGGCCTCAAATTGCGTTTGGCTGTGTGATTAAACCAGAGAACACGTTTGGCCCAGTTCCCGATAACCTTACAATATATAGGAGCTTACATAAGGATTTTGATCTTTGTTGTCATCTGTTCAATAGGCCCCCTTGAACTGCCCGATAGTTATGGATTGGCTTCTTATCATCGCTTTTTTCTGTTCTGAAATACTATCCGCTGGATTCTCAAGAAGGTGTGAATGAATCATGGGATATGTTGATCTTGTGGACTACTCTGCTCTTCAAACCGAAATATTCGGAGCAAATATGGATGGGGTACAGATTTCCTCATCCTGGGTCTCCAGTTCATTGAACTAACAGCGGGACGGGTGACTTGCAGGGGACTCGCATGGGAAAAAAAGGCGCCGGAAGAAGAAAATGACCAATCACATGTCTTTCGGCCAGAATCCAGGGACCCTGGCGAAGTGACTTTCCACGTCAATCCGACTTCTTTTCACCATGAATACCAGGTATTCCGTCCGATCCATCTAGCTGGTAAAGGCTTCTGCCCATCCCCCCCGGACGCTCCTTGCAGATAGGCTTCGTGCGAGCGACAGGGAATTCTCATAGCCCCAGTTGGGGAATCGATAGTTATTGAACCTTGCCAGAGCCATCCAGTCTTTGCGCTCTGCCAAATTTTTCGTGATTTTGCAGATTGGAGGGATGAGCCAGGATTTTACAGGGAAAGCACGAGCGAGAAGAATACTCTGTTTGTTCTTGACCTCCAGAGCATTGTCATTTGCGGTGTGTTGAATTTGCATGAGGACATGTTTGACGCCCATAAAATATAAACATTATGCAACATGTCTGCGCAGCACCAGCTTCGGCAAATTTTATCGTCTTGATCCAGGACTTGTATCCACTTGTCTTACCAAGGAATGTTGGTGCGGTCCAGTTGTCCGCGCACGGACCGTCTGCGTCCCAGACCGGGTACGAGGCGAGGGCCGAGATTGCATTGAGATGCTCACTCCATGTGCGAACGAAAATGGACCACAAAGCATGGAACAGAACAAATGCCAAATCGGAAGCAATGGCTCTTAGCCCTCTCTTCTCATAATCGGTTTGATAGCGACAAGCTCCGTACCCAGTACAGACCTATCCTTTGCGGTAAGCGATTTTTACCTCTTCTTAACTCGTTTTGCCCCGCCTTTCTGGCATGGTTCGAAATTGCCCCCCCCATTCACCCCCTGTCATGCGACTCCTTACTGGTCGGCAAGGTTCACTTCGACTGTTCATTTCCGAACATGTCTGCGCCTGAACGGCAAATCTGTCTTTCAAATTCTGCCTTAGTGGTGAGTTTGGTGTAAGAGTCTCATGGATAATGGGGGGTTTGGAAGAAGTGAGGATCCACATGATTTTAAATCACAACACTTCTGCAAGACACGATGAACCGGACGCAAATCGTCGTATGCGAATAAGAGCCGCGGTTACTTTACGGGACATCGCTGAATTATGATTATTTACCGGTAACAGTTGATTCCTCTGGTTAGGGTGGATCCAGAAGAAGATTTGCATGCTCAATTAACATGGAAAAGATGGGACCAAAATAATTCTGCGAAAAATACTGCCAATTATTTTTCCCCGTGGGATATCTACCCCGCAGCTCGAAAGGTTTTCAGCCATGTGAGATGACGATGACCAGCAGCCGTACCAGCTTCTCAGTCCATCTGCATTAACCTATGAAGTGTCTTGGGCATTTTTCGGTTATGATCCGTGGTGGGTCGATAAGATTCTCATGTGGCTGATTATTTATGATTTCCGTGTTTTTATCCAAGAAACAAGGCCAAACATGGGACAGCCGTGATATGTGCCTTATCTCCTGCATTTTTCGAGAAAGTAGGCCCTGTATCTGCTACTTACGCATTCAAGGAAGTATCAAGGATGGGCATTTTACTTCCTCCATGACCTATAGGAGCATACAAATCCAACTAAAGAGGCCCCTAAACTCAACATGGACAAGTTTCCATTTGGTAATGATACTCCCTCTGGTTATATTTTCCAGTATAGGTTCAAAATCTTTTCGTCAGTTGTCTTCACAAAAGAGGTTCCAGTGGATGACAATGACAGGCAGTTCCACTAATTCATCCTCAACTTTTCGCGGATTGAACTGAGCATCGACTTTACTTTTCCAGCGCCGCCTTTTGACTTGGCGTCACGCGGTCTAAGCAAACAGGAGAATTTCGTAGTAAGTGCCGATCCTCATGAAATTCTGCCATATGCCGAAAAAATTAATTGTTGCGAACGGAAGCTATGGTCTTGGCGGGTTGTCCACCCCCTCTGGATGCAGGGCTGCGAGCGTTGAGAGGAACCAGCCAATAGCGAATGAAACTAACAGCATTGTAGACAAGTCGATGAATGCTAGGCCGAGGATTTTAATACTCGGTACAGAGGCCGCTGCGAAAAGTTTTGTCCCACGCTAAGAATTTACACTGAAATATCCTTACTAGTATATGGAATCTCCAGGCCACACCACCTGGGATTTAGGCAGTGAGCTAGTGGGCAAGCTAGAAGGATTGGCCTCTATAAGCCCCCCTGTGACTCCCTATCCTTCTCATTAAGAGATGGAACAGCAATACTTAACGTCGGTATCAATATTTCAGCTCAAATTATTAGCGCAAGTCAAAACTTTTTGCAGGAGCCTCTGTAATTATTGAGATAATGTTCGATTACCAGACTACCCTTGCGTTTAGTGTATGCTTGTTTCCTCATCGTATCTGGGGTAATCACTATACAATCTCATTCGTCCGGATTTGTTTAAATGGATACAGGATACATCAGAAGAACCGCAAATCCGGCCAGTTTCACATTTTGGTTTGCGCACTGCTGACTGCTGGGGTCGTGTGCATGGCGCAAAAGGCCCAAGCGCCCCGCAGGACAAGGTGGACCGTGGTCGAGTTTGATGACTGTTGGTTGAAGTTCAGGCATTCAGAATAATGATCTGAGTGTAAAATTCTTCCTATTTTTGGGCCCTGTAACTTTGGTGGGGACTCAAGGGTTTCAGCTCGAGGTGCAGCCAGCGCAAGTCGCAGCGTTGAACGTCCACAGAAAATCACTCACGCTGCGTGTACCATCAAGAATGGAGAGTTATGTGCCTGCTTGGGTGGCCGAGCAATTATTATGGCAAACTCCATCTTCAATTTTGCCATCCTACTGCAGCTCCTCCATTGATTTGTTGGTTGGCATCATGGGTTTGTTCTGGTTTCCCTTCTGTCCGTGGCTTCATCCACGGTCTTCAACCGGAAGAGCAACACTCAGAACCATACTCTTTCCGATCCTAGATATTCCAGAGAGGAATCCCACGATGGCTCTAACCCAATTATGTTCCGGCTTGGAGAGTACTTTATTCGCGAACGAGTGGACCTGGCTTGACACTATCTTCGGATTCCGGACATCCCCCCGAATCAGATGAGTTGTTCTCCATTCGATCCACACGAACAATGTGGTTGCCGTGAAACACGCGGAGCGTCCACCAGCTTCCCCTGGCTTGTCGATCTCCTAAATTGACAGCCATTTCAATGACTGCCACGTTGGGCCACATTCGGCGATAGCTGACTTCCCTGATTCTCACCAAGATCGTTTGCAGGATGGTCATCTCTGGAGAAGGAACCGGGATACCCTGCCTGGAGTCGGGCACATGCGCTGTAAATCATGGATGATGTCTTCGTAAAATAGATGGGAAAGGATGGGTGCTGGCTACTACTACGTACGAAGAATGAACAGCAGTTACTCGCGCAACAACCCACAAAGACCACCCTTTGTGGGTGCTGGCCTCGGCCGTAACCCATACCACCGCTGCAATCCATTTTGCAATAACTCACCATTAATCGCATTTTTTTATTTTATTTTTAAAATGGCAGATGGCTCAGAGGACCCCGAGCAATTCTCTGAGAAAGTCATTGAATATAATATCCGATTGTGTGGTGATTTATAGACAAATCTCGAAATGTGGCTGAAATTTTTTGGTCGAGTTATACGAGCCCACAATCACATCCTTGGACCTATCCAAGGTCCATTCTACACAGGGATACTGTTTGTCGTTAGAGAATAAGTGTGGAGCCTGAATAAATGAGTTTGACCAGTTTAGTGAATGTTGGGTAAGGAATTTGATGTCCTTTGCTTCCCGTTTTCGTACGATTTATTATTTTTCTTCGGGTGACTGGAAGATGATTTAAGAGTCGCAAATTGAGAAAATCACCTCGATCTCGTCCAGCAAATTGTGCTGCATTATCTGCCAGTACTTGGGGGTTTTTTTTCTTCTTCTTTGGCTCCAGAGGCTCGCACCAGTGCAGCCAGTAACAGACCGCACTTCTTTACTAAGGCCTGGGGTTTGACCCCTGGTGGGTCCGGCTAAATTAAGGCGACTTTAGCCCAGAAGCTCAAGGTGCACCGTTCCGAAGGGAGGCGCATGTCATCCACCATATGGGCCATACTTCGGCTTTCAGCCAGGGATCAACCTGTTAGCCCATTCCTTTGATTGCTCCCGCGATGGAAAATATATCGGTTATTGCCCGCTTCAACATGCAGCTAGAGTCTCCTGGACTTCTGCGTTGCAATCGTCCCAGCAGGCGGTGGTAGCGGATTCGCGAAGTCAACTAGGTTTCAGAGAGCTAAACATTAGGTATTTCACTTTTAAGATGCTGGGTTAGCCAACCTAGAAAAGTTCCTGGTTCGGTATTCCTCGTTGAGTTTGACCCGTTGCAAGTTTGTATGCATTTTAATCAGTGATCTATTGATATGTTGCACCTGCGAAATAATTGGACTGTTTCGAACTATCCAGGAAATATCCCTTTGGAATCGTATCGCTTTCCATAGCTATAACTACGAAGAATCGTAGGTGAAGGGAAGAAAAATGCAAAATCCATATTACCAACTGCCCGTGATCCAAGCTCCGAATAGCAGTGGCCCCTATACTTCTCTAGCTGTTTCCTCACCGTCGTCATCATCATTAACTTCCGGTCCTCAGTTGCGGTCAACCGCTTCAGCTGCTTCAAGCAGAGCGTCAAACGGATTGAAAATATCTCATCTAATATATGGCTCCGGGCAACATGATCCGGAATATTCACGTCCAGCCATGACATATCCTCACTCACAGGAGTCTTTGTTGGCTTCGCCAGCAGAAAGCTCAGGGTTGTTTCCAGAAAGTCGCCACCAAAATGAGGCTGTCTCAGGACTTCATATGGTTGCCATCAACCAGCAGCCTCATAAAAGAGCATATAGGCAAAGGCGGAAGGACCCAAGTTGCGATGCGTGTCGAGAACGAAAAGTAAAGGTACGGGATGTTGCGAGTTATAAAGCGCGAAGGCATGTACAGATGATAAAGCCATGAACGGTGCTGATCAAAACACGTTTATGGATGGATATAGTGCGATGCTTCAGATTCCTCCAGTTGTACAGAATGCTCCAATCGAAATGTGCGATGCTTGTTCACGAAGGAAACTAACAGGCGGATGTCGTCAATTAAGTCTGTTGCCGTATATAAGATTTGCATTTTGAATTACAGAACTAATCCATGGGTAGGCAGGTTCAAGATCTCGAACGGCAGTTAATCCAAGCAAAACAACAGCTCTGCCAGCTTCGTTCAGGAATTCCTAAAACTGACAGCTTGATGGATCCAGCTTTTGACTTGCATGAGGATACTCCAAGAATCCCGGAAGTTGGACAGCGCCCACATCGCCTCAATAATAGCTCCAACATCAATCCACCACCGTCCCACGTTCGTTGGAAAATGCGAACTTACGGCCAGGGACTCATCAACTTCCCACCAGCTTCCCCATTTACACATCCTCAAATATTGCTGACTCGGGATGTGCCCTCTCTCCCTCCAGCAACCATTGTGGACACGCTCCTGGAAAATTATTTTTCCCACTTGCACCGCGTGTTTCCCATTGTACACTGGCCGACGTTTCTGAGTGACAACGATCGTGTCTCCCGCATTGGCTCTTTCAGTGGAGCTCCTAGAGAATGGGTGGCAATGGTGTTTGCAATGCTTGCTTGCGGCTCTTTACATTCTCTTGACCAAGAATTGGTGTTAAAGGGGAAAGATTTCCTCCAAACTAGCGTCAGTCTTATTGATGTTTGGCAGGACGCGTTTTCTCTAGACCAAGTTCGCACTGTGATGCTGATTAGCATCTTCTTGTATGAAACGAATTTGAAATCTGCTAGTTGGGTTTGGCTGGGCTCTGCTGTGAAGATGGCCCAAGATCTAGGATTGCACATTGAGTCTGGCTGCTCATCAATGGAAGCTGAGCTGAGAAAACGAGTTTGGTGGGCTTTGTATGCGTGGGAAAGGTCAGCTCGGTATCAACTTGCGTAAGATGTTAGATCCTGAGCTAATGTTTAATCGTACGTGTGCCAGACTTGTGGTCATTGAAACAGGCAGACCTTTAACGATACATGACGAAGATTGCGACGTTGAGCTTCCCTCCGCCAATGAACAACTTACTAACGGAGGCCCATTACCGCATGACGAGAAGCCTACCTTTCTCTTAGCCATCTCTCATGTCATGCGTGCTGTATCTCAACTAACAAAGAGTTTAAAGGCGCCGATGATCTCGGCTGATACGTTAGAGGCGTTCGAACGACATTTCAGGATGTGTTTGGAAACGTTCCCATTGGATTACCGAATGGAAGCGAATCATTACCTAGATCCTCGTTCACTACCTCCCATTATATTTCTGCAGAACACTCGACTTATTCTCCACCGCCACAACCTTTCTCCACGTAGCTCAATGGAGGTACGGCACGTCGCTCTTGGGCGTTGTCTAGCCATTGCCCGTGACACTGCCTGCTTGCTCTCCAGATGTATGCGTTTTCCGAACAGTGCGAAAGCTGCTTTTAATTGGAGATATCTTATAGCGGGTGCAGCAACAACAATATTATGTTGTCACATATGGCGCTGTACTCTAATTTTGCTTTTACGGGGTGACTATGCTGGCGCCCTTGTTTGCGTCCAAGTAAGTGCTGCGATAGGCGATGGAAGACCGGCAAATGCTGCTTGCGGCCGCTATGTTGCATTTTTCCTCAAAATTTTACTGGAGAAGGCACAGAGGAACGGCGTTACAAACCAAGATCACGATGAGGAAATTATAGCTTATGTTTCCGGCGATCTTCAAGGCCGAATAAGTGGCAGCTGGATATGGCAAACCGACGAGAATGAACCTCCTTCAGCCATTACTCCACCGCAATCCTCATCTTCATCGAAAGCGTCCACTCTTGGGAGGCAATTCGTTGATGGTGTTCGAAATGGTGCTACTCCGGATGTCCCAGAAAAGGAATGGGAGGGATGGGGGTGGATTGAACAGACAATCCAGTTCCTCCTAACGGAACAACAACGACAAACCGTCATTGTTGAGACAAAAGATAATGAAACCCGATTTTCAGGTCCTGTTAGGCCAAATGTACCTTCCAATCGTCCCCCCGAAAATACCAGTCCAGTTCGCAATAGCCCAACTAGTCACTCACTGATGACAATTGCCAACATTATATGATCGAATGTCATCTGAATTTCAGTCAACCTCGACATACATTGCTTATTGTGTTTCAGTGTTCCAATTGCAATTTGGTATCACAACTGACGAAATTCTCCAAACGTAGTCGCCGGGATAGGGACTCACGCAACTTGCAAAGCCGCTGTGTACTGCGTCCCGTTTGGTGAACACACGTAATTGGGGTTAGTAGTAAGGAAATCGATCCCTTGCAGACACATCGCCATTTTGCGGAGTTTTGCCCATCCCCTGAATCGATTATGCATTGCGGCGCCTCTTCCTTGACCATTGCAGATTTCGGGGTTCGCTGAAGCCCATTCCTCGCACGTGCACTTTCCACGAATGAATGATGAAAATATATATATCTATCTAATGCTGTTAGGTGTCAACGGGATGTTTATGGAGGGAGAGAATGCCCTCACTCTCGCTGCCTTCGCCTGCCTTCCTTCTGCAACACCCTCCCTTGGACTCATCCTACCGGTTTCAATCCAACGCCTGTCAAATATTAAGTTAATGACATGTACATATCAATGCCCATTATTTTTCTCTTCTGTTTAACTGCTTATTATATCCTTTTGCGTCTGTTAGCCAAAAATACCCTCTTCTTGTTTTTGTATATTTCTTAGCATCCGAGATAACTCAGCGATTTCCTATATTTTTCTTTGTTTTGTTTGGGTGTGAAAGGGAGGGTTTGGGGAGGGTTCACGGTTACGGGATTTGCAGGAGGCAACATGAATATTCACATGTATACAAATTTATACATAGTAATCCGATCTTGACTCTGACATCCTGATGTTCTTAAAGCTGGATTGAAGTAAGTTTAGTATATATGGAAAGGAAATGAAAAGAAAATAAATCGGCCATGAGGTCAACGGCAGCCATGAATCCTTTGAAAAATGCACATTTTCAGGAAGCCCAGTAAAATTTAACGTCGATTTCTAAGTCTCGAGATTAATACTCCTGCCAAATCTCGCATAGAGCGCAACCTTCAACTGCTGTAGCTCATCTCTCACGTCGCTTAAGTTTTCTTCGAGCTTGCTGACCTCATCGTCAATTCGCTCCGTGGCGGCTGTGAGGAGAGATTGTGCTTCCGAGAGGGGAAGGGAAATGAATGAGTCTCCAATTTTATATCTTTATTTTGATGTTTTTTGAAGGTTAGCTTATTGAGGGGAAGTAATGGATACTGGTAAGATGAGCAAGCTAAAGAGAAATAAGGAATAATTGTAACATACGGTATCTTTTCGTCCTCATCAGCAAGTTCGAGTTCCATAGACACCTCCTCAAGGTCTTCTTTATCTTTCTGTAGCATGCAAAAAATGATAGTTTGGACACAGGATTAGCAATACAATCACACATGCCGTTAGAATTTTCGGCAATAAGAACACATTTGTAACCCTAAAACAAGTTTTAAAAACTGGCGGCAGATATGTTCACGACCTGAAGATTTTGCATGCAGGTTCCAAGAGAATGGCCAAAGACGTGACGTTATCATGATTAATCAGAAGGCACATTCTGATATAGCTCCGATTCATAGAATACAGAGACATAATCTCACTCGAAAACAATAATTAAAAAAAATAGAAAGTAGAGACCTACATGCTTGGTTTTTAGCTGCTCTTCTAGCATTGTTTCCCGCTGGTGCAATCTGCTGAAACGATTGATTTTTTCCTGGTCTTCACGTCGGACCTCAGTTTCGTCGCCACCCGCCGCTGCCTCGTCCTCCTTTGAAAGCTATGGAATTCGTAAGCCCACGAAACATCTGGAAGGATATTGTTTGGGGTTCGTTGGTAGGGTGAAAGAGCAGAAAAGAGAAGCTCGCACCATACGCCGCTGTAGCATCATAGCGTTCAAGTTTTTATGAGGTGCGGGGAGATTAGATTGGACGATGTCGAAGATTCGTACAAACAGAAGCCACAGGTATGGTCACAAATGTTACTGGGGATTAGTTTTTGTTTATTTGGATTGTATTGCACAGTGCTGCTTGTGAGTAGTTTGATCCAGCGGCCTTTTCAGCTAAGAAATGAACTAAAATTAACTAAAATGGCCCGTGCATTATTCAACTCTCGCATGTCTGATCTACCAGTGCCATTTGTTGTCTGCACCACTCGATGCCATCTGAGCCTCGTAGTATATGATCTTTTTCAGTATGTTGAAAGACCGAAGAGTCTGGTCTCTCTATCTGTCATTACTTGCGCTTTATTGTTCTCCCTCCAAACAGGGACATTCTAGCTGCATGAAAGGGTGAACCAAGATATCTCTACCACCTCCACTCTGTATTTCCTATGCCCACTGCATTCTTCTGAACTAACTCACTTTCAACACTGTAGTCATCATCATCATCATCAGCAGCAGCAGCAGCACTGGCAGTTGTTGATGAATGACTATTTAAGACTATCCCAGCATGCTTAGCCTCTTTCTAACTGAGTTGGCTTCTGACTCTGTAGTACAGCAAGAAAGCCGCTAGAGTTTTAATTATAATGGAAATTTAATAAATTATTTCATAAATTATTTTCTATATATCTGAAGTATATATGAGTTGCGAATTCAATAATCTTATATATAGTACACTGTGATACTGTTTGTTTTTGGGTGTGACAGATGAGCACCTGTTCTTATGAAAAATCATGTCCTTGTCAACTGGTTCAGTATACATTTCCCCCCTCTTCTTGTCACTCCTCGTTCTTCAATGACAAAGATGCAGCCTCTTTCAAACGTATTTGAGACTGCCACCATGCCAGTACAAGAAAAATGATTGAATTGTCAAAGTGTATTATTCGCTCTGAGACGGCTAGAGGATAGTGGTAGGCCAATCCATGCATCCTCATTACCAGCCGAGAGATGAGCCAGGAATTTGGATAGCGCATGTTCGTTGCTGGCAGTGTAGAGCTGCTGGGCCTGTTGATCAATCGTTGACCTCAAGAGTTTGAGTGCATCGTGCAAAATGCAGGTTAGAGAGCAGCGCTGGAACCAGAGCAATGGCAATCACAGTGTTGTGATCTTCAGTTTGATCGTGTAGAAGACAAGGGGGAGGAACAGCTGGGAGCAGGCGGGAGAGCATAGGGCAAGGTGTAACCAATGGATTGGATGTTCGATCTTCAATAGAGCCGATCTGAGTGAAACTCATCAGCTTTGCCGTCATCGATATACCAGTGGGAAGGTCAAAGCGGCAGTGGAAATCTGTTCTTTGTCAGATTGTCACGTGATCTATCCCAGCCTGCCACATCACTAGTCCCTTTTTGTTGATAGTCTGCTCTGTAAGCAGGCAGCTTCAATTCGGCCAAAAGCGGACGGTGACCACTGCCAACCCTTCAGTCGCGCGAGTATTCGCTGCAATAGCCTGTTAGCCTCTGGCATCTCCAACTATCTTTTGAACAAGAAAGCTGGCGCTACCGTGGTCGTCCTCCTCTTGGCTGCCTTCACAGGGCACACGAGTGCAGCTGACCACCCTACCATCACTCTTAAGTTGCATCCACATACAAATTACCTCGCGATGAAGATACTAGCAGAAGCTCATTCCCTTACACTTCTGCTTCTCTTTCCGGCCCTTACATCTGGAGTAACATTAGACTGTGACCGCGTCGTTGCTGACGGCAAATCATGGACCCTAACTCCTTTGGCTGGCCCTCACTCCGTCTACCATGTGGTTGAACATCCCCCAACCACCATCAATACCACATACACGATTGACCTATGCAAACCGCTGAAAGAAACGGAGTGCCCGTCGGGGACAATGGGTCAGTTATACCGTCTATTTCCCTAATTTTCACCGGCTTGTTGCTGATTTTCCTCTTGCTGACTGGTTTTTCTTCCCTCAGTCTGCGGTGTGCAACGGTCTTCGGATGACAACAAACTATTGGGTGCTATTCCAATCGCGGGTATATTTGTCCAGAATTCTGGCAGGAACCTCAATCCTAAGGTTACGCGGCTTAAAGCGAGCGATTCCCAGCATGAAGGGTTACGGATCGAACTCCACGGTGGGAAATATCCTTTTAACGGCAAGGAGTATGATCAACAGGCCGTCATAGAAATGACGTGTGATCGCTCGCGCAGCGGCTTGGAAGGCGATTGGTCTGGCAAGATGGCTACCCTGGCCGACGAAGATGGACCTGGCGATGACAAAAAAGATGGCAAAACAGATGATGACAAAAAGGCCGAAGAGAAAAGTCTTCGGTTTAAGAGCTACGGACAGGTTGATAATGTGTTTGTTTTGAGACTGGATTGGGTAACGAAGCATGCTTGTGAAGACTTCGAGGACGATGGAAGCGGAAAAGCTGCCCACTGGGGCTTCTTCACCTGGCTGATTGTGATGTGAGTGCTCACTTGATATAGCCCTCGAGTTCTCCCTTGCCAACTTTCCCATAGAATACTTGGATGTTTTCTTGCGATTGTCATCAATTCTCTGGATATTGCAATGAAACTAACAATGCGTCGTTACAGTGTCTTCCTGTGCACCTCTGCATACCTCATTTTTGGCTCTTGGTTGAACTACAACCGCTACGGTGCTCGTGGCTGGGATCTCCTTCCCCATGGCGATACCATTCGCGATATACCTTATATATTGAAAGACTGGGGCCGGAAAGTGGTTACCACCGTACAAGGTCCTGGACCGCGAGGCGGCTACAGTGCGGTCTAATTAGCCGAACGAGGGAAGGAGTTTTTTGTTTTTTTGATTTCCTTCCTTTTTACTTTTGTTTAAACCAGATGTATATTCGTTTCCCTACTATTTCCTCTATTTTACATTATTTAAATCTTTACCTGTTTACCCCTTCGGTTTATTTTTATCTGCTGTCGGTTACTTGGGAACATGAACTTCTTACTACCGCATTGTCTTATGAATTGCATGCTTGAGTGTTACTTGCTGGGTACTGTTTGTTATATTCCGTTTCAAATAGCTCGTGTTTTTTTCCTTTTTTTTTTTGTTTGTTTTTTGTTTTGTTTTTGTTTTTTGGCGGCGCAGGCTAAAACACCTTCCCGTTATGTTAACGTCGATATGAAGCCCTCGTCTGTGGTCAATTGTGACCAACCACACCCATGCTAAGGTATGGTGTGCAGTCCGTCATATCCTGGCATATCCCAAGGCTCTTTTTGGCACACTTTATTATTACCGAGCCTACTTCTGACTGCGTCCCAGGCCCGTGTCGCACTACACCTTATTTTATCCGCTATCTTAAACCCGCAATCCTCTTCCATCATTCATTCTGTCCCTTCTTCCATTCTCCCCCAAAGTCTCCCCAGCATTTATCCACAATTATCCACAAAACTATTAACTAGAACGGCTTCGGTTGCGACATAGGTTTGCTTCTCCTGTTTATTTACATACACATTTTTGATCCTTTAAATGTCCTTGCCCTGTTAATCAGCTGTTTGCAGTGCCTACGTAGCTATGTCTCTGCCTCTGCTCTGGTTGCTATTGGACGACCTTTCTCCAGAGTTTGTGATTTTAGCCCTCAAATATAAGCTTATACCTTTCAATATTTCCAGTTTTCCAGTTATATCATAGTAGTTTTCAATTTTTCTTTTCGAGAACTGATTTTATATGTGCGTGTCTATTCCCCCCCTCCGCCTTCCCCTCCTCCCCCTCCTCTGTATAAATTTCGGGCAATTTATTCTACATCCCAAGAGGACGAGGGGACAACCGCACTCTATCTCTACCAGGTTATGCGTGCGGACTTGACAGAGCATGTTGCACTGTGTGCAGGTAACTATAACTAACTACTCGTGCTGGCAAACGCGAGCATTTCATTTTTACCTAGTCATATGTGCGACAAATCCGTGGACATTGCGGCTAAAGGGCGTTGGGCGCTGAATTGAAATTTAAAAACGTAGGAGAATCATATGCGGGGTGAAATGGGAGAGACAGCACGATGGCGGAAATAGAGCAGCTGCCACGGCAAGCTTTAATCTCTCCATCGTGGCAGATGGGAGGGCGTGGCGCATACAGAAACGGGGAGGTGGAAGAAAAAAGCTGAAGGACGAAAAGGGATTAAAACGTGGCCCGAGAGAGAGTTTGCCGCCTGCAAGTAGTCTTCGATGTTTTATTCTGACTTGAGCGAAAGTATACGGATAAGGCAGGCTAGTTAATAACTAGGCTCCCAGTTTCATATTCTGGCTTCGGACACAGGGAGGGAGAAAATATGTAGATAAAAAAAAAAAAAAAGGACATTAAAGGGAGATGCGCATCAGACCAAAAAAAAATAAAATGAGAAGAGAGATAAAAAAACGGAGAAAGAGAAAGAACATCCAGGTTTTTAAATCTCAACAACTCATTACAACCACCCCAACAGCATTCACTCAAGCCTTCATGACGAATTTCTTCATATAGCGATAATCAGCCATGTTACGATCTACAGCAGCACGGATGATTTTTGCTCCTTTTTCGCCGTACTTCTCACGCCACTCTTGGTCAAATTCAGCCTCAGTTTTGCGTGCTTTCTGCTTTATTCGATGAAACACAAGTTGTCAGTGTTCGACATGCTGTACATGTTTTCAGGAGGGGGTGAATCGGGTCTTAAAACAAAACTTACATGGTTTCTAGCTTTCAGCTCAGTGGAGTGGATGGCGTCTTCATGGAATCCTCTCCATTTCTCGAATGCCTCTTTGGCAATTTCATGATCTTCTTCGGAATTCCAGGTGAGCATTTCGGGCGTATAATCTATTCCCACACTCTTGCAGTAGCGCTTGATTATGCCAGCGGGATCATCCAGCAAATCGTCCGCGTCAATGACACAAATTTCAGCTCTTTTGGTATTTGCTGGCGCCGCGCTACCATTGACGCCGTCGCCGTTTACGTAGACTCCATTTGATGCTCCATTTGTAGTTGCGTTCCCGTTGGCGTCATGCGGCCCAACAAGCCGTATTTTGCGTAGGTAGTCGAAAACGCGGCGAACTTCATCGTAGCCTGCTTCGGATTCATAAAAGTCGTAAAAGCCAGTGATGGCGTCGAGTGGTGGGATCGTGCATCGATAGTAGGATGGGATGCTGTAGTGGGGATCACGGATCAAAAAGGTGAAATGAAACTTGCCGAGCATTGCTGCCGGAACAACAGTCGGATTGTCGACCTCCGCAGGCGTATCATAGGGATAAGGTGTCTTTTTATTGACATTGGAACTTGGTTCCGCAGCTAAGATACTGACGGGGTCGACAACGTTGCCATCCTGCGTGCCCACACCGCGTTTGATTTTCAGTAAGGATGGAGCGATGCTGGGGGGTTGTCCGCTCGGGGGAACAAGATAGTGAATGATGTCTTTAATAAAAAGACGTTTTCCCTATAGTTCAGTAAGTATCAAGTAATCGTTGAGCGCGCTGGGTGCGGAAGACACGTCATCCAGGGTCAAAATTTGTTCGAGCGCACTGTGGCAAGGCATGTGTCAAGCTCAAATGCTAAGCACACGAAGGAACAAGGGGATTTTTTGGGGATCATTCAGTCTCGGAGGGGGAAACAATGGATTCTCGACATCGACGACAGAGGTGGTCGATCGAACACACCAGGTGGGTGACCCGTGGTATCAGAACACAGCTTCAGGCGTGGATTAACCCCAGATGAATGAGAAGCATCGCGGATCACACATCGACAATAATGGAATATAGCATATACGCGTGTAATATGAAGAGGAGCAAAGAAAGGTAAGAACCAATTTTCTCAGCAATCAGAAAAAGGGTCAAACCTCAGCTGCTTCTCTCTCGAGCCTCTCAAATATCGACTGATACGTCGAATGGGCAAAACCACTTTCAACTCTAGCCTTCTCGTCACCTTCATATCTACGGCTCATCCTTTCCGGGCCAAAGTAGAACGCATCCCCGAAGGGCTCATGGACACATTGGAGAGTATCACGACGCTGCATGAAGACCTAGCGATACGGGTTAATTGCAGACCGACACATCCATGAAATTGTGGGGTAGTTCAAAAATACTCTTTCGAAAGCCGTGGAACAAGCGCGAGGATGAGTCGCAACGAAGATTGGACGGTTCGACATGTTGAATGGCTTGAAGCAGTGAATATACTTGAAAGTGATATGGATGATAAAAATGTCTAGTGTTTCTACGGCGAAATAGCACAGCCGCGATCTTCTTGTGTTTGATAACAAATTGGATGAAGTGGTTTCTTGAAGCGGGTTGCAAAGGAGTAGAAATTTTTCCGGGGAGTCGCGGCAGGTATGAAGTTGGTTTGATTTTGGCGATGAAAGGGATGCAGAGTTTGAACAGAATAAGGTCGCGGGATGGCTGGATCAATATGACTACATGACGACGATGGAGCCGAATACGAGATCCACAGTGGAACGCACAGGCAAAAGTAAAACGGATTCAATCGACTTGGACTCTTCGTCGTTCCCGGTTTGCGTTGAGAAGCAAGGAATTTTTGAATTTGCATGCTGCTCGCCAATGACGTCGCTGCACAGGGTTCCAATCACCAATCACACCAGCAGTGGCTTCGACAGCGAAGGCCCCTCGTCTTAGCAATTTGCCCCCTCGTTCGGCCCGCAATCTGACCAGCGACGGGGAAGATCGCTGGGAGTGGAATGGGTGAATTTCCCACCAATCCCCTTCTCCGCATGGCCTATAGGCACCCCTGGAGGACTGGGGCTTCTCGTCCAAAGCCCATATTGTCAAGGCTGGCTGCCCTGACATCTTTGCATCCACGATCCCTTGTGATTGGATACAAGGGTTCGTAGGCCATCATTAGCAAGGCCTCGGCGGGATGGCTTGACTACAGCGAACACAGTTGCGGGACTTGGTATTACTTGCCTGCAGCATGTTTTAATTTTCAACGTTCATTTGTTCCGACTAGACACGAACTACGGATCTGTGTGTTGGTATCAAGCCTCGATCCTCTCTGCTTTGTCTTGTGGCTGTTATAGCGCTGTCGATAACCTTGGCTATTCTCCGCCGAGCGTTTGAAACGCCTTGTCATCCAAGTTTTTAGGGTTCATTGGTGTGGGGTAGGTATGGAGAATGAGGAGAACAAGGTTACAAAGCCAAGGAACCACAACCTCATGTGCCAATAATAAGTTGAAGGCAGCATGCAGTCGAATTGTATACATACCTAGGGTGTGTACAGCCGTGTCAAAAATAAGCCAGGCAGCAGTAGCCAAGCAAGGTTGTCGAATTGCTGCTTTTGAGTCGCGCGATCATCATCATCTCAAATCAATTTAATCCCAAGTATTGTCTTCGGGCTTTGTGAGTAACGTATGAATGAATGAATCATCGCTGAAGAAACTCTGTGAGAATATGAGGTACTTCTTTGGTGATGGGCTCTACATAAACTCCTTCCGCCGCTTGAACTTTTTTCCTCTCTATTTCTATTTTCTTTCCAACCTTGGAAATTTAGAAAGATTTAGATTTATTACTAGAATTAGCTGCTGCAGCTAAATCATTCACCTTCCAAATAACTTGTAGCTAAAGTTACCTATATAGGGTGAAGTTAAACCAATCCATATGTGCATGTTGCTGCAGAATAAACCTTACGAGCCTTGGGGGAGCAGCTGTGGGATGGTTAATCTTCTCATTGTGCGATCGCTAGCTAACTATATAGGGGTAATCACGTGCGGTGGAGGGCCAGGGCAACTAGTGCCCAACAGCAGCTTCCTCTCTTATGACATCATTTATAACTACTCTCGAGCTTCAACAATACGCAACAACACGCTATAACACTCCAGCTCGTCTCGTTTTCTTTCTTTCATCCATTACCTCACAACTTCATGAGTTCTCTTAGGCAACCCTCTGCAACCCTCTGCTTTCTCCTCGAGATGTCGCAAAGTTTTCCCAAGCAAATTCACTCCGCTCTCTATCTTACTCCTCTCCTGTTGACCAGATAAAATCCCGCTTTCTACTGTTACTCCTCACTTTTTCATTGGATGACCATATCGAAAAAACGGGAGAATACGTTTTCTGATTCCTCCGGGCCCTCTGTGGCTTCTTATCCCTCAAACCCATCAGTTATGAGCGCGTCATCCAGGGACCCGCCGTTTCCAACCCCCCCAAACATGGAGTCCATCCGTGAAGATATTGCGCCAAAAATTTCAGATCAGCTGTTTTGGTCGCCAGAAGATGGCCCTGGCCGTAAAGGTGTACTCGATCGCATCAAAAGAAAGCGCCGATTAACAAAAAGTATCACTCTAAACCCCGAACAACTTCATGATATCCTCAATTTCATAGCCAATAATCAGGATGAGGGAGGCAATGTGCTGTGGACCCCGGAGATTGTCTTCCGATATGTTCCAAGTAATTTTGAGGGTGCTACCGTGCCGCGAAAGACTGCCAACGATGTTCTGAGCCATGCAATAAGCAAGTCATTTTTCAGTATATTCCCTTCGTAAGTCTACTTACTACTTTTATTCCCACTCTTAGATAATTACTGACTTATGCTCTCAGTGTTTACATGGAAAAGTTAAAATTCGTTGGTAACCCGAAACGCCGCATGTACGAACTGGTCTGGCATGGACCCGAGCCGGTCGTCCCGGAAGCACTCCGAGATACACCAGCATTTACCTTGGTGGAACGAGAGCCGAAACAGATACGCCTACAAGCAGTTCAACCGGGATCTACTATCGCTACCCGTGAGTCCTTCTCTCTGAGACTCGATGACTGTAGTTCGACGGGGACAGTGGGCTTTCTGGGGACTTTGGACAATCTTGGCCCTACATGACATGACCTTGCCACCGCCGGCCACGTCATCGACGATGCATCCTCGGTCTTTGTACTCAATGCTAACCGAATCCCCTATCCCTTGCAGATCGTTCCTGAATTCCAGCGGACACTAGGGATGCCTTCGTTTAGGATTTCCAGGACACCTAACACTAATGGGAATGTATCTCTCAACGACATGTGTCTACTGGAAACTACCCATATCCCTCCAAACCAGTTACGGTGTGCGCTCTTGTCTATTGATTGCACACTGTTCGGTTCATATTATGATATATCGGATGACCCTGCATTGATGAAGCGAGATCCAAAAGCGTCTGACTTTACAAAATTGCGTGACATAATCAATTTCGGCCAACATATCAGTGTTTACAAATATGGCGCAATCACCTCCCTTACAACTGGCACCCTATCATGCATCAACAGACTCGACGGTGGTGATGTTGACGTTTTTGAACTCGAAGTCGATTGAGATGCGCCTGAGAGCCCTTTCGCTGAGAGCGGTGACTCGGGGAGTTTAGTTATACGCAAAGCATCGGGAAACGATTGTTCCCTTAGGGATGCATTGCGGGTCTGAAGGCACAACCAGTTATGCTATCTCACTATGGTCATTCTGCGAGGAAATCTCCGACGCACTGGATGCTGACCTGTTGTTTGTGATAATGATGAGTGTGGAGCGGGCGTCTCTCGTGTGTTTTGAGCTTTGAGATTGCTATTATGATTACCATGTTTATTTATGCTACTTGTATTCTGTTTGTACATTACTCTGTTTGTACTGCTATCCCTTGCCCTGCTACACTGCCCTAGTCTTCTTACATACCATATCTTAGCTAGCTCAACTTAGAGTTAAAATACAAAGATAATTCATTCTACATTCTTTCAGTAAGGTTACATCTCCCATGATCACATGATATGATGTAATATAAGAGGGTTGAACCTTAGTTTGTTTGTTATCTATCTAGTGGCGAGCTAATATATGTGTGTGGGTCACGTGGGATAGGGCTTGTGTAGGACCTCCGTCATGTAAGGCCTCCAGAATCAAAAGGAAGGATCCCGAACACCCGATAAGGCGCTGGAAGCTTCGCCCCGTCCCATCACAACCGTTATGACGGCTTGCAATTTTTGACTCCCATCTTATCTTTACAATGTTTTATTTCCTCTTTTTTGGTGAACTCAACTATAAAAGGAAGAAAATTGAACCTTCCATCCGTTGAATTGATATTTGATACCCCACCACACAACGTCCCCGAGAATTGCCAACTCACAATACTAGACAACGGAATATACGATTGTTACAATGAGTGGAGCCCAATTAACAGATAGAGCGAATAAAGCTCTTGTTGACGCCCATGCTCTAGCAGAGCAACATGCCCACCCCCAGCTCCTCCCCATCCACCTCGCAGTGTCCCTTCTGGACCCTCCGGCTGATGAATCGAAGGACCAACAAGTAACCACACATCCTTCACACCAAGCCAGTTCGGCTTCTCTTTTCAAACGAGTCGTTGAGAAAGCCCATGGTGACCCCCAACTACTAGCCCGGGCACTGAACCGGTCTCTAGTCCGGCTACCTTCCCAGGATCCCCCACCAGAGACCATCGCACCATCGCCGGCCATTTCAAAGGTGCTTCGGTCCGCTACCAATCTATCAAAGACGCAGAAAGACAGTTATGTTGCTATAGATCATCTGATAGCCGCGCTGGCCGAGGATCCTGCAATCCAGCGGGCGCTTGCTGACGCAAACATCCCGAATGTGAAGTTGATTGATTCGGCGATCCAGCAGATCCGCGGGATGAAGCGAGTGGACTCAAAAACAGCAGATACGGAAGAGGAGAGTGAGAATCTGAAGAAATTTACGATTGATATGACATCGATGGCCAGAGAAGGGAAAATCGACCCTGTCATTGGTCGAGAGGAGGAGATCAGGAGAGTTATTCGGATTCTCAGTCGACGGACAAAGAACAATCCAGTCCTCATCGGCGAGCCGGGTGTGGGGAAAACGACAGTCGTGGAAGGTCTGGCTCGCCGAATTGTTAATGCGGATGTCCCTGCAAATCTGTCGAATTGCAAGCTCTTGTCCCTCGATGTTGGGTCTCTTGTTGCTGGCAGCAAGTATCGTGGTGAGTTTGAAGAGAGAATGAAAGGGGTTCTGAATGAGATTGAAGAATCGAAGGATACTATCGTTTTGTTTGTGGACGAAATCCACCTGCTCATGGGAGCTGGCTCCAGTGGAGAGGGTGGCATGGATGCTGCTAATCTGCTGAAGCCCATGCTTGCTAGGGGCCAACTCCATTGCATTGGCGCAACTACCCTTGGCGAATACAGGAAATACATCGAGAAAGATCAGGCCTTTGAACGTCGATTCCAACAAGTTTTGGTCAAAGAGCCTTCAGTGAACGAGACGATCTCAATCCTTCGAGGACTGAAGGAGAGATACGAAGTTCATCATGGTGTTAACATCCTCGACGGAGCTATTGTATCAGCAGCAAATTTGGCTTCTCGTTATCTTACAGCCCGAAGACTGCCAGACTCAGCCGTTGACCTTATTGATGAGGCGGCTGCAGCTGTGCGTGTCACAAGGGAATCACAACCCGAAGCTCTCGATACATTGGAGCGCCGTGCCAGGCAACTCCAGATTGAAATTCATGCTTTGGAACGCGAGAAGGATCCAGCATCAAAGATACGACTAGAAACTGCGAAGCAGGAGGCAGCAAATGTTAACGAAGAATTGCGACCAATGAGGGAAAAATACGAAAGCGAAAAGCAACGAAGCAAAGATATCCAGGATGCTAAAATCAAATTGGATCTTCTGAAAGTGAAGCGGGATGAGGCAACCAGGTCGGGGGATACGCAAACCGCTTCAGATCTCATATACTATGCCATCCCCGATGTCGAGAAACGCATCGAACAGCTTGAGGCTGAAAGAGCTCGAGTCGACGCGGAATTATCCATTCAGCCAGGAGGGGGAGGGGAAACTCTTCTGGCAGATGCTGTTGGTCCTGAACAGATCAATGAAATTGTGGCTCGATGGACTGGTATTCCTGTTACCAAGCTCAGAACCACCGAGAAGGACAGACTCCTTCAAATGGAATCGCACCTCTCTAAAATTGTTGTTGGCCAGAAAGAAGCTGTTCAGTCCGTCTCAAATGCAATTCGTCTCCAACGCTCTGGCCTTAGCAACCCTAATTCCCCGCCAAGCTTCCTGTTCTGCGGTCCTTCCGGTACAGGTAAAACGCTTCTTACGAAGGCTTTGGCGGAATTCCTTTTCGATGACTCCAAATCCATGATCAGATTTGATATGTCTGAATATCAAGAAAGACATTCTTTGAGTCGAATGATCGGTGCTCCTCCCGGATATGTTGGGCATGATGCCGGTGGCCAACTAACGGAAGCACTTCGCCGCCGACCGTTTTCCATTCTGCTCTTTGATGAGGTGGAAAAGGCCGCGAAGGAAGTATTGACTGTCCTGCTTCAGCTGATGGATGATGGAAGAATTACGGACGGCCAGGGAAGAATCGTTGATGCGAAGAATTGTATCGTCGTGATGACTTCCAACCTTGGCGCGGAGTTCCTTCAGCGTTCCACCGTCGCAAATGGTCAAATAGATTCAACCACTAAAGAACTTGTTATGGGAACACTGCGGAACTACTTCCTACCCGAATTCCTCAATCGGATTTCCAGCATCGTTATCTTCAATACGCTAACGAGACGGGAGATACGGAAGATCGTTGATCTCCGACTTGAGGAGATCCAACAGAGACTAGAGCAGAATGATCGCTCGGTGACGATAGAATGCACGGACGAGGCCAAGGATTACTTGGGCAATGCTGGCTACTCGCCACTATACGGCGCCCGACCGTTGTCACGACTCATCGAGAAAGAGGTCTTAAACCGCCTTGCGGTGTTGATCCTAAAAGGCGCTATCAAGGACGGCGAAACTGCACGTGTAGTTATGGAATACGGACGAATCACTGTGCTTCCGAACCACGGCACTGAAAGCGAAGACGAGGAGATGGTCGGCGATGACGCGCTCGAGGAGATGGAGGAAGACTTGGGTGAAGATGATCTTTATGAATGAGAATGAGATATCTAGAGGATAAGCGATTGGGGGTTTAAACGATGACGTTCTTGCTTTTTCTTCCGTTTCAGCTTTACATTGTTTTTTTCTGGTTCGCGTTCTTTTTCTCTAAGCCGATATTTTTCCTTTTCATGAACTAATGATCCTATTTCTGGTTTCGGTTGGGTGAGAAACCACTGCATTTATGAAAGTAATAGCATAAAAGTGTTCATTCTTATTTCGTTTTTGTTGGAAGGATTGGAAGGATGGTTCGTCCCTTGGCTACTTTTTTACTGCTGTGAAACACGAGATGAACGATTTCCCTCTGCCATTTCCTTTGACTAAACTATCCTTTGACTCATAAAATGAGGTGTAACTTAGTTCTGTACAGCGTAGTCTACCCAGCAATGGGTTTTTTTATTTTTTTAAACAATATGGAACAATATTTCGTAAAATTTATCCCTTTATCCCTGGATAGAACAATATCCATGCATGTCAAATGAATTTTTCCTTTCTGGGACAAATGTCCTGGGCAATGACATATCATGTGATCACGCGCGTTGAAGCCTCATCGATTCCCTGACGCGACGCGCCAAGAAATCAGCAACTTCTTGTCAATCAGTTTTCCGCTCAATTGGATCTGATATGGGGAGAATGCTTGATCGCACAGAGCATTAATTTACATATCAAACTATGCCTTTTAAACCCTTCCGGCCACCGCTGATCAAAAAATCACCGTCAACATCAGCATGTGTCGAGTCTACCGGAGATTCTGGTCATCTTACTAAACGTCGAAGAATCACTGCTGAAAGCTTTGACCTAGCAGCTAGTGATAATGATGGTAATGGGAAACGTACAAAATCAGAACATGTACCCAGGGTGTCTAATCCAAGCTCAAAGTTGGTCTCTGACCGAAGGGCGCTGGTTCCGAAGTGGAATCTACCAACGGAGGTGAATGTGGATGATGGTGATGATGATACGTCGGCGGCGGATTTTGGGATGGAAACATATTACAATGTTCTCTGGTATGTAAGTTTGTTGACGAAGCTTTCTTTTTTTTTTTTTTTAACTGGAAATAAATTGGTAATGTAAGGAAGGGTTAATGGCTTTTGGCTAACATTCCGCTCCTCGGGATTTTGTTAGGCGGAAACCTACTGCCAAAAAGCATAAAACGTGGGATGGTGATGGAATCCTAACTGTCAGTGGTGGTTATGCGTCTCTGCAGGACATATCTGGGCGGGATTTTGGGAGAATCATGTTCAATTCTCCTCTCCTGCCCGGTTCGACATTATCGGTTGGCGGAAAAGAGGTTGAAGTTGACTCTGTCTTGTCGAAGAAGGAGTTCCTCTCTGGTCGGCCACTTTTAGGTGCTGCCAAACCCTCACTTGCGACCATACCTATCGACAAACCCAATGAAAATGCCGGTGATCCAGTTCGTGTGTCCCGCATTTCATCTGCTATATCGACGAATGGCACCATTAGACTTCCCCCTAAAGCCAAAATCACACGAGAGAACAGAGACAACGAAGGAGAAAAGAGACTCCTTAACATAGCTGCGCCTAGAAGCTTTGCGGCGAAGAGTGTCTTCAAAAATCCTCTCAAAGATAGCACTGTACTAGTGCAGAAGCCTGATGGCAGTCCCATTCCACGACATGATCCCACGGCTCCTGGCGCGGTCATCATGAAACGGCCAAAATCAGTCCCTAAAGGCAAACAAATTGTTGATGTCGTCCTTGATCCGCTTTTGGCTAAACATCTCCGTGAGCATCAGCGAGAAGGTGTTAAATTTCTCTACGAGTGTGTCATGGGAATGCGATCTTTCAATGGTGAAGGGGCGATCCTCGCGGACGAAATGGGTCTAGGGAAAACCTTGCAGACCATAGCTCTTATATGGACCCTCTTGAAACAAAACCCAATATACGAGGCTCAACCAGTGGTTAAAAAAGCCCTGATAGTTTGTCCCGTCACATTAATCGATAACTGGAAAAAAGAGTTCCGGAAATGGTTAGGTAATGAACGCGTCGGTGTATTTGTGGCTGATGCCAAAAGGACCAGACTCACCGATTTTACCATGGGCAAGAGCTATAGCGTTATGATCATCGGATACGAACGTCTCCGAACCGTACAAGAGGAGTTATCGAAGGGATCTGGGATTGATATTGTCATTGCGGACGAGGGGCATAGGATGAGGACTGTCCAAAACAAGAGTGCACAAGCGATACAATCGTTGAATACTTCAAAACGAATCGTTCTCTCCGGAACCCCGATCCAGAATGACCTAACTGAGTTTTTTGCCATGGTTGACTTTGTCAATCCTGGCCTTCTAGGAACATTCAAAATGTTCATGAAAGAATTCGAAGGGCCAATTGTGAAAAGCAGACAGCCAGGGGCTTTGGAAAAAGACATCGAGAAAGGAGAAGCGAGGAGTGAGGAATTGACAAACCTGACGTCCTTGTTTATTTTGCGGCGAACTGCGGACATCCTCTTGAAATATCTGCCTCCCAAAACCGAATATGTCCTATTCTGCAACCCTACCTCCTCTCAGAAAAATATCTATCACTATGTTCTCAGTTCTCCGATTTTCCAATGCGCTTTGGGAAATTCGGAGAGTGCTCTACAGCTTATTACCATTCTCAAGAAACTGTGCAACAGCCCTTCCCTCTTAAAGCCTAGAAACTCCGATCAAACTCCCAATTCTACGCTTGGTGCCTTAATTTCCAGTCTTCCGCCAACTGTTCTTCGACACCTATCTCCTGCTTCGAGCGGTAAAATCAGAGTCCTTGACCAACTACTTCATAATATACGTCATACTACGTCCGAAAAGGTTGTCCTTATATCAAATTACACATCCACTCTTGATCTCCTTGCGACATTTCTTACTTCCCTATCCTTGCCATTTCTGCGCCTGGACGGCTCCACCCCACCTTCAAAACGACAAGGGCTCGTTGATGATTTCAACCGCTCATCCTCATCTTCAGTATTCGCATTTCTTCTCTCAGCCAAAGCGGGAGGTACAGGTCTCAACCTTATTGGAGCCAGCCGGCTCATTCTTTTTGATGTTGATTGGAACCCCGCAACGGATATACAGGCCATGGCGCGAATACATCGTGATGGTCAGAAACGACATTGCCGAGTCTATAGACTTGTGCTGAAAGGAGCACTGGAGGAGAAGATTTGGCAAAGACAGGTCACTAAGATAGGACTGGCAGACAGCGTGATGGACCAAAAAACTGGTGTCTCTCAATTTTCGCGTGAGGAACTTAGGGATTTATTTCGCCTTGACGAAGGGACTACTTGCCAAACACACGAATTAATCGGTTGTCAATGCGGTGGTAGGGGAGAACTAGATATCTCGAAATCTGACAAGCAAAGCGAAGTTTCGGATGTGGACTCTGAGGACAGCGAAGACGAAATCATTGATTTTACAAAGCTGATAAAGGCCTCGCGGCTCCAAGCCCTAAATTCAGAAAATATGTCGACGAACAGGCGTAAATCCAGGAACGAAAAATCCAAAATGCTCTCTCTGATGCAATACACTCATATCGACCCTTCTCTGCTTTGTTGTGCGCCATCGCTTGATAAATCCCCGGAAGATTTTAACACTGGGAACAGCAAAGAACTCGAGGCCCATATCGACGACAGTGTCCTACTATCACTACTGAAAGAGGAAGGCAACGGTGTGGGATTTTTGTTCAAGAAATGCGCATCTTCTGGAATGCCTTTGACCTCCATTTAATGGTCCCTTTCCTTCAGAAATTATTACATATGTTTGAAATGATTTGTTTTCTAGATTCCAACTCGGTTCTTTCACATTCTGGAGAAACATACAACATCTTTATATGGTCTTTTTTCTTCATTATATTCCCACATGACTATCCGTTTTTGATGCTACAACATATTCTGCATGTCTCTATCATGCGATAGATGTTATAGAATTAGCATTCAGGTTCAAAATATAGACACCACCAATATCGATTACTTAGTTCAATTTAAGTCGTTCCACGTTAGATGCAAATATCAATCCTTTTAGCTGTGTGTAACCAATGAGACATGTAAGGTTCGATCGAATAACCGAAACGCTTTGCTGGGGAATTGTGCTAAATTGCAATATCACATAAATCACATAGGCACAATGCTTCATTATTAGGAGAAAAATATGCCAGATAGAAAAACTCGCTATATCGCTCGAGAGATTGTAATCATTGCACTTCTCATCCTTAAAAGCAAACCAACCAAACCAGCAAGCCATTTCCATCCATCCACCTTCCCACCCATATCACCAAATAAACAGCCAAAGAATGCCAGTGCCTACTAAAAATCAAAGATCAAACTAACCCGGCCAGAAAATTTGCAAACCAAGTTTTCATGCAAAGCACAATGTGTCCACCACCTAATTAGTATCTCAGTTTCCCTACCAGTCCGAATGTATACGCCGTCTCCGCCTCACTCTTCATCTGTATCATATAAACTTTGAAATTCCCACTGACTACACCACCCTCCTTCGCTACACCATCATATCTTTCCCACACGGACACAGCGATTCCGGTCCTAGCCACTCTTTCAAAATTGCTTTCGCCAAGACATACATCCAGCAACACCTCCCCTTTTGTCTTACCTCGGATGAGAATGCGCTTTTCGTCCCGACGAGCTGACGATACCGGTGCCGCCGGAGCAACTTGCGCGGGAACAGCGGAAGGTTGTCCATCCGGCGTCATCGGCTCCATATTGCCAAAGTCTGCAGGAGATATCCCAGCATCTACTCGATTAGTTCCAGCAGTACCTGGGCGGGATGGGCCGGAAGGCGCGTGCAAGATTGTAAGACGAGCAGCCCCCATATCCCTCCATTTCGATGCAGATTCCCGAGCATATAACCTAATCTTGGCGTTTGAAAGGCCAATACCGCCGGCTGCGTTTTTCGCAAGGTCATAACCCGTTTCGAAAGGTGAATTTGGGAAGGTGGATCCAGACCGAGTGGACGTTGAGTAAAGACTGCCGCGTTGGCTGCCAGTGCGGGATGTGATGGTTGATCGGGCGATACTGAACATCTTGCTCCCTGCGCCGAATTTTTTGAGAGCTGAGAATGCACTGGACATTGTGCCAACGCTGGAATCCGTCACGCCAGCCACAGACGGGGCAGGGGCGCTCGAGGCACGATAACTGCTGCTTGACCAATTGAACCACCCACCGAATCTGCTCCTGCGGTTGGAATTTTGGCGGGCGAGCGACGTAGGCTGCACAGAATACGGACCGCGGGCATTCTGTAGTGCGATGTAGGTCGGGTTATTTATTCGAGAGTGATTGATAAGTCCATATAACTTCTCGCACTCCTCAGGGTTTCGTGAACGGAACATGATATTGTTCCCTGTGGTGATTTGGGATTTTGTCGTGGGAGGTGAGCGTATGGATATATCTAAAGCAGTTCCGCGTCGAATTGGGACAAGAGGGGTTAATTCCAGAGCGATTAATGGTTTTTCAGAGGGAATGCCAGAATCCGTGTCCTCTTCATAGGGTCCTACGCGTTGCGAATGTTCAAAATTCATCTCATAAGCTTCAATCAGACCCGGGGTAATCACAATGCTGCATTCATCCGGATAAAGTGCCTCCCAAGTACCCTTCTCATTCCAGGAGAAAATAAATGCAATAGACTTTGCGGATTTGGAAGGCTGTAGTGGAATACTTTTGCATGGTGACTGGGAAGCGGAATTTGAAGGTCCAAGAGTTCCCTCCGGATCAGTTGGAGGTTCCGACGGCTGCAATATATTGCAAAGCTGGCGAGCTCCAACCGGCGGCAATGGCGTTTCATTGTCATCTCCTTCCAACTCCTCGTCCGATGTCTCCGAGGAAGAGTTAATTTCGTGGTGCTCAATGGTAGATGTATCAGAGCTGTCTGGAGACTCTGTTGCCGTTGAAGGCTCGTACTCGTGCTTGAGCGGAGACGAGGATCGTCGATTTTGGTTATTGCGACGCGACGTTGGGCTTAAAACAGGGGTAGAATGTCTTGGAACGGTAGGACTTGGTGAACTATGAGGTGGTGGCAATGGAACATCTTCGGTATATACTGTGAGGTCTCGACGAAGAATATCTTCGTCTAGGCCTTCACTGCGCTTAGCTGGACTTCGCCTGACTTTATTGGTCGTAATTGATGGCGCTGGCGTCTCCTCTTTAGGAGGAGATGTAGCTAAGCTGCTTTGGGGACTGCCTTTCCTGATTTTAGGAATAAGCGGCAGTTCTAGGGATGGAACGGGAGAGAGAGAACGCCGGCCTAGTGGTCTCCCGAGTTGGGGTTTTGGAGAGCTAATTTCGGGAGACGAGCCTCTCTTTATGGGTAATCCAGCTAGACCTGTTTCTTGAGGATAAGTAGATTTTGTCTCGGGAGATTTAGGTCCAGCAAATGGAAGATCAGATACACCTCTCTCCTTCTCTGGTGTTCTTGTGCCACTTGACGGTGGGCTTGACATAGACAAATCTCCATAGTTAGGTCTCCTCTTGGCTTTCGATCTCCTCAAATTTGTTGGAGAAACACCGCCAGCCATATCCATAGCTTCGTTAAGGCTTCTGGGTTTAGCGACTGATTCCCGCGGCTTCGTAGGTGTATGAAGCGAGATATTTTCTGATTCCTTTCGAGAATGCGGAACGGAAAGGGGTTCTTTCGGACTGTAGGTATCGCGGGAGAAACCCAACGATTGCCTCGATATTTCAGTGTCAGAGCCAATATGTGCTTTCCGCCCTGTAACAAGAGATACCACTGTAGCCTGTTCGCCAATAGGCACGTCCATATCTGTGGGACTTGGGCTTCTCTTCTCAGACACGGTAGACAGTTCGGAGCCCTCTTGCCGCACCCTAGTGGGCCGGTTTCTGGCTTTAGCCCTATTGATAAAGCTCATAGATCGGTCGATCTTTGGCGGAACGGGGCTTAATCCAATCATCTGAACCCATTCAAATCCTATCTGCTCGTCATCTGTTTTGAAAGTAATCAACTCTTTCCAATCCTTCTCCTCTCCTGGCACACCCCTTATCATAATAATGATCTCGCCCTTTCCGTCACCATTTCGAGCAGATGCTCGGCCCCGGTCTATTGGCGGAAACAAAAGCCAGCGACCGGTGTCATCGACTTCGCATATTAGCAAGTCACCACCAGGTGTTTCGTTAGGGGGGTTATCACGAAGTAGAAGTTCGGCACGGCAATCGATTTGCTGACCAGTGGAATGAAGCAAAGAGAGATTAAAAAAATCGCGAGCTCGAACCCGTCGAGTCTTATGAATGGCTATGTCGGCAAGTACGGCGAGGTTTCGTGGATTTCGGGCTCTCGTAGCGTCAATGGCAGCCGCCATATCGTCTTCGAGCCTTGCTCTCTCTTCATTTGAGCGTCGCCTAGCATCCGTGACAAGGCTCTGATACACCATTGCCATCTCTTCGGCCTTCGGGGATGTCCGTACATAGTTGATGCCTTTGAAAGTCTTTGAAAGATATTTCAGTCTTACCAGTGGCCTCTTGAGAAGAAATGCGACGTCCACCTTCTCCCCATCTCCGTTTACTACATCCCCATCTTCATCCTGCGCCATCCCGGCGTATAAGCTTTGAGTCTCCGGGTTGATTTGATTCGACGGATCATCGTCGGGTGGTGCAAGGTTAACGATAACGTCTTGAAATCCCAGGCGCCAGGCCTTTAAATAGTCCCGATAAACTTTTTGCGCACCTTGAGCCCAGGATAAAAGAGCCTCCGGGTTATTCAATGGCGCTCGCTTATGAAGCGAGTTAAGTCGTTCGAGCGATATGCCCATATCAACGATGGGCCTCGTAAAGTTTTCATCGTCTCTTGGGTTGCCAGAAGGGCGGAAAAGGCCTGCAGCGATTGCCGAATCGGATTTGGATAAGACTGACGTTAACAGAACAGGTATGACACCACCGACAAGAGTCCTCAATTCACGCATATACTTGGCTTCGTCAGATGAAAATTCTTGCATTATATCGTCGATGGTGGCGGTTGCCAATCGACTTCTATTTGTGCGGATGCTCCTGGCAGATCTTATACTGCGGCTTCCATCCCCAGGGATCGATAAAACTGATATAAGATCGGCATGAGTTGTAAGCCGACGTTTTAAACCATTCTTCGGACCGGGTAGAGAGTTTGGATCGAATTGATCCCTAGCTTCTGACTCCAACTGCCCATCATGGTCCGTTTGAGTATTTGCCCGTAGATCGGTAGGTTGTTCATTCTGACACGCTGTCTCTGTTCTAGTGCTCAACGTGTCCACAGACATTATCGTAGAAAGTCGGTGGGCGCCAGTCCCTGGAAACGGCCTCCTTAATGTCAAGGGAGGTGGTCGATCGGATATTGATACCTCAGATCCGTCTGAAGAACGAAGATCCAAGTTCGACCCTTGCAGAGCTTCATCAAGTGACTCTTGGAGAGTTGACATTTTGCCTGCTTCGGTAAAAGAATTTGGACGCTTCCTTGCTCCTGTTCTTCTCAAAGTTGGTGGCGAAGATTCCCGGGTGTCTCCCGATATTTCACTGAGCTGCTCATTGTGGGGTATTGTGCCGTCGTGAGGTCCTGTCCACCCTTCTGTCGAAGGCGGGCTTTTCGAATTCCTTTTATTCCCTTTTGACCCTCGTCTCCCTTTCGTATTTTTTGCTTGCAATGATGACCGAAAACTGCCAGAGTCGTCCACATAATCGCTTTGGGATGGGTCTTTTCTCCGTGACCGTGAATCCAGAGGCAACGGCACTTGAACAAGAAGATCTTCATCCTCTGTAAAGGGGTCAGGAGTAGATGAAAGCCACGCTTCGACGTTAGATCCGTGGTTTCGAGGAGCTGGTACCGGGGATGACGAGGGCTCGTGTTTCCCGAAAATCTTTTTCGATTCATCAATAACATGGTTGAAAATGCCCCCTTTAGGAGGCCGTAATGTCCTTGGTGGGAGCTTGTGCGTCTGTCGTCTAGAGCGATTCTCCTGTTCAGAAAGTTCGATAACCTCACTGGGTTCAGTTGACCATTCATCATCACCAGGCCTTTTTCGTAAATGCACGTCTCTCGCGCCGTAATCATGACCCTTTTGCTTCCTAGGCTGTGACTGTTGTTGCGTTTTAAAGGCCGAGGTCTGGTCACCGACAGAACTCTCCACTTCGGTTTCAAGAATAGACTGGGATCCGCAGGTATGCCGCGACTTTGGGCGCTCACTCCTTCTCGAGGAGGACACCGAAGTCGCATATACTCTGATTCCGTCGCCGGGCAGAGGATTGGAGCTGGGATTGGTTCCGCCACTATGTCCGCAGGTCTTCTCCTTTTCCTTGGTCGTTGATGTCGACTTCCCATACCGGTCAAAAACGTCAGTCTTCCTCTTATGTGTCACTTTTTGGGGTAGTGAGGCAGGGGGCGATCTATTCTTCCTCCAGTGTTCATCGCTAATAACCCGCTTGCGTGGGGTACTATTACTTCGAGCCCGCTGAACGTTATTCTCCTTATTCTTGCTACCCTCTTTCGTTCTGCTATGTTTCTTAGTTGTTGGCGAGTTCTGCTTCCCAGTGCGAGACTCCGGGAAACTGTCGCTCTCAGGGCCGACATCGTTTTCCGTAATAACACCTCCACCTTGTTGCTGCCATCGCCGAACCTTCTCTCGTACCGAATTTATGTCGTGGACACCCAATGGTTGCCCAATATCAAGAGGCTTCCCGTTGTGTGGCGTGGACTTCGCCCTTCCACGGTTGGAAGGCCGACGAGGAGGAGTCGGCATTACCAACTACAAATACTCTTGAGTGTTAGAACAAGCTCTTTATGTGAACTGCTGGTTATAACGCTTTGGGATTGCGCATCAAGGGCAACCTTCTTGGTCGTTTTGTTTACATACCAGTAGCCCCGCTCACACCAGTTTGGTGCATAGCAATCCTTAGCCTCTCGTATTTGTTTCTCCCGAGTTCAGCAAAATGGATCGGAGGATATAAAGAGACAGAAGGGTTTGTTAACTAGTTATCGATATGCTTATTAGCTAATAAGTGATCTTTGTTAGCAGTGTATGTTGCCGGGTTCTCTTATGCCATGGAGCAAATAGGGCCGATACCATGTCCACGCGGTCGGGAGAACAGGCTAAATATCCAAGTAAATAAACAACTAGCGAGCTTGAGCTGGCCAGGGACTAAACAAAACTAACACATAGCCACTAGTCCGATTTAATGTTGTATTTCGACCATTAGGAACCAACGTGAAGAATTGGTAACCAAGGCGGATTCAACCGAAATAGCAACTATTTATGAATTGACTGAAACAAAGGGATGAGCTGGCTTTGTTTACTTCGCACTGCCGGCATGCGCATCGCCAAGGGCTAGCTGACTCAACGGTTTGATTGCCTAGTTACCCGACCGGTAGTTTTGGTTGATTTCTATGTGTTTAAATATGTATAATTGGACGAAATTATGGAGTACAAGGATATAAAACATGAAGAGCTCTGTATTCCCCGTAGCTTCCGCTGCCATCTGACAAAGCGCTCCAGGCCCCTGGTGTATAACTAGCCGACGTGAATATGAAAGCAGAAAGGAATAAGGCAGCTATTAGTAGAAAGGAGTCGACCGTCGCATCGGTACGTGGAGAAAGGCGACGAGAGACGAGGTACCATCAATTAGGGCAATTTTAAGTTTTTATTTAATTTTGCGCTTGTCCGAAGCTTCATTGACATATTTAATGGCGTGTGACATGACGCCCATGCTCTTTACCACATAATCTAGGAATACATGTCAGTTTGTTCCTAACGAACCGAGAGGGTATCGTGCAGAAATTCTTCTTACAGGAAGGGATCACGATCCAGATCAAGTTCATGAAAAAGTAGTAGCACCAAAAATAATACGCCTCCGGTCTGCAGTAGCTTAATCCATTGTAGTAGTGGTCGAACATGCTCGTAGCATAGTAAAGGACGTCCCCATAGATTTGGCCAATTGATACGATTAGCTGAAGGGGGTGACGGAGTGGATGTTCGCGCGCAATAAAATAGGCGACGAGGAAGGAAAGGGGTCCCCAGAGAATCTGTCATAGCCAGCCTGTCAGTTCTCGAGCTCGCGCATCCCCAGTATATTGATAATGAAAGAGGGAGACATACAGCCGTGATTGTTTCCATACACAGAACGAAAGGGTCCGAGGTCAAGTATCGGGAGTCGGACAACGAATATTCCTTCCACAGTTGTCCAAAAAGGTCTTGCGCGGGGGCCATACGCGTGTGGTTGACGACAAAGTAACCTTCAAAAAACAAATGAATGCTCCCAGCTGCGACAAGTTACTATTTTATTCGCAATAACCCTGAATCACACAGGGTATATGAACATACTTAACATGAACCATAAAATAGCCACCCTGTCAGCCTTTCCCAGCTTCGGAGTCACGAACGACAGGACTACCAACGTGGATCCTAGAATGAAAGCCCATCCCCCTGCGAATATGGAAATGAGAAAAGGAACAGACCACTCATTGGCAAGGTAACCTATGAGCTCCGCATCAATTGGGTAGTATGGGTGAGAGTTGGATAGGGTGGAATTGGCCATTTGCGCATCTGTCCTCACGGAGAAACCAAGTGAGTGTGGAGGGAAAGGAAATAATGACGAGAAGTCCCAGTTCTCAGAGTTGATACTCCCGATCTGCCTCCTGAAAATAAAACGATAGGAGTTTGTTTTAAGGGCGTATTTAGGTTTTCCATTGGAGCTGCGTGGCCGAATCGGCCTTTGGTGCGTGGGTATATTTAACGCTTACTTCCATAATCACCACATGCAGTTGACGAGCTCTCCCATCCTCCACCAACCTAATGAAACTCATCTGAAGGAGCTTTGCAGGCGGCGCCCTATGAGTTCCGCGATCTCGAACCTGTATCTCCGCATCTATGGCATCAGACAGGAGGAGGAGCCCGAGAGCTATCAGACCTGATGTGACCGTATTACCAGAACTGCCACCCAGGATCGCAGCTATCTTCCTGATCTGCTTTGACGTCAAGGCTGGGTAAGTACATGTGTATTCGCGAAGCACCTAAACAACTTGGGCGCCATTGATCGGTTCATTGTATTGACGGCTGTCTTTTATTTTTATGTAGCTACACGGTAAAATGGAAGCGAGCTATACCAGAGGGTATGTTAGAATCTCGGCCCTCCGTTCCAAGTCACATGGATTAAGACGAGCACAACAGTTGTCCTGGAGAACGTCGTTGAATATAAATCACTCCCATCAGGTTTACACAATGTCAGGGAAGATCTTGTGTACGTCAAGCTTTCTGGACCTTGTCATTCGCATTTTTTTTTAACAACCTATTCCGCAGTTATTTCGTCCATCAGCAATATGCTGGCATCAGCGCGTTTATCAACCACCCCGCAGCAGAGTCCGAGCGGAACGCCTTGATGATAGCTGTTGGGGTTCTAGTACCACTCAGCTACGGTAGGCTAGGAAAAGCTTGGAGACATACTGCGAAACTAAAGGAATTGGCAAGGTATGACCTGAACTGGCTGGGGGGCTGGAATCATACTCCTATTTTCGGACTAATTATATGAATCACAGGAGTCTTGCAGATGATTCTGATAATACAGAGCCCTTGTCTGCGTACTGGGAGACGCACCAATTGTCCGAAGATACTGTGTCTCCTCCAGATTCCCCGTCAGGTGCAATCGCAAGCCTAAAAACTCCTGTTCGTGACGTTTATGCCAGACATCGCGCGCTTAGCGATGCCACAGCGCTTTTGACCTCGAAACAATCGCTTGCGCCCTATCATCCGGCTCTCTCTCTTCCAGAGTTCTTAGATACTTTTGGACCGCTAGTTTTCCAATTGTACCGAGCAGCTCTATTACGCAAACGGATTCTTTTAGTGGGTGAGGCGCCCGTGGAAGAATCATGTAACTTCGGTTTGTCACCCTAACCCCCCAGACATCAGACATTGCCTAGCGACTAACGTCCAAACCCAAGTCTATGACTTGGCTCTTCTCTCGTCGCTTCCGCAATCCCTACTCCCTCTTCTCCCAGCAACTGCTTCTGCAGCTCTAAGGCCTCGACCTCTATTCAGTATTGGCATCCATGACATGCCCTACATAGCGTCACTCTCATATCCTGCCGTCTCGGATCCCGATAGCTGCTGGATTGCATGTACTACTGACCGTGTGCTCAGTTTGAAACCCGAGCTTTATGATGTGCTCGTAAACCTGCCCCCGGCTTACTCTAAACATGCACCAGTAAAGACCTACCCTGCCATAACACTCACAGCTCCTCGTACATCACATAAGCAGCAACAAAAACCTATGAATATCAAGGCCACCCAGCGGGACGCCCGCCGATATTTGGCCCTTAAGAGGGGACTTAGCGAACTCTCTAGAGGTGACTCTGCATCCGCGAGGGATGATGAGGAAGTTTCGGATAGCACTTCAACTTTCTCTTCTAGCTCGATTGTAGAACCTGTCTCTTGGCCACTCCTCGCGTACACATCCTTCCTCTGGTGGGCCTCGGCGGGTGAGAAGCGTGAAGGTACCGCCGAAGGAGAAAACGAGGAGGATTCCCGTCTTTTACTGATCGATAATATCAACGCGCCTCTCCCTACTTATCCAAGCACGCTAAGCCGTCGCGGTAGCATTACGCTACAGGATCAGAGCACCCACCAGCCACAAGAAATCGCATTAATAACCTATTTCCGCCGTCTAACCACACAAATATTCACAGTGGTTTCTGACGTCATCGCGCGTCAGGATGAAAACGCAGGAGTGGCCGAATCCGCATTGGTCCCTGAGAGCAACGGATCCAATATCGACACTGATGGAGATTCCGCGCTGGACACGGCGGTATCTTCTACCGAACCCTTACTGCCTTCATCGTCTTCCCACAATTTGTTAGACGAGGACGATATCATCACTATTACATCTAGTGACATGACGGAGATGGGGCTGGATACATGGAGTGTATCGGATCGAGCATTTGTGGAGGAACTTGTGCAAGTCTGGTGGGGTCGCAAGGCACAAGTTCACGGAGCGAGAATTAACTGCTGTGGGGTACGAATTCTTTAGCAGGAACTATATGCAAAAGCAATACATACGTGGATGTGATCTATATTGCTTGCCTATGTTGTCGAATTAATGCAGATAGCATATCATGGGGTGCCAGCTTCTACGTGCTTAAATAAAACCTATCGCCATTTGTAATTTGTTCAGAGCATACATTCAATATTCTATTTGTAAAGTGTTTTTTCGACGTATTCAGGGTGGAAATATCAAGAGTGAATTTTCATCTGCAGCTACCAAGATATGGGTTCCAACGTTGGGATTTTGGGACGTAGTTTTCTAATTTTTGCCGGACCACCACTTCTTCCTGGCTAAACCCATATAGCCACCCCTAATGAGTTACCAGCACATGAACGGGTGGTTGAGCATTGAATGACATGAACATCAGTGAAACAAGTCTCTTGGTTTCTTAAAAAACATTAAAGAAAAATAATGATAATAAAAAAATAAAAATAAAATCACAGGGGAACAAAAAGGGACAAGCCATAGAAGAACGCCTAACCCCATAGAAATGCCGAAAATAAAATTGAAATAAAATAAAAGCAACATTGAGCTACATGACGATAAATTGCTAGCGATTCAACCCAACGGGAATGTCAGATAAATGCAGCGGGCCACTGAAGATATCGTAAAAGGAGGAGAAAACGCACTTTGATAAGACGGGATTGGATTGGAGATGATAGACGCTAATGAATGCTTTTTGCTAGAAAGGCGAAAGGAAGACGAGGGTGAGGCTTCGAGCATGATGGGCAAAATTGACATCGTGCAAATCAGACAGAAATGAAAGGATTGGGATGAAAACTCCAAGGTCAAAAGCGGAAATGAAAGGAAGGAAATATTAGCACTCGCGTAGAAGGGTATCTCGAACTTCGATACCCTATACAACTGTAAAAGACATTACAAAACAATAGGGGGGGGCGAAACAAAATAAAACAGATATATCACTCGGTATCCACCGAATGGCTAAAAGGAACTCTACTCTTGGAAGTAAATATCGCTTAATATCTTCCAATAGGCGCGCTGAAATCTCTCTTAGCTACTCGACTAGAGGCTCGACTACTTGTAGGAATTTTCTTTGAGCTATGGATTGGCGTAGTGTTGGCATTTGCGAGGCGGGAACGAGAACGTGAGGACGAACGCGAAGCGGCATCATTAGCGCTAGCAGATCTTTTCAGAGTCTGTGCACGACCCCTTCGCGCGCGGATCTGGGCGAGTGCTTCTTCTCGCGTGACAGGGGTACCAGGGATGGGGCAGTTCATGGTAGAAGAGTAATCGTCAGCGTGGAGAGGAATAGTTGTAGTAGTGGACATTGCTGTCATGAGTTCTGTTACTTTTGGCGTCGTGGTATCAGTAGGGTCCCTTCGGGGTGGTAAATGGCCTGTTTCGATATGTAAAGTTCGAGGGAAGGAGCGGAAGGAACTTGCCAATTCGAGGGGAGCCGGAGGTTGCGTGACAGGTTTGCTGACATTCTGTGCTTGGCCTGGAGGTTCTGTTTGGAAGTCCGTATGTTTGGGATCTTCCATTTCTATCTCTGTGGTTGGCGACACCGGTGGAGAAGCGGGGGAGGGATTATGGTGGGGACCAGCTGGCAGCGGCGAGGGTTCGCGGCTAATGGTATGTTGTAGAATTGATGGCTTCATAGCCACATTATTTTGAGTTGCACAGGGCGACACTGTTTTAAACGTCCCCGTATCTGGACAGAAAGCTACTGCAGGCTCCGTGACCTGCGTTTCCTGGAGTGTTCTGGGGTTCGAATTACTGGCTGGAGGTCTTGTCACTTGAGGAGCAGGTTGGTCGTCTGATATGAGGTTGCCAGAATTTCCCTCCTTTTCCCGATTCATTCTATCCCACTCGGCATCATAAATGTACCTAATCCCCTGCATTTCTGCGAGTCGACAGGAGCAACGATGAAATTGGCATTCCATCTTGAGGAAATACACCATATCTTCTGCCTTTGATCGCAGGCGTTTCTCCCATTCAAGGTCCTGCTCCAAATTTTCGACAAGTTGGTCGTACACAGCTGCTTCAGGATCCTCATTTTCCTTACATGAATTGCGCCGCAAAACCTTCATTTTAAGTGGAGATCCTAGTTGCGGGCTTGTAATTTGAGAGGATACGCCGCTCTTCCGGGGACTCGATGGCCTTTGGTGCGGTTTTAATCTCCACGACATTGGGGTGTACGTAGTAACATCTCTCTCCACGAGTGGAAGTCTGCATTTGGGTGTTTCTCCTCTCATTTCTTCGGCCCGTGCCTCGAATGTATCTGACTGGTTGTTGGTTTCAACAGACCTAACCTTCTCCTTCAATACCTCTATTTCTTCCGCCAATCCGGACAATGCATGTGCGTGTTCAAATGCTTCCTGTTTTGCTTTTTCTTTAGCTTCCCTCTCGCTAGCAACATTTTCTCTTAATGTCTTCATTTCTCCCCTTAACGATTTAAGCTCCTCTTGAGCTTTAACGAGAGTTGATCCAGCCCGGAATGCCTCCTTTCGTGCCCGTCGGACCTCCTTTTCAAATACTGCTCTTTCATGGGTTTGCCTCTCCTTCAAAGAATGCAATTCCTCCATTAGGGACTCCAAACGCTCGCTGACTCTTCGTTCTCGTGCATTGGCCTCTGACAGCTGAGCTAGTGTTGTTTGAAGTGAAGCTTCTGCTTCCTCACGTCCCAGTATCGCCCTGTGAAGGGCAGCTGTGGTGGTGGATGAAGGATGCGACTGAGCTGCTGGACTGGTAGCCCTCGAGAGCTGATTCAGAAATGCCACTTTCGCTTGCACGTCAGAATTCGTCCGTGTATGCTTGTGCCGAAGTGGGGAGAGATCCGAAGGATGTGCTGGAGAGCCGTTCATATTCTGCTGATTGATACGCTCAGGAGAGATAGGGTGTAGAGCGGCGCCAGGTGACGGTTGAAGTTTAGGATGTATGGGTTCCATGAGTGAGGATGAAGTACTAAATCTATGGGCCTCAGGCTTTTGATTGTTGGGGCACTCTGACAGCATAATGTATGACAACGCTATTGAGGAGAGCGGCAGGATTGGAATGTGGCGTGAAAATTGAAATCTCGCACTGCCAGGACATCCTTGTCTCTTTCGGTAGAGTTGTTGTTGAAACAAAAAGTCTGGTTGCTAGGCAACGGGCGCTAAGGGACAAATCACATGTTATACAGTCACGTGGCAATAGCAGCCGATCTTCCTGGCACAACCAAGTCCTGTTCAGGAAATTTAAACCCTATACCACTTAGAACCAACTCGTCTGATACATGACGACCCTTTTGTGATGCTCCAAAACGCTGGAATCTAACCTCTGGCTCTTGCAAGCTCACTGAGTTACTCAGACACTCTCAGTGGCGATTATTTTAGGATACTTGTACTATTTCAGATCTCGAAATAATGACGCACCTTACCATCCCAAACTGATACCAAGAAACCGAAAGTTTAAGCTCAACATATTGTATATTGACGGTATCTTTATATAACATTTAACCATGCATGAGATCATAACCCTCCAGCTTGGCCAGAGGAGTAACTACCTCGCGACCCATTTTTGGAATTTACAGGTATTCCACTTCTCTGTTTATTCACCAAACGTTTCAGGCTAACCCCATCGCTAGGAGTCGTACTTCACATATTCCACAGATGAGGAATCCCCAGTCGACCATGACGTTCATTTTCGTCCTGGTATTGGGGCAGATGGGGCTGAAACATTCACCCCCCGGACTGTAATCTATGATCTGAAAGGCGGCTTTGGAGCTCTGCAGAAATACAATGCCCTTTATGGGCTGGAAGAAGCTGCCGGATTACCTAGAGGTTTATGGTGAGAACAACCGCTATTCCAGTTATATTCAATTGGCGCTTAACCGCAACCTCGTTTACATTTAGGGATGGCAATGAAGTCGTACAACGTGAGCCCTCTATTCCACAAACTGAGTATCAGAAAAATTTAGATTTAGGGCTCCCGCTACCTCAACTTTCAGCTGGGACAGTTCGTTACTGGTCAGATTTTAATAAAGTTTACTATCATCCCAAGTCCATTGTTCAACTAAATGAATACGAGCTCAACTCTGAACTAATGCCCTTTGAGAACTGGGAAATGGGTGAAGATCTGTTGCGATCCTTAGATCGCGAGCACGATATCCTCGACAGGGACTTTCGGGCTTTCGCAGAAGAATGTGATCAACTGCAAGGTATCCAAATCTTCTCTGGGACCGATGATGCTTGGGGAGGCTTCGCCGCCAGGTATGTGGACAGGTTGAGAGACGAATTTGGAAAGAAAAGTATATGGTTCTGGGGACTAGAGGACGGCATTAAGGTTCAACGTGTATGTAACAATATAACAGCCATTCTATATTCCCTAACGTGAGTCAACGGGCTAAGTATAAATTTTAGCAAAAGCAAGTCATAGCCAAGGTCAATTTGGCGAAATCTGTCAATGAGATATCTCCGCAAACATCAGCGTATATACCAGTTTTGGACCCCCCACGAAAGGTGCCCACATATGTGCACTCTGACCTAAGATCAGAGTGGTATTCCTCTGCCCTTGTTTTGGCAGCTGTAGAGAGTGTTACCTTACCTACCCGCATCCGATCCCACCGGGGAAATAGTTCCTGGCTACCAGCTCAAGAACGCCCACAAAAAATCTTCGACCTACGAACCGCCATTCTGAAAGAGCATGATGAGCCTGAGCCCGACAGACCAGCGGGTCGCAACAAGCAAACATTGATAGCGGAAGATGAGGTGGAACAGGACGAAGGCCTACTTGAAGGATTTGATATTGACTTCTCTTGGTCTAATTCCGCTCGTTCTCAAAAATTGCACGTTTTTGGCCAAGTCCAAGTCAGCCGTGGATCCGATGTTCAAGCCGATCTGGCGTCGAGATTACCAAGCCAACCCAGTGTTGGCCAATCGCTGGGGCCACCAGGAGCCCTGCAAATGTCAGTAATATATTACTCATATACAACCTTACAAATCTTCCACAGTCCTATTCTTCATAAAGAACATCATGTATCCTTCATTTCCACACATATGCCTCTACTCTACGAAGAGATCGAGAAAAATATCCAAGGCGCATTTATAGTTAGGGATTTACAACGAGCTAACTGAATTGATATGTTCTAGGTACTACATTCCTCTTGCACTTCCTCTCCTTGATAGCTTCCCTAGTGATCTATTTACAGGAAGAGGGCCTTCAAGCTCTGGGCTGAATGTTCGTGCATCCCTTTCTAGTACATCCCAAATTGGGGGGAAAGTGAGGGATCTACAAAACTTTGCATCAAGATTAATAGGGGTAGATGAACGTGAGGCATTAGTCAATGGGCTTGGAGAGATTTCAGAGGCTTATCAAGAGCGGTGGGAAAGCGATTCTGATTCGGGAGATGATTTCTGAGCTTTTCTAATTTTACTCTTTTGGGCACCTGGAAATTTACTTCTTGTCCTCACCCGTGGCGAGGCACTGCCATGGGTATGGCCACACCGATTTCGACAATCTATGACTGGCTCCGTTTTCGGTCCCAAACACTGGAGCAAAACCTTTCTGTCCAGGGGGCAGGTGAATATGGACAGAACACAACACCCAGCTGTTCAAACCCAGAATATACTGTGCTACATATATTCAACTTCATGCTCCTTGATTTCGGGATTAAGGCAGATAATCATTGATACGAGTGTTACAACAAGAGAGATATGCAGGAAATGGCATTCTGTGCATCTTTTCGTTAAAATATAGCATTATCCCATTATGTTGAAACCCAGTCATCCGTCTTTCCAGCCATAATTCGGGACTCATGACTAACCCTTTACTGAGACCTTCTTTTAACTCCATACCTGCCGCCTACTAGGTGTATTCTGAGTGTTTATTATCCTCTCGCCCTTCGTGGTTGTCTCGAAAGCTTGTTGTAATAGCAGGGAGTATCTCTGGGCCAAATATTGCTACATTTGCTCAGACCATTGATGAATACTTATTCTCCAAGCTTTTAGTTGAGGAGTTCTGTGATGAATCTTTTTCCAACCCATATGCATTGGATATTATCAAGCTGCGAGCCTGCATTTTTCAATTCGGCACACTTGACAAAGGGATTTTCGACGAATTAAAATGTTGTAAATTAGAGTTCTGTCTCCGTTCTAATCACCTTGATCGCATTAAACCCCCAAGTTACTTTCTTTGACAACTCGCTCTCAAGCTAAAACAATACTGTACTTGCGGTTTAGGTGACCAATTTCCTGCTTTATTTCCCTTCCGCCATTCCGTTATTTGTGAAACTTTGAAAAATCAAGCATTCAATTGCAATTTGAAGTTTAAAATCCGCTTCTAAAAATTAATATTTTCAGTTAAGGCCAGGCTCTGGTGTGAGGGGTTCAACACAATGTGGTGTGCAATATTTGAGCCTCATTCAACTTGATGTGATGAAGACTAGCATACTCCTAGAAGGGAATGCTTTTTTGTGTCTTTACTAATCCTAACTGGCTCCTAACCCCGTCGTCGAGCTGGTCAAGATGGATTTGTAGTATGGAGGTTTGTCAGAGAAAATATCCTAAAATATCTCGTGAACTTCCCCTTCATCTTATTTACACATGCCCTTCCTTATAAAAACTGCCATCTTTTCGTAATTATCAGAGTTATCATTAATTCTTACAATTTTCTTGGTTAAAAAAAAAAAGGTTCGAAATCAAAAAGGCAACAGGTGGAAGTTGTTATCACCTGTTGCCTTTTTTGATTTCCAACCCACTGCGCCCATAACTTTCAGTTGATCTTCTATCTGAATTATCCGCAAAAGAGGCACCACTTGCTACTTCTACTATATTCATCGATAGGGCATCGGTATCTGCTCCGCCATATTGGATAGCTAGATTCTTCGTATTTCGTAGATAGGCAATACCTGCGGAATGGCGTTCAGATGTGCTGACCATAAAGGTAGCAAGCTTGCCAACTACGAAGGCGATATCTAGCCGAGTCATCACCGCAGCGTAGATACAGGATCCTATCCGACGTTGATAATAGCGGGTATCTTCTGGCGAGGCGGTGCCTTGAGAGCGCAGTAATTGGGCGCCGGATAGGGGCGTAGATGTCTTGCAACTTTGATATTCAGTGATTTGGGCCAATATTCGGACATCGTCGAGTTCCGACAGGTGTAGCAAAAGCTGGTTTGGTTCGAAGCTAGAACCCTCAAGGGTCGTCATTCAGCTGCTTGGCTCTGTCTAGGAGACGCCTATCTAACAACAACGGCTGGAAAGAATGAGCCATTGACCTTGGCCCCTGTGTTATAGCTCTTGAACAGCCTTCCCAAAACTTGGTCTCTATCGAATCTTACTCTGGAGATTGGGTTCCACCAAGATGCAAACAAGACAAACTAAATTCAACATAAAGCTACAGCATCTAACTGGATTTGGTATGTTTGCACTCTCCCAATTGCCAATGTGTCCTCATTAAAGATTGTTACATGGTGAACAGCTTCAACATCCCGCCTATTTAGAACGCCTGCTTATTATCCCGACAAGAGCATCTTGGGGCGTAGACTCCGGGTATTAACGTGTCCTTTTCTCGTCCCCCCCGGTTTTCATCCCTCCTTTGAATTTGACATTTCCACGGTTACGTCTCCCCAAGCTCCTTCGTCTGGTTTCGGCATTCGCATACTCCGCCAGATGTATTTCACAGTTGTATAAGAGAGGTTAATATATTTCCTCATTGTGTTCTGCTCTTTGGCTTCTTTCCTATCCGAAAGCAGAACCAACTTAATTGGTGTTAGCATAGGTAAGTATTTATCTGGAACTCAGAATTCAGCGAGCTTGCGCAAAGTTTCGTTTCAACTAGCTAACAAGTACTACAGCCATACACGACGACTCTCTCATAATGGCTCCTCCGGGACGACGACGACGTTCCTCAGGGCGATTCTTATCATTATACTTTCTCTTCTCCCTCCTTGCGTTCCTCCTTCTCGCAGCTCTTCCCGTCCAAGTTTCCGCGGCTGGCTCCGCAATCATAGGAATCGATCTTGGGACAGAATACATAAAGGCAGCTCTAGTAAAGCCAGGGGTACCCCTCGAAATCGTGTTGACTAAGGATTCCAAGAGAAAGGAAGCTGCCGCTGTGGCATTCAAGCCGGCTCGTGAACAGAATGCCGTTTTTCCTGAGCGATTTTATGGTGGTGATGCGCTCTCGCTTGCCTCTCGATTCCCCGACGATGTTTTCCCTAATCTGAAAGTTCTCCTGGGTATTCCGTTTAACGCTGGAATTCAGAGCTCCGATGGAAAAAATGAAAATGCAGTTGAGATATACAGGAGCCGGTATCCCGCCATTGATATTGGAGAGATTCCACACCGGGGTACTGTTGGGATTAAAAGCAATAAGCTGGGAGAAGATCGAGGTCAGGAACGTTTTATGGTGGAGGAGTTATTGGCAATGCAGTTGAAACAGGTTAAAGCTAACGCGGAGGCGATGGGTGACCGGAGGTCTCAAATCGAGGATGCTGTCATCACCTTCCCGCCATTCTATACTGCAGAGGAGAAACGGAGTGTTGAATTATCAGCGGAGTTGGCCGGGCTCAATGTTATCGCAATGATCAGTGATGGCTTGGCTGTTGGCGTCAACTATGCTACGAGTCGAACTTTCCCCAGTGTATCGGAAGGAAACAAGCCAGAGTATCATGCTGTGTACGACATGGGTGCTGGTTGTACCTCTGCGACTGTTCTCCGGTTCCAGAGCCGGTCCGTCAAAGACGTTGGCCGATTTAACAAAACCGTTCAAGAAGTTCAAGTTATAGGCAGTGGCTGGGATAAGACCTTGGGGGGGGATGCGCTTAATCAACTGATTGTTGACGACATGATCGAGAAATTCCTTGCTACTGAAAAGCTGAAGGATGACTCCACACGGGAAAAACTTAGAGCCCATGGACGGACAATGGCAAAGCTTTGGAAAGAGGCGGAAAGAGTTAGACACGTTTTGAGCGCCAACTCGGAAACTACAGCGTCATTTGAAGGTCTATATCACGATGATGTGAATTTCAAGTATCAAATTACAAGATCTGAGTTCGAGAAACTTTCAAAAACTCATGCTGCTCGTGTCTCAGCACCATTGATTGAGGCTTTGGCATCGGCGAAACTCTCATTGAAAGATTTGGATTCTGTCATTCTTCATGGAGGAGCTATTAGGACGCCATTTGTGCAGAAAGAGCTTGAGTCAACCTGCAAAGGATTCACCAATCTAAGAAGCAATGTGAATGCTGATGAAGCGGCCGTTTTTGGCGCAACATTTAAAGGCGCAGCTCTCAGCCGATCCTTCCGTGTCAAAGATATCAGAGCAGGAGATAGTTCTGGGTTCGCTGTCGGAATGAAATGGAAATCCGGAGACAAGGAGATGCGTCAAAATCTTTTCACACCTTACTCAACAATTGGGACTGAAAAACAGGTGACAATGAACAACTTGGAGGACTTTGATTTCAGTTTATATCAGCAGCTTACGCAGAATGGCAAATTGGTGGACGCACCTCTAGTAGGCATCGAAACGACGAACTTGACTCAATCAGTGGCCACCCTGAAAAATACATTCGGCTGTGCTCCCGCAAATATCACTACCAAACTTTCCATCCAACTTAGGCCCCTCGACGGTATTCCTGAACTTGTGTCTGCAATTGTCAGCTGCCAGCGCATAAGCGAGGAGAAAAAGGGTGTGGTTGAAGATGTAAAAGAATTCTTTGGCTTGGGCTCTAAGAAGAATGACCAACAACCACTTCAAGATGACCCGGCCAAAGAGTCCGTCACTCCGGGCTCTAAATCCTCAGCGGCTGCTTCTGCATCTACTACTACGGCTTCTTCCTCTGCCGGTAAATCTGCATCTGCAAGTTCAGCTGTGGAGCCAGAAATAGAAACCTCCAAAGGTAGTAAAGGAAAAACTGAGACCATACCAATCGCCTTCAACACCTTTGTCCTGGGCATAAAGCCACCTTCAGAAACCGACCTGGCGCGCATAAAGGGTCGTCTTACCTCATTCGACGTCTCCGACTATGCCCGTTTTAAGCGTGAAGAAGTTTTCAATAACCTTGAAGCATTCATTTACCAAACACAGGAACTCGTCGACGATGAGGCCTTCCTAAGAGTGATACCCGCAGATGACCTCGCCAAGCTGAAGGAAACTCTCGCAGAAGCAAGCGAGTGGTTATATGGAGACGGAACAGATGCAACCCTGAAGGACATCAAAACAAGACTAGACAGGTTGAAGCAATATGTTGACCCCGCCCTGAAACGGAAAAATGAATACTCCCTTCTTCCCTCCAAAATAGAAGCGCTACAGAAAGTCCTTAGAAACGCGAAGACTTTTGTAGATGCTATCCAAAAAGAAGTAGATGCGCAGGAGAGTATTCGCTCTTCCTCAGAATCAGCTTCACCAGCAGCCTCTACACCATCCAATGAACCGCCTGCCCCGTCCTCGTCGGATGATTTCGTCTCTCTTGAAGACGAATCCACCTCCACAACAACAACTAACACGCCATCTCCCAAAGCCACCCAGTCATCCCTTTTCGCGGGGATCGACGTCTCGTCACTTGCAAACACCCAGGCCAGTATAATGTCATGGCTCGAGAAGCAACTCCCACTTCAAGAGCAGCTGAGCCAGTACGAAGACCCAATCCTAACTACGGCGTCAATAGAGGCAAAACTTCGAGAGTTGGAACTGGAATTGAATAAAGTTATGACAAAGATGACTGGTTCTGGTGGTGAGAGCCGTAAAAATAACAGCGGGCGCTCTGGTGGTGATGGGAAATCGAAGCAGAAGACTGGGAAGGAGAAGAACAAAGACAAACAACAGGAGACACCGAAGGAGTCGCAGAAGGAGAAGGAGAAGGAGAAGAAGAAAGGCCGAGATGAGTTGTAACAATAGTCATCATGGTCAGTGTCAATTTTTCTTTTTTATTTTTTTCTGGCACCTCCTGATTTTGCCGTGTCCTGTTAAATGTTTGTCAATATCATTATAAGTCTCACCTTCGATGTATTATGGCTTCCTCCTGTGTTTCATTAATCCTTTAAATAAAATCAAACATATACCTGTGTTACTATATTTTTTACATCATATGTTCCCAAACTGCAAACAATGCAGAAAACAAAACGCTACTCAGCACATGATACAAGGGGCCGCATTGAATGTACTATACTTTGCAATATCATCGCAGAAGGCAGTTTTCATTCGGTTTAGATTTCTCATGCATTATCAGTATATTTGATAATGGCTTATATCGCATCAACATTTCAGTAAGCGATATAACAACAGTCTGTATGTTATCTGATACCAGGTTGCTTTCCAGCAGCTTACTTGACGGTTGAAATTATTGTTTTTATTATTTTTATTAATTATTATTTTTCATTTTTTCCCTAAACATTCTTGCTTTTCTTCTGATTTTATACGAATTCAAATCTTGCATCTCAATAGTGTCAAAGCTCCAAGCTTTGCTCCGAAAATCACGGTGGCACTTCAATTTGCAAAAACAATTAATTGCGGACAAAAGCCCTATCCGGTAAGGATCAAAAACGAACTCAAATTGAACTTGCACTTGTTCTAATTTAGATCTCATGCAGAACCTACCGGATACGACGACGGAGTGTCACAATGTTCCCCCCACTTTTCCCCCACCCTACCCCACCCTTCGCCACCCTTCGCTGGTGTTAAGCTTATTTTAAAGTTAATGAATGATATGAGTTGCATTGAGAGTTGACGGTAAGCATGAGTCAGGAACGCATCGTAAAAGTCATGGCTGAGCATGGTTCCAAAGCGGCATCGTAACTATTTTTAATTCAATGCTTCCGTCTCGAAAATGCGAACAGGCGAGGTACGAAAGCTCGGCAAAAGAATGAGTGGAGCAAGAGGGAGGAAATGTAAGAAATAAAAAGTAAGATAGAACCCTGTGAGTAAATAGATCAATGTGTGTGATTGTACCTAGGGGTAGGAGATAGGAAAGGAAGAAAACACTATTCATTCACACCTCAAATGATCGAAAAACGGTGACGCAACTCCTGATAACCAGCACTTGGCATTAGGAATTTCAAACCACCAGACAAGCTGCCTCTCCATTCTATTAATGAACGGTGCTAGTGTAGGTAATATAGGTAAAGAAAAAAAAAATACATAAATAAAAAAAAAATAAATAGATCGGATGTAAAAAGGCGGGAAGAGAAAACGAAAAGATTAAGGAAAAGGGATCAGGGAGGGAGGAAAGTATGCTTGCAAAAGAACAGCATCGATGAGCCAATGAGTGAATTAACCAGTGGGATGGCTCATTAATCAAGTAATCGATGAATCAATCCCTAGTGCTGTGAGCTATTTGGGGAAAAGGGGTTGGGATAGAGATGTTATTTCCCCAGACTGATGTATATATGCATGCCTGTGACAAGAATCGGCCTTGCAAGTAACTTCCCCTTTTCCCTCTGGGTTGACGCTCCAAGTTTTAAAAACCGAGCAAGAGGATCATTGATTTAAGATTCTAGATTTTGGACTTGTTTTTGTGCATTTTAAGCTTTATCGTACTTGCGATTAATGATCAATTATTATGTTGATATGTGCAGGGCGGAACATTAAACAAAAAGGGTTCGTTTTCCTTGTCCTTGTCTGGGAGTAGAAGAGTGGAATCGGAATGGAGAATGACACCCCAACAGAAGAATAACAAGGTGTTGGGTCAATCGTATTGGAAGAGAACACTGATACTTTCTCCGTGATGGACACGACGTATAGCCTATGGCAAATGAGACAAAGGTTCCTGCAAACGCAAACGCTAAAGGTAAAGTGTGGGGCTTAAAGAGCAGAGCAAAGCGTACCTCAGCAAAAACATGGCCAACCTCTAAGACTTCCAGTTTTGGGCAACGGGTTCGGTGTTCGTCTTGAGCCACAGTGTTTGTGACGACCACTTTATCCAGTGCGCTGGCGTTGATTCGCTCGATAGCGTCTCCGCTGAGGATTCCGTGTGTAACAAGGGCGTATACCCGTGAGGCCCCTTCCTTCTTTAGCAGTTTCGCAGCTCGCGTAATAGTATTGGAGGTATCGGCAAGGTCGTCAATTAGGATAGCTGTTCGGCCATTGACATCACCTACTAGCATCATGGTTGCGTTCTGGCGATCTGTGATTTTGGTTGGGCGACGTTCCTTTTCGTTTAGAAACGAGTAGAGATAGAATCGTTAGTTTTATCAACATCATCTCTTGAGCAAAGGACCAAGAGGTAAGGGGGAAAAATTATGTTGAAGTAGATATAATGATATACCTTGTGAATCAACGCAAAATCCATCCCAAGGGAATCAGCTATAGCAGTGGCCCGTTTAGCTCCTCCCGCATCTGGACTGACAATAATGCTAGCCTTGTAATTTGGGATATTCTCCGTGATATATTTCTTCAACAATGGTCGACCGTAGAGGTTATCAACAGGGATATCAAAAAACCCTTGGTATTGGGGGTCATGCAAATCCATTGTGATAATGTGATCCGCACCAGCACAGGTGAGGAGGTCCGCCACGAGGGTGCCCGCTTGGGCAACCCATTGTCGATATCCAGGACGTGGGTGGAAAGTGCTTATTTTAGACGAATTCGACGCCACACTCGCCATATCATCGTTGCTCGCAATGCTGTTGGTAGGAGGTATAGCGTTAGGATTCCGGTTTCGATTGCTAGTATCTGACTTGGTGGAGTCTGTAGTGTCGCAGTTTTTTTGCGGGCCGTTAGCATAATGGCCAAAACGGGCTTTCTGGGGACTGCCGCTGGAAGACATTTCATGCTGTTCAATTTGAATCTGTGTGAGGCCCTTTTGTAAACCGTCGATGCCATTTACCAGGCCAATGCTTTCGGATTTTCCAGCGTGTGGGGTCGGCGGCGTGCTCTCGAATGTGTAATTGGGAGCGATGTCAGATTTGGGGACGGAAGACTTTACAAGTGGAGCACCAATCTTGTTGTAAGGGATATCACTCTGACGGGAGTAAGGGAACAGAGGCAGAACGGCGGTGACTCTTTTCGCGGAAGCAGTTTTGCAAGCAGAAATGATCACTAGGAGCTCCATTAAGTGGTCGTTGACCTTGCCTCCACCTGACTGGATAATGTACACATCCTTTCCACGTACAGACTCGTTGATTTCCACCCGAGTCTCGCCGACGGAGAATTTCGACAACAGCACATTGGCCAGCGGAATGCCCAGATGCTCACATATTGCCTTATTAAGGTGTGGGTGGGATGAGCCTCCCAGCACAATGATATTCCTAACCATGTTAGATGGAACGATTATATTATGGGTTACCCGTCGAAAGAGGGTGTGGTAGGTCGGATATGATTAATTAATAAGAGATCGAAAAGAATCGAAGGTCGAGAGCCGGGCAGAAGGGGCAATGGTTGCTTATTTAAAGAGCGCGGCAAACTTCGTGTAGCCGATAGTTTTCTGCTAGCCAATAATTGGAGAGGGATCAATCTTTGGGGCAAACCAGGGCCAGGAGGCAAACAGTACCAGCTAATTCATGACAGACATGAAACGGGAGCCGGATGAAGACATGATGAGAAGTTTTAGCACACTGATGAGGACAAATTTCGAGGAGTCGTGAGGCCCTGAAACAAAAAGTAGCCCGATTCAGTAGGCCAGAGTGGATCTCCTGCTCCAACCAGACGCTTGATGGAGAGGCAAGTTGCTGGGTTCAATCAATGACACCAAGAGCAAGAAGAAACAAACCAAAAGGCCAAAAAAGTCAAAACTGAAATCTTAAAAAAAATCCGAAAGGGTTGAAAGTCTGGAGGTCACGGGATCCTGCAGGTCCCCGCAGTGGTCGGCTGAGGTAAGCACCAGTTTCCCCTCACTTAATTGACCAAATGAAAAGATACAAGAGAGACGAGAGTCATAGCGGAACAAAAGGATGAACAAACATACGTCAGTTCTATGGCAAACAATCGACAGGTTGGAGTTGCAATACGGTGTTATCCATAGCAAGCCTTGTTGAAGACGAACGGAACCGAACAAGGACAGATGATACAACGGGTAGGCAGAGTTTCCTCGTTCCAAATAGATCGTGGTCATATTTGCCTGAACAGAGTATCCCAGGGTTCTGGCTTCTGATTTCTGGTTTCTATCCATCGTGTATCAAGTTACCTAACCTATGTAGGCATCTTCAGACGCAGACATCCTGGCCCCGGGTAGATACATGGGAACATGACACATGGAGCGGAGGGCGGGGTGGTAAACATCGTGCCTCCCGAAATCAAAGACAGAAGTCATATTTGGCCCAAACAACAGCGGAAATCAATCATCAGGCTTTCAGCTTGGCCTTTCTGTTATCGAAACCATACTCGGGCGAATTTCCCAGGTACTAAGGTTCCCCCCAAGATCAACCCAAACGAGTCCAGAGAGGATAGTCTAATATACAATGGACCTTTGCGCTGCACAGAACAGAATGCAATCATCATGAATTCATTAATTGTCTCCTGTGTCCACTTCCCTATTGTTATCACACATTATCAGTTATACGTCATCAAGTCAAAGCATCATCTCCGTCCCACGTGTTTGAGGGACAAATATCAAAATCAAACACTGTGACACAAGTCAAATAAACTTACAAGTCAAGCTGCACTCCGTTTCCCACACCGTAGTCCTCCAATGTAAGTTGGTCCTTGAATGGCCTTTCACCTTGTCGTTTGAGAAGGATTTCGTGGGGTTCTCGTCCGATGCGTGCGGCAACCTGAGCCTTAAACAGTCCTGTATAAATAAAAAATAATGAAAAAAAAATCCAAGGGTTAGCTAAAACAAAAACTGATGAAGAGAGAGAAATCGACTGGTATCACCAACCCACCTCCCCACCACACCCACGATCCAATCGGAAGAGCAAATGGGGGAACGAGGCTTACGGATTGGATCTGACGCAAGACACGGAATGGCTGCTTTCGTGCCCAGCCTGTCATTCACATTGACAATTATCATAGGTTCTGTCAGGGCTGCATTAGCTGCGGCTTTCTTGTCTTTTTCCCGTTTCTCCGCTTTCTTTTCCTTCCTATCCTGATCACCGCGCCTGTCACCTGTACCACTCGCTGATACGGTACTAGCAGGAGCACGGCCTCTGCTATCACTGTAGTCACTGAAATCACCGCGCCTTCTCCTATTCGTGTCCGAATCGAAATCTCTGTATCTATCTCCTCTCCTATCTCGAGTAGGTGATCTGGCGCGCTCTCCGTCTCTGTCTCTGCCTATTTCCTTCCCCCTCTCTGTATCTCTGTATCCCCTTTCCAAACCCCTTGCTTCATCCGCCCGCTTGTCATCATCTGCGTGACGCTTCTCTTTCCAGCGAAACCCGCGATCCCGGCGTCTGGGTCTATCTCGATCTCTGTCTTGGTCGTGTGTCTGTCGCGGGGATCTGCTTCGCCTTCTATCTTCCCGCCGTGGCGATGGCGATCTCGAGCACGAACGTGTCATGCCGTATATTGAGATTTTTTGTAAATATTTGCAGAAGAAATAGATGTTATCAAACCGCAAACGGTGACCGAGAAACGTTATCAAGACGAGAAATAGCGGTGGCCTGTAATGTCAAACTTGCGTTCTGAGGTTGAATAAGTGGATGGTGATCTTGCAAATAAGAAAAAAAAACTTCGTAAACGTGCATGGGGATCAGCAAGATAGAGAGCAAGACAGTTTATCATCAGTCGATTATGAAAGTTAGATTGAAGCCTGGCTGGCTTTTGGCACGTGACTTGAGACGAGCTCAAGCAAAATCCAGCCATGATAGTTCTCTATCTACCGTTCCCAGAAATAAACACCCTAACCTCGTAAACCTCCTCGATGCCCGTTCGCCTATCCATCCAGCGCCCCTCGCCAACAACGGCCCTCTTCACCGCCTCCAATGCCTCCGTACGGTCCACAATCACCTCAAAAGCCCTCTTCTTCATCGAGATTGTACTTCGCATCCTCCTTTTCGCAGTCGTACTGCTCCTCAACGGTGCTTTAATTCGCGATTACATATTAACTCTCGATGATGGAATCATACACTGGGACGCCGTGTGGTCGAGTGCCATTGGAGCGCTCGCTTGTCGCATGGCGGATTGGCAGGGTTGGCAGTTTACCTGTCCGGTGAGTGCGGTGCTGGTGTATATCATTTTTCGAAGGGGGTATACCGGTTAGTTCTCCTTGTTATTTACTACCTTTCAAGATATCTGGCATGGAGAGAAAAATTACTATTTATGTGTATTGCTCCGGCTGTTCCCGTGTATGATGTAAATGGCTGATTCGCACTGTCATGGAACAGAGGAATCGTTACTGGTCATACGGGGGCTGGGAGTTCAAACCTCCACATCCTCCGCTACTTACCTCTCAAAAGCCTCAACTCGATTTATTCCTACCACACAAATACAAGATATTGTAATCCATGAAGCCTTCAAGGGCTTCGAAGTGAAGTTCTATCTCGCTATCATTGTGGAAGGGGAGTCAAACGTAGTTGTGGTATTCCCGGTAGGTCCTCATATCCATTCCGCATGTACCTGCTTTTCGGTCTATTCAGGAGACTCTGGCGAATGCTAAAAACCAACAGAATCTATTGCCCCGACGATCTATTCTTGAAGCTGTGTGGAAAGGAGCTAGAAAATGCCTTTACGACCTAAACTAATGCCTGTCTCGTACAGTCATTGTACATTTTCTTCTACTGTTTGGTCGAACATGGTGACTTAAGCTTGATAGTCGCATGCCAATGAAAAGGAGATTTATTAGTGATGTTGGAATAGTGTGTGAGCGGACGCTATGATACGGTCTCGTTGTTTGAGATGCACCATTCTTCGCACTATGCAGTAGGTTTCTTCCCTGGTCTTTTCGTGTATCTTGCATTTATCACCTCCACCGGGTCCAATCTACGCCTCTGCATCAAGGGCACGTATTTCCCACCAAATTTCCCTTCATTACCTCCATAAAACACTTTCTGACTTCTATTCTGCAGGTTGCGAGTAGAATCGTTGAACCCACCTCGAGTCAGAGCGCTTCTATCTCCTTGGCTCACCGCAAGATCGAGAAGTTCACCGGCCAATATCTCGTCTATCTTCCGCTGTCGCCACACACGCCAGAGGGAATCAACCGTACTCCCTAGGCCAAATTTGTTGTTATCTCCCTTGCCAACTTTCGATGTCCGTGAATCACCCGCGTAGACCCAATCCATTGCGTCTTCCCTGCTTCCACTGCTTTCATCAGGGAATATGCAATCCCAGAGAACCAGCGGTGTGTCAGAGGCGATCTCGTATGTTGGCCTTCGGGGATGTTTCTCCACATCTAATAGCTCCGGTATGATCGATGGGGCCTCGAGTCCCTGACCAACCAAGAAAAGTATCGCGGCTAGATGTCGGACCTGGTGCCAGAGGAAAGCAGATCCATGAATCGTAATGGAGTATACTTTAAGATTGGATGACGGGTCATCTATCGACCCATTTGCAGCTGCTTTGTCATTTTCGGTATCGAAGGTGGTGAATTCATGTTGCCTCAAATATGACAAGGGTTTGGTTTTGGGATCGAGCAGCTCGATATCGGCATGATAAATATGACGCACGTGGTTCGTTATCTGTTTGCTCGGATCAACTTTGCAGAAATTTCGAAAGTCGTGGGATCCGATAAGATATTTCGCCCCCTCACGCATTGCTTCGATATCCAACCATCCCTCTCTAAATTGCTCATTGTGTGGGGCGCCGCTACCCTCCCACAGGCAATTCTCCTCACGCCCACGTTTTAGGAAGCCCAATGGACCGGGCGTTGGAGAGAACGCTGGCTGCGTAAAAAAATAGCGATACCGGCGCTCACGGCAGGAGAATCTGGCATCAAAATCCGGCGGGGGGTTCGGACACCATGCTAGCACGCGAATATCCTCCGGTAATACTCTGTTCAAAATAGTTATATAAGGCAACTCATCAGCAATGTCATCCCAGCTATCTTCGGTCTCAGAGTTCTCTGAACCAGAAAGCGAGAGCCCACCGAGAAGATTTTCCACTCCGCTATTGTAGGCATCAGTAGAAGTAGTAGTGGAAGGCTCCGCACTAGATACTATATTGCCAGCACCATTGCCATTACCAGTACTCTTCGCAGCTTTTTTATGGGGCCGCGCACTCCTTACCCTTATCCCAACAACCTGACCGAACGCACTAACCCCTCTATCCGTCCTCCCACATTTCGAATACTGACAGCCTGTCCAATCAATTTTGTACGATCGCTCTTCCCTCCCCTGACTCTCCCCGTCTCCAACCACCCCTTCACCACCATCCGCCTCAACCGCCTGCGGAAATATCAACCGCGCTTTTCTCAACGCCTTCCACAACTCCTCCTCAATTGTCGGTAAAGGCGTGGTATTCCCATTGGCATGCTCGTAACCATTATATCTTTGACCCAGATAGGCGAATTTCAGCGCGATGAAGCGTGTGTTGTATTTTGAAGGATCGATGTCGCGGGCTTTCTTGGTGCGGCGGCGGGGGGAAGAGGACGACACAGAAGGGGAACGGGAAGCTGTGGGGCTTCCTGCAGCCTTGATACGCCCTCTGATTGCGTCTGTATCTGCGCTGCCGTCGGACCTACTGTGATGGTCGTGGGAGTTTAACTGGCGCTCCAGCTCAGTGATGCGGGATATGAGACTGGACTGGCTCCAGGTGGAGTAGTCTGGTTGTGTCCCGTGCTCAGGTAAAATCATTTTTGCGGAATTGGGCGTGGAGGATGAGAACGGCCACTTTGATCTTAAAAAAAGAAATGGGCTCCGACAGGAGGGTTGGAGGTAGATTAGTGGTCCTATGATGATGGCATTTCGCGTGGAGTGTTGTACGAAGCTGCAGAGCTTCTGGAAGGGATGTTTCATGCGCTCAGAGGAGACGAGTTTGCTTTTTACATTTGATGTTATTATCGATGCGATTTCGGAGTCTTATTTTTTTTGGCTCCTTTTGGATTTATCTGTCAAGAAGTGGTGATTCAAAAATATGGGGTCTTGTATTTTGCAATCAACTAACTTTTAAATTACGACAATTATACTGGTTAAAATACACTAGTAATGACCTTTTAGCTCGAAATATTTGCTCCACTTTTGGAGTAAATTTAGGGTTATGAGACACTTCATGGTGCAATTTTTGCCTCCATTGCACCTGCAATCAACAAGATATATCAACCTTCCTTCCTCCTATTATTTTCTACTTTTCAATGCCTGTGGCCTCACCATCAAGGAAGCCAGTCTCCTGTGAGCTAATGATACAAAAAAATTGAGTTGGCAACCACCCCACTTCCAACAATTTGTGATCAAACAATATGGTGCCGCGCAGTCGTAATATGAGGTCCCCTGGTGAAATATGGTTGAGAATGATAGCCATGTGTCATCCTTCTTGAAACGCACCCTGCTTGTCGCACCTAAGGGGGACAACAGCTTTTGCTATGCATTGTTACCTGTATCAGCAAAACATAGTGTCCACTAGGGAGCGAACGACAGATGCCGACTCCGGTGGAGAAATGTTATGCAATTGCTGCAGGTGTCGACTGGAGACAGCTGATATGCAGTTCAGGCATATCTGCAATAATGCGCAATTGAGTTTGCTCTCATCCAGCGGGAGACGTTTCGAAGAACTCGATCATCCCTAGCCAATAGCAGGTACAATACTGCCGTTCCATCAAACCTTTAGAATTCTAAAATTCACCCTGTTTTATACGGTGCCAAATTACAGTGAACCTCTAGAGCTCAAGTTCAAGGATAGCCACTGTGCCCGCAAAAGTACGGGGAATGAGGAGAGGATATATATTCGTTAGCCATGTAGCCAATCTGATTGTCGCATGGGATTTTTTCCGCAAATATCTAGGCTCGACGTGGCAGACCCGCATATCTATTTCGCAAAGGGATTTAGCGGCCTGTTTAAGACGGTATTTACACAGGAGGCGGTTTCTTTTTTGTCTCTAACGGCCGCATTTAGTTGAATTGTCAGCAGCAATACATGGGTTATTTCGGAGATTCCAACAGAAAAAGGATTCTCTCCAGCCTACCCAATTTATTGATCATTGATTGAATGGTCCTACATGCTTTTTTAATGCGCTTGGGCTGGATTGATCGGTCAGACGACCAGCTGAACGACATTTGAACATGTCGAAACATCTCAAACATGGGCTCCATGCGCTCGATCGACCATAGAGGGCCATAGCCCTTGAAGAATTTGGACTCGTTGCTGTTGAATGTAAAATGGAAGTCGACACTTCGTACTGCGGGAAATATGCTCAGGCTGTCGTAAGAGTAGAGATCCAAAACTGGAACACCTTGGGAATTCCAGAACACCTCCAATTTTAGTCCTAGTTTATGAATTTTGCTTGACACCGTTTCTCGCAACTTCTGTATGAAGTTACATCTAGGTATCTGGAGGACCCTAGCGTGAATGGAAAATCGGAAATCGGAAAACAGAACTTCAGAAGCTTCCCTATAGACTTGACGGCTGACCCTGAGCAAGGTGGTCATTTCCTCCCTGCCAGACCATGAATCTGGATTTCCGTAGCCCAGGGGAGCTAGCGGAATCTCATTTGCCCAGATCCGTCTATAAGATACGCTTTCCGTTGTAGTCTTCACGATAAGCTCTTTGTTTGTTGGTGGGCAAAGGACATGAAAGTAAACAAGGTCACGCAATTCCCGCGGGAGACGAAGAAAGCAATGAAAGCAATCCGGTTTCGTAACTTGGGAGGCGAGGAGAATGTGTGGGCGATAGTGTCGCTGGTTCTCTGGTGGGTTTAGATAACACTGGCTCAAGCTGGAGAGGAATGAATGCGTGGGTTTCTGCCTTTTTCGAGGGAACTGTATTCGAAGGTCCTCCGCTCTTTGGAGACCTTGCGCCTGATATTCGTTTGGATAGTTAGGGAGATTGGTCATTATCCATACGAGCCCCTTTTTGAAGCACACTCCTCGTTGTCTCGTGTGTAGACCCAGACTGTGACGAGGGGAGAAGGGGTTTGGACGAACAGGACGACTGGTTTCGCAATATCAAAGATATAGCTCCATCTTCTGCCCAATAGTCCTAGGAGGTAGGAAAAGTTCGGGCGGGGTATGCTAATGATTTATGTCCCTGTCATTTTCTGGGCTTGTAAACAAGCAGGAGTGAAGGAGTCGTCAACATCAGATACTGCCCAACTTCCCAAGAAGTACTTAAACAAAGAGAGCCTGTGTCCAACCCCACTAAATATTTCTACTTGTTTCTGCTGCGTCCCAATGCTGTGAAAGCAAAATCAAAAGTTACACTTACAGGGCTGATAGAAGCTCCTAGAAATAGTTATCGGGCCGTTGTAAATGACTAGCACTCAAATGAAAATCATCACAGAAACGAACTTATCTCTCGTAGCTAACGTTGAACCTTATTACTGACTATAAAGCGTAGTACCAGGCATTTTACAGTGACGAAATGCATGGAAATACTGCCTCTCAGCCGATTTTGAGAGGGCGTATGGTCTCCCTGGCAGAAACTTTAGGATGGGACAAAAACATATTACGAAATAATTACCTGCTGCATGCGGCGCGAGAAAGAGAAATATAAATACGAGTCCATACTGGAGAGGAAGAGGTGTGACGCAATGCTTCTTTTCATGGGGTGCTTCGTAGTTACACAACAGCCAGACAACAACTGAGAACTTGAAAAATGCAGAAATCAGTACACGCGATTTGGGAAAGAAAAAGGGGAAACACAAGGAGAAAGGAAAGGGAAAACATGAGACAACGATTAAGTAACGTCCATTTCTCTTGACAGCACAGGGCTTTCCCCCAAATTTCGGCATACATTAATGTTGTGAAATTTGGGTATCTTTCCCTCATAAGTGCCAGTCAATGTTTTGTTCCATCGGGTCTTCCAATCTTTCTCTTTTCAGATATCTTTGTAAAAAAACACTCCCCCAGATTCTCCCATATGATTAGATTGTGTGACAGGCTGCAGTTGAGAACGGAAACCATGAAAAAAAGGATGTGGAAAACGTTTCCGTTCCATCTCGAACCCACGTTCTTCTTTCCCCGATTGTGCTGGGGGGAATAGGAAATAGAGTAAGGAGGACAAAATATGGGGGACGTGATATAGAGCGGTTTCTTCATTTGTGACGCACACGGCTAAGAGCGAATAATGCAATTGAATGTTATGGATCGTTTTTTCTTTTTCCTCTGTTCGCGTTTTAAAAGAAAGTGATAAAAAACACGCTTTCCTCAATTAACTCCCACCGGGTCTGCACGGATCACAAAACGAACGAATTCGATATCTACCATTTGACGCCGGCATCTGGGTTACCAGACTCGCCAGCCCAGGTGTCAGCGGGAGCGGCTGAGCTCGCAGCCCAGTCAACACCCCCCTCAGCTTCCCAGCCTGGAGCAGCACCGGCAGGCACACCGGCACCAGCAAATGCTGGAGCGGCTTGAGCTTCCCAGCTGTCACCAACCAACCCACTCTCGATGGCCGCAGCACCGACCTCTTCGGCACCGGGGACCTTGGCTTCTTCAATCTCCTTGTTCTCCTCAGCCTCCGGGTCGCGGTAGAAGTACAAGTCGACAACGACGTCCCACTCCGTCTCACGGCTGGCGAGAGTACCACGCAGGCGCAGGACTTCACGGGCAAGCATCCACCATATCAGACCGATGGCATGACGACCTTTGTTGTTGGTGGGGATGGCGACGTCGACAAATTCAGTGGGGGAGTCGGTGTCGCAGAGGGCGATGACAGGGATGTTGACGTAGCTGGCTTCCTTAATGGCTTGGTGGTCGGTGCGAGGATCGGTGACGATGATGAGGCGGGGCTCCTTGAAGGAGCGGGTGATGTAGTTAGTGAAGTTACCAGGGGTGAAGCGGCCGGCAATGGCAACGGCACCGGTGTGGGCGGCGAACTTGAGGACAGCACGCTGGCCGTAGGGACGAGCGGAAATCACGCAAATGTCGGCTGGGTTGTCAACGGCTGCAATGATACGGGCAGCAAGGACGATTTTCTCCCTGTTTGGCGCAGAAGTATGAGCCATTTATCCCTTTCTTCCCATTCTTCTTTTTTCGATTTCTTCCTTTTTTCTTTTTCTCTATGGATACAAATTTTGTCTTACCAGGTCTTGCCAATGTTGATAACGTTGATTCCATCAGGACGAGTCTTCCACAAGTAAGGTTCCATGTGGACTTGCAAGTTCTTAGAGCCGAGATGACATTGGGCGGCGAGCAACATCTCAATATCTTGAGATGTCGCGTTGAAGACTGGAGGGAGGTTGGAAGGAGCCATATTGGGCGACTGATATTTTCGAGAAGGGAGAGGGGATAAATATCAATCAGTGGCAGTTTGTCGTTCGTCGCGTTGGAGAAATGTTCGCTGAGAAATTTCTGGAGTTCAAGCCCACAATTGTGTGCTAATTTCCTGATGTGGTGATTAGGGCAAAAGGCATGTTCCGACGGATTTTTCCGGCCGACTATCACGGGACTAAGAGGTACTGGTGACTAAGCTACAATTCTTCGAGATTTTTGTCAACCAGGGGAACAATTAAGGCGTTGACATCTGACATTTTCTCATTGCTTCTTAAAAATTGAGAGTCATAACAGCAGCATGCCGCCGCGGCTCCTGAGTAAACCCTATTTTAGGGTCTTAAATGGTATGTTATCACACTGCTTACTTGCGTATGCTTGCTCTGCTTGGCCTCGTTTTAACATACATATTCAGCGTCCACATTACAAAACCAATTCACAGCACCATTTTTGGGACCTTCCCTAGCCTCGTCGAGCAGATCGCAATTCAGTAGCAACAGCCGCACAAAAACGAGGAAAGGCCAGAATCCATATGCAATTGCGCAGGCTCGACAACGGAAAGCGGCGAATTTGTCCCGACAGGCTGTGTTGAAAAAAGAACGAGCTTCTTCTGCCTATGGGGACCCCGTGCTCGGCAATCCCACCCCCTTCATCGAATCGCTAATGCCAAAGCGATCCGCAGACTCTGCTATCCTCACATCTACGTCTGCGTCGCCGCAAGAAAGTAAGAAGGCGACAGAGTTCCAATTTGCCTCCTCTCCGCAGGCTCCAGACCTCAACCACTACCTGACCTCTACGGAATTCCAAGCGGCCCTTGAACGGTCGAAACACCTTACAGAGCCTGTGGTGAACAAGCAGAGCCATTTAAGCGATCCGCAAGCCAACGAGGAAGCTCGACTCGCACATGAAGAAGCGCACCGTAACGCGCAACAAGCAATGAGTCGAATTATCCAGCTGGAGAATGGCAGCAACAAGGATCGAACCCGGGTGAATATCCAGCGATGCATACATACTTTTGGTAGACATGTTACGGACTCATTGCTCGAATCCAAGCCGCCGGCGGCCATCGATCCCTCAGCGCCCCAGTATCCAGCAAGACCAGCACGAGCGGGACCGGACACAGGTTCCTCCGAGGTGCAGGCTGCTATTCTGACGACCAAGATCCAGGTGCTTGCTCAGCAGATAGCCAAGTACGGACACAAGGACAAACATAACAAGCGGAATCTCCGGGTGCTTGTTCACAGGAGACAGCGGCTGTTGAATTATTTGAGGAGGAAGGAGCGCGGGGGTCCGCGGTGGCAGAACTTGATGAGTAACCTTGGGTTGACTGATTCGTCTTGGAAAGGGGAAATCAGTTTGTAGGGGCTCCGACTGATGGATACAAGGCATCGTCTTTGTTCTTTTGCGGATTGCGATTTTCTAGACAGCAATGTGTTCTTTGTTTGCTTTTCGCTGTCATCGTTATGCTTTCATTTACTACTGATCAAGTCATTCCATCGCTTTGACGTCTCTCAAGGAATCTACGTGTATTGTACAATGGGCGACCGTCATTTCTTTTCCACTTTGTCAGATGTATTAGTAGTACTACATAGGAACTAGGTTATAACAACGCCTGGGATGATGTTGAGGATTCAACCCGCCATTTTTTCAAGGGCAGAACAACACAGATAACTAAAGGCAGTACCCAAAATTCCAAAGAATGCATAAGGGCAGTCTAATACTATTCTATTATTATGAACTCGGAACTTCCCCCGTTACCCTGCTGCCCGGGGAATAGTACTAGTATTCACCCCTGGCAGTGAGGTCGATCCGGCCTCACCGCCTTCTTATTCTAGTATTCTGCCGCCTAGTTTGCCTTCACTTTCCTTGCCAACGAAGTAATTATTTCTTGATCACAGCAACGAGCGGCCTTTAAGCAACAGCACAACACAACACAACACACCACAACAACACAACACGATACTCTCCATCGCAACAACAATAAATATCTCCTTCTCCCACTTCTCTCGCTCCCCATCCTCTTCGTCTCCTCATACCCCACCAGCTTCGACAATCGCGTAGTGAACCACACTATCAAAGCATCCTGCAAGTTCAAGCTGAATAGTTTTCGACTGAAAGTTTTCACGCAGCCCATTTCATCCCCTCATTCCCTTCTTTCACGTATGTTCCTCACTCAGCCTTCGTCCAACCCTTACTGTCATCCTCTTTAAACGATTTTCATTGTACTGCTAGTACTCTGCCAATCCCAAGTCTGCCACACAATTTCATCTGGTGTCTGTCCAAAAGTACTAGACGGCGTCTCCTGAATCTCGCTAAACCGGTTCTATCGTGGTTTGTTTATATCATGCCCTGTGGTACTCCTCCTTGCCAGCGCACTGGACATTACTGACAGTACCTAGATTAGAGCCTCAGGCCTCAAAAAACAGCTGTTTGACGCTCCAGATCCAGGCTGGGCACTCTGCCCTCTGCAACACCATGCGCACTCGATCGCAGCCAATTTCCCCAAACGGGTTTCAGTCGCTGGAAATCGCTCCTCGCAGACGGAAGGCGCAGACAACCGCGACTGCCTCCAGGGCCACCAAGGTCACCAAGCCCGCAGCGGAGGCAAGCGCCAAAGTTGAGAAAAAGAAACCTGGAAAGCGCGGCCCCAAGAAAACGTCGAAGAAAACCGCGAGCAAGTCC